CCGTTTCTTTTGGTCTCACTACTCGAAGTGCAAGTCGCACGTCGATAACCCTGGCCCGATGGCTGGCTACAAAACCACAGTGGCAAAAGCTCACGGAATACGGACGCGGCACTCACTGCGCAAAACACACAGCCCATTTACCTCCGAGCGTAACTTTTCCCCGAGTGCCGCGGTCATGGGCCTAAGACCAGGGGGGGGGGGGGGGGGGGGGGGGCTTTCGCGTCGCTGCCCCGCGGGTTTCTCGTTATGAAAACGGCATGCGCGACGCACGGTCTCGCTCCGTATTTTCGTTGGCAGCGCAGCGTCTCACGCGAGCACAGAAGGAAATGGAGAAACGAACGTGATCATAGTTCAATTTCTCGTGTGCTCACTCGCACACGAGCACACGCGTACGCACGTGAAAGCGGGCGCGAGCTGACAAGCGTGCGCGCGAGCCGTAACGCACACGTCTGTTCACGCTTACGAGCGCGTAAAAACTTTTAAAGGGACAGGCGAGCTAACGCGTGCGTGCGTGCGTGCGTGCGTGCAGGCTCGCTAGCGCGCGTCGGCACGGAGGCCCCCGCCGCGCCGCGCCAGCACATCTGGCGGCGTCGCGAGCCAACCTGGCCCGAGCGTTCGCGTGTATGTGCGCGCGTGTGATCCAACGTGTGCGCGCACGCGCGGGCGTGTGTGTGTGTGTGTCCGTGCGTGCGTGCGTGCGTGCGTGCGCAGATCGCTGCTGGCGGTCTGGCTGTCCGCGTAGTTGGGGTTAGTTCAGAAAGCAGCAGCCCACCCACAGCCGCTCCAAACACTACACTAACCCAAGCCACCTCGATCCCTGCACCCCTCCCTCAGCTCGCCCTCCCTCTCTCCTGCTCTCTCTTGCTCTTTCGCGCACTCTCCGCCCCTCCCTGTTCCCCACCCCCCTACCCCCCATGCTCCCACCGCCAGGGCCTGTCCTCCTCTCTCAGCCAGCCTCTCTAAATTCCCAAGCCTCGTAAAACTCACTCCTCGGCAGTCACGGGAAAGTGGCACGGCCTCTGCACCAGAGGCCGCATCCCTCGCTCGAAAAGGCGCCGTGAGCAACCAGCAGCTCACAAATCCCGCGACCGCCGATGTGGCGCCGCGGGTTTTAATTTAGCGCTTGTTTTGTTACGTTTTGGGTTGTTACGTTTTGGGTTCTGTTATGCTTTTGGGGGAGTGGAACACATGTCGGCCTCTTCGATTCCCCCGCCAAAAAAAAAACTGAACCTGTAAGTTGCGCCGGAAGCTTGGCCGGGTTAGGAATAAGCCTGCAACAAGCGGAGCTGCAAGCCCCTGGGCTAAACCCTCGGTTTGAGGCGAGTGCTAGGCCATAGGGAGGGCTGCAGAGAGAGCAGCCACACATCCCTTCAACACCTAAGTGACCAGCTGCAGATGAAAAGAGGCCGATTTGTTAGAACTTTAAGAGAAGTGCAACGCGCGAGAGCGACACCACAAACCGCTAGGCTTCCGAAGCAGAATTTGGGGGGGGGGGGGGGAGGCGAGGGTGAGCGAGTGCCGTTTTTTCTTCGTCACTCACGCGGCCGCGGAGACAACTCCGTTGACGCAGGTGAAATCACATCCCAGACTCCTCGCGGGGTTGTCCATCAGCTCACAGGCAATGCAGCAACAATAAATTCATCACCACACACTGCGCCCACACCCGTCCTGAGAGCGAGCAGGGCTCTGCACACCCACATCTGCTCCGTACCGTTGGGGCTGCTCCCACTGTGGCTGGTACTGTTGTGGCTGGTACTGTTGTGGCTGGTATTGTTGTGGCTGATACTGTTGTGGCTGATACTGTTGTGGCTGATACTGTTGTGGCTGGTACTGTTGTGGCTGGTACTGTTGCGGCTGGTACTGTTGTGGCTGATACTGTTGTGGCTGGTACTGTTGTGGCTGGTACTGTTGTGGCTGGTACTGTTGTGGCTGGTACTGTTGTGGCTGGTACTGTTGCGGCTGGTACTGTTGCGGCTGATACTGTTGTGGCTGAACTGTTGTGGCTGACAATGTTGTGGTTGGTACTGTTGTGGCTGACACTGTTGTGGCCGGTACTGTTGTAGCTGGTACTGTTGTGGCCGGTACTGTTGTGGCTATCCCGCTGTGGCTGGTACTGTTGTCTCCTCGCACGACCGACCGACCCCTCTGTTTTTTTCCCCCAAGTCCGGGTCCACCCCTCGCTTTATGCGGCCCTGTGGTGCCTGCAGCCGGAAGGAACTACCGGTAAAAGCATGGGGTGAGAGCCATGCAGGATCTCTTCACCCACCCCCAACTCCCCCCCCGGCCCCCGTCTCCGAGCCACTGGGGCCCGATTAATACTCTCTCTTTACCGTTACGCTTGGCGTTTAGTTCACCTCGCAGCCAAATGGAAGGGTGACCTCAGCAGGCCCCAAGCCTCCCTCAACACCAGGTCAGACGCAAGTCACGCGATCAGCGCAAATATTGCAAATGCCCAACGCGGCCGTGCATCACCGTGCATCACCGTGCATCACCGTGCATCACCGTGCATCACCGTGCATCACCGTGCATCACCGTGCATCACCGTGCATCGCCGCGCATCACCGTGCATCGCCGTGCATCACCGTGCATCGCCAGGCATCGTGGCTCGCGAGCGCAACAGAAGAATACACGTGGAAAAACCAGGAAGGTCTAAGTGTTGGAATTTTATTCCGACTGTGTCGGTGCCATTGTGTCACGGGACAAAGTGTCGACTCGGAAGTCCCGCAGAGCGGTGCATGACCCCGTGTGTCAGAGAGCGGCCCGCGGAAGGAGACATCAAACTTACTTTTAATATCCTCTAAAGACAACAACTGGACTCAGGACGTCCCGTTCTCATCTTATTCACGCACCGGGTGGGGGGGGGGGGCACATTTTTCACGGATGCCCAGCTAAAGGGAAATGTTTCTTGCACGACTGTCAAAACAGATATTTAATTCTCTGAGCTGAGATTAAGACAAATCAAGTAGAAGACAAAATTCATGGCGATGGCTGTTGCTGTGAAGAGTTTTGTCACCTGGCTGCGACCGGCAAAATCAGAATCTCTATTTATAGTGGAGGGATCCAATGAGTTATGAAGTAAATTTTTCACAGAAAGTTACCGCCAACTCACTTCACTCGAGAACGTACGTTAATCAGGGGCAGTTTATATCTGGATTCAAACTCGGGATCTCAGCGGTGCCAATTTAGCTCTCTGATCTGCAATCGACCCATCCAAATGTTTGTTTGTGTGTGGCGGTGTGTTTGTGTCATGGTCGTTACACTCAACTATAAGGGGGTGCTCGCTCATGTACCTGAATCTTTCTCTATCCCTTGTCAGGTCCCCTCAACAGATCAACCGTCACCCACGCAGGGCGCGGAGGAGCCCACGCACAGCCCCCGTGTGTGGGCCACTCTAGGAGATAAATACTCTCAGGTGCCCCCCTTTGACCTCTGATCCACTCCGTCAACTCGTGCATTGTGCATGATAAAAAATAGATTCAAATTAAAATCCTACGCAAGTCGCAGGAGTTGCGAGTCGCCTCTCCGCCCATAACCCAAATCCACGATATGAGCAGTGTGCCAGAAAGGTTCAAGCCAAGTCTTCTTTTCTCATAATTTTGATACTGGCAAAGAGGTCCAATAGATACAGCAACATGGAGGTTGCTGGGGAGGTCCTCCATTGTTCATCAACATCATCTCCATTTACATTCCCGGGCCACCCATGTTGAGGACTCGGTCCATCAGACTTGACCACTCCAAATTCTCACCTCTTCTCTCTTGCGCATTCTCTTCCTCTTTCCTCCCCTCGGCCCTCCACTCCTTCCCATCACTTCCCTACCCTGTCGTGATCCCCTAGGTGGCCCTCAATTGCGGTCACTCATTCCTCAATCCTTGGTAGCACTTCCCTGTCATCCAAATCTTTCTATTCTCTCACCGTTTATTTTTTACTTTGCCAAGTGTCGTGAGTGAAGGCGCTCAGTATAAATATTAAATTATTAAATACTGTGCTCAACCACCACACTACCGGTCACAACAATTTTCTTTCCGCTTCTTGCCTTGCACGGGCTTGAGAATTCCCTTCCATCATCTCTGTTTCCCCGTCGTCACAGAAAAAAACCCTGCTCAAGTCAAGAAACGCGTCAACTCCGTTGGACGCTTGGCGTTTTTATGGCTGGTGCTCAGAAAATGTAAATTTAAAACGGTTTACCCACTGCTGGGTGAAGGCTTCCCCGCCATCGCCGTTCAAAAAAAAAAAACAAACAATGATTTTTCAATCATCATCCGCTACTCTATGTTGTACATTTAACTTATTTCGCACCATACGTAGCCAACCTGTGCTAATCGGAGGTACCGGCAGACTAACGCACATTTGTTTGTGGGCCAGGTACTGAGTCGCCGTGTGGCACTGGCAACTTTCTACCAAAAGTTTGCTAGATGCGGTTTGAATTCACTCAGATGTGGGACAACATTCTGTGTGTGTATACATACTGTGTTTACTGTGTATGTACTGTGTTTGTACTGTGTGTGTGTACTATGTGTACTGTGTTTACTGTGTGTGAACTGTGTACGTACTGTCTTTGTACTGTGTGAGTACTGTGCGTGTACTGTGTGTATTGCTATGTGTGTGTACTGTGTATGTACTGTGTGTGTGTTTACTGTGTGTGTACTGTGTATGTACTGTGCGTGTACTGCGTATGTACTGTGTGTGTATTGTGTGTGTACTGTGTGCGCTACTCGGCAGGCAGCTGTCTCCCCGTGCGGTTTCACTTTGTTGTGCCCTTTTCTTGGAAGGCATCGACTACTACAACTACTGCCGCGTACTAGTCGCGTGTAGGTACGTTTAACTTTTTTCGTGCCGTACGTAGCCAAGCGTGCCAATCGGAGGTACGAAGCACTCCGAGACGCATCGGCGATTATTATTGTTAATGTAATTATTATTATCATCATCATCCCTCGCAGAGCAGGGCTGCGAGCACCCATCCCACTTGCTCGGGTGCGAGCGAGCCGATGGGGGAACTCACGTGTTGTCCTCCAGGAAGTCGAGCACCCACTTGCGCAGGCAGTACGCGTGGACGTCCTCCAGCTCCCACTTGATGTGGATTCGCGCAAAGCTGGGGGAGGGGGGGGCAGTAGGTAATTTGGAAACATGCGTTGAGATCATTTATTATCAATTATTTGACTGCTAGAAATGTCCACGTGATAAGCCACTTCGTTAAGCTATCGTTTGTGGCCAGGTTGCTTCTGAAAGAGAAGCTAATATCTCAGTGGGCTTTACCTGGTATACTAAAGACAGATTTTTTTTTCAATCCTACCTTTCCTATACTTTGGACTCCTGTTGTCTTTTTGTATTGTTTGTTGTTGTAACTTTCAGACCCACCCCTACTGGACATCTGTGAAAAAGAGCTTTATAACTCATCGGATTCCTCCTGCAGTATAAATGAAGATTCTGATGACGGGCGAGGTGCACGACACAAGGGAGGAGTTTAGAGCAGAGATGTAGGTGAGTGATCATTGGGTGCGAGCGAGTGATATCCGAGGAAGAAAAATACAGAGAGGTGATTTCGGCAAGAGCTGTAACGGAGGCGATGGACAGCGAGTGAGTGGTAAAGGTGGACAAACGGGCGAATGATCGCCAGTTGGGTACCAAGAGGGGCGACTCACCGGCGGGCGACCGCTCTGGGGATGAGCAGCTCCTCCTCCAGGTCGGCCTCGTGCGAAACGAGCAGCAGCCGCTCGCCCGACTCGTCCACGGCAATCAAGTCCCGCTGCTCTGAGAGGGTGGACACACGGGGGCATGGGGGGGCCGGCAGGGGGGGGTGGTGGACACGGTGCAGAGACGGCGAGGTCAAAGCAATATGAGGAGAGACAAGGGTAGACGTGGGCCTGACGAGTCCGGGTGATGTGGGAAGACAAAGGGAGACTAAAGGTAAATGTGGCCAAGATCATAAACAGAGGGACACACACAGAGAGAGATCGCGTGGGTCAGAGAAACACAGGGAGACATGGGTTGACATGGTCTAGGTAAGAGACACAGGGTGCCATGGCTCTGTGTTCGAGACACGGGGAGATTAGACGATGTAAACTAAGTTAAGGAGACACAGGTAGACGTGGTCTGGCTCAGAGACACAGAGAGACATAGGGCGACACCACGTGACTCGGGGAGATGCACGGAGACACGGCCGGAGTGAGACACATACAGACTTTGCCGTGATTGGGGAGAGAGGGTGGATATTGGATTATGTCAAGCACACGTGCTGTCATGTAGTTATAAAAGGGGCAGCAAAAGAAGAATGCAGAAAAACCCTGACATAGACTGCAGCATACTTTCCCAAGTCGCCACAAATGTAGTGTTGCTCCAAAGTAAACATTTACTATAAAACCAGAGCCTGCAGTTGTGTTCCATGGCCTATGCCCCATACGCGAGGCTTCCGTGTCCTGTTTACATTGACGTATAAATTAATGCCGTTCCATGTAAGGCAATGTTTCCCCCTAATGTAAGCACGGGGGCTTGCAGCCAGGCACTCCGAGGCACCACCAAAGCTCCGCCACAAACAGGGACGAGCGGCGCAGGGTTACGAGCGCCAGCAGACGAGAACCGCCACCGCTTTCCCGCCGCATCAAACAACGGGGTCCGCGCACGCACTGCACCACGGTTTTACTCGGAGCCTGAGTGTAACTTCACGTACCGAGGTGCTGCCCGTAACTCTTATTAGCACGGTTGGTTACACACGGTGCGATACATACGTACGTACGTACAGAAACGCCAGGTATAATTATGGTAAACAGAGACAGCCAGAGGAATCCGTCAGCCTAGGGGTCCCTACGCTGGTATACGGGGATGGGTGTAGCACAGCGTGTTGTGCCACAGTACAGTGTGGTGTGGTAATGTACGGCGTGGCGCGGCATGGTTTGGCGCAATATGGGTTTTGCAGCCCGTGCCGTTTAAAACCGTGCGGTTGTAACGCACGTGGCAGCACAGAGCCACCCTCCTGCCGTGCGTGCACCGCGCGGTCTCCCCCCCCCCCCCCCACCCGCGCCCCCCCTGACCGGGCTTGCGCTTGCCCTTCTGTCCCGGCACGGGCTCGCCCGAGTCTTGAGCGTGGCGCGCCATCATCGCCACCGCGGCGTCGCGCAGGCGGAAGAGATCGAAGAGTTGGTGCAGGGAGACGTCCGTGATTAGGTCGCAGCTCAAGACGATGACGTCCCTCTGCAGAGGCAGCGCAGAGCACGCCGTGTCTCGTCGTACCGCGTCTCACCACAATCCGCTGCGCCACGCAATTCCACAGGGCCGTGCGACACCATCGGTGCCAAGCCGCACAACACCGTTGCCACGTGTTGTCCTTCGCCCCGCACCTCCGATTATCACGGTTGGCTACGTACGGTGCGGAAGAAGTTCAACGCACTTACACACCACACCGTGACACACTGTATCGCCGTCACAGCACACGCACAGTGCGTAAGTGTGCACACAAAATCACGTGTGCAGCACTAACTTGGCAGCGCAATTCATTCACGAGTCCCATGTAGTCTACACAACAGTGAGAACGTGTTGCAATGCTGCACTCGCATCAAAGGGACGTTTTTTGCTCGAAATAAATAAACAGTCCTTTTGTCAATCCACTGATTGATCTCAATCATAGGGGTTGTCCGTCCATACTTTACCATGCTGGTCAGTGATAGTTGGGGAACGTGGTGCCTCAAGAGCTGATTCAGATATCACTTGCCAACTGATGTTAGCCGTGGCTGAAAATCGAACTATGGTGGCCAGTTTCAGAACGCGCTCACCACTACCGTACCGCTCTTTATCAAGAACCATTTTAGGCTTAAGATGCAGCAGCAGTGATTTTTAAATGGCTGGTCATCACAGAGTGTAAGCACTACCGGATAACATTTCTTAACCTGTAGTAAAGTTCAGGTGAGAGTCAGTGGTATAGCTATTGAGTCAGCAGGCAGTGCAACTGCACCAGAGGCCAGGTACTGGGCTATTAAATGGGATGGGAATTTGGACAGGGGGCCCAATTTACTTCCTTACACAAGGGCCCTTGCCAACCTACCATGATATACGCCACTTGCGGAAGGATGTATCTCTAAAAATTACTGAAAAGCAAAATGCAAAGATGGAACAAGGGAGGCCACGAATTTTATCGCTTCAGACATAAAACCAAACGAGCTCGGAGTTTTGCGACCAGGTGGCCGGGAACGCGTACAAACTCACGAAGCTCGGCCTCGTCCCGGAGCAAACATCGCTGGATTCCCACCACGGACCGTGCCTGGGCCGCGATGCGTGCGAGTCGCTGCGAATAAACAGTTTACGCCAACGCCAGGCGGGCGGTCGTGCCGCGTGTAAACACGGCGTGGCCACCGGGAGCGCCATTTACATTCCCGGCCACGCACGGATACAGAGGCTAATGTGCACGCTGCGCCACCGCCACCACCTCCACCCATGTCTATGAGAGCGACGGTTTCATCGTCTAATCCACACACCGTCGTGTTCAACCACCGTACTGCAGGTCATAACAACTCACTCATTCACCCCCCCCACTCTTCAATCATTCTGACACTCACCCACTCACATCACTGCAGGTCACAACACCTCCCTTTCTGCTCCTTCCCTCGCATGGTGTCATTCGTTTTTTTAAAGAAAAGACTTACATAAGGACCCACAGACACACATAAGGATGTTTAGACCCATAGACTCAGAGAGGCCACAGACTCACCAACCGCTGCACCTCAATGAAATAAACAGGCTCACTGTGATTTAACAAAAATGCCCCGCCACCGCTGAGCGCCACCTCCAGCTGCCAGGGCATGCAAGCGGGTGGGCGGGTGAGCGGTGGTGACCTCCCCAGTGTGGCAGGCACCTTGATGCGGCTATGGATGAAACGCAGGGAGTCGGCTGTGCCCATGTCGGCCTCCTCAGGGATGCACACAATGTCGAGGCGGAGGCGCGTGTTCAGCGACGCCTGCCCCAGCAGCTGCGCTTTCACGTCCTTCGTCGTCACCACGATCACCTCTGCAACAGAGAGCGCACACAAAAGCGTGTGCACGTCTGTGTGCGTGTGCATGCACGTGTGTGTACGCATGTGTGTGTGTGCCTGCCCTTGCATGTGTGGGGAGCAGTGGTGCCATGTTAGCATACTGCCCTTCAAGCCCGGAAACTCAAGTTCGATTCCTGGCCACAGCTAAAATCACTGTTGAGCGATTGATGTCTGCACTGCTCTTGGGAAGCTTTCATGACTGCAGGGATTCATATTCTTGGTTCTTTCGGTAAAGTCACGTAGAAGGAAACCAATAAAATAAAAATATAAAACAATAAAATTTTCACGACGTTTCGACTGCAACACAAGCAATCATCAACAGGTGTGAAAAGAAAATTGAAATTTTCTTGTTGTGGTTTTCACACCTGATGATGATTGCTTGTGTTGCAGTCGAAACGTCGTGAGAATATTATTGTTTTATATTTTTATTATTTTGTTTCCCTTCTACATGACTTTACCGAAAGAACCAAGAATAAGTGTGGTGAAGTTTGGTCAAACAGCCCCAATGACTGATATGCAATGTACAGCCCTTAACAATTCATCCAACAATGAATTGTTAAGGGCTGTACATTGCATTACGTACACTGGTACTGCACAGTACAAACACAGCCCAGACACCGTGTATTCGAATGCAGGAATATTCGTGCACAGCTCTCAAGTAGACATACACGTGTACAACAACCAGCGGAAGAGTACCTTCGAAGCCAGTCCTCTCGAGCAGGTTGAGTGGATACCAGATCATTGGCTTGTTGCCGATGGGCAGCAGCGGCTTGGGAACGCTGGTGGTGAGGTCCGTCATGCGGGAGCCTTGACCCGCGGCCATCACCACTGCCTGGAACTCCATGATGGGCAACGGCGCGTCCACACGCATGCGTGGTCGTCCCCGCCGCACCACTCACTGGCACGGGCCGCACTGCGCCCACGGGCGATGGACGGATGAAGATTCTGCGGCCGTGTGTGCACCCACAAAGCCACAACAACAACCGACATTCGCCACTGAGTGGCGGTGACGTCACCACGACGCTTGTGCCAGGCCATGTGCACACACGCACACATGCACCACTGTTGTGAAAAGTGGTGTAAGCGAACATCTATTCAATCCGGCATAGCCACCATTGTCCCTACAGTGTATGAGGTCCAGTAATGATTTCAGGCTGAGTCGACCTAGGGAAGGCACAGGACTGATTCAGATATTCGCCAACGTTAGCCCAGGTTGGGAATGAAACTCAAGTGGCCACACAACATTGTGGGGGATCGTTTTGTCACGGTGGGAGTTTTAACACTTTCCAACCGACATCAAGAGCGTAAATACATTAGCTATGTCCATCTGTCTGTCTGCAATGTAGGCCACTAGCATCTCCAGGGTTGAAGAGAACCCATCACAAAAACATCAGCCATGGTCGATCCACTGCTGGATGAATGCCTTCCCAAGCCGTTGCCATCCCTTACGCCTCTTCGTCGTTGTTCCTGGCCACGGCTCATCCTCATCCCTTCTAGGAACGTATCCTGCCCAAGCCCACTTCCTTTTGTGAACAGTAAATATGGTATCATTAACCTGCGTATTTCTCTAATTTTTGTTCGTATGTATTGCCTGTATGTTGAGCTTCTTTCGCACCTTACGTAGCCAACCGTGCTGATCGGAGGTACGGGGAGAAGGACAACAAACTAAACACAAAAAGCAGTTTTAAAGAAATACATTTTCAATCTAGAATTCAAATTCCATAGCTCCAGTGGCTCTTAATGTCATTCCAGGCGCGCATCTCTCCGAGCTTCTGTGGATATTTTTCAGTGTTTGATTCCATTGTCTTCGTGAGTGTCCACATAAGTGCTCCGTATGTCATAGCTGGTAAAACGTATCGAATGAAAGATAAATACTTCTGAGGAACGCATATTAGCGTGGCACCCAAGCTACGGAACGCCTTGCCACTTGACATCAGGCAATCGGAGTGGGTAGATGTTTAAGTCCGCTTGGAAACCCCATCACTGGGATTTTTGCACACAGCGTTGGTGTACGGTGCTTTTTCTGGAATATTTTACTGTTTTTTCCTGGATTTTTCTGTTTGCACAGTCACATAGTCACTTTAAGATGTTTTCTTGTTCATGTTTTTGTTTTTTTGTTTGTTGCGGTCGCACCCGATTCAAGAGCCGAATGGCTCACAGGGCTATACCAAATAAATGAAACGGAATTCTCTTTAAAGTCGCCTTGCCTCTTTAGTTTGGTCGGTTGCCCCTGATTCTGTTTGTTTCATGCGTTCCATACAGTGCGCAATAGGGGTCCTAGGATATAATGCCGCAATATGCATTTTTGTTGGGAAAAAAATTGATTCCAAGAGTGTACATGATTTGCATTCCGTGTGACCCTCCCTTGAACTGGATAGAAGTCACCTCAATGGTGATTGGCCGGCAATGTTTTTGAATGCAAAGTCTCGGTCCAGTACTTCTACTCAATAAACACAAGTGAAAAATAACCGAATTGAGGCACCGATTGGAGTGAAGTGGTGGCTCTTTGGTTTTACGCGCTTTGCGCGATGAACCCAGCAACCTAAGTTCAACTCCGGGCCAAGGCTATAAACATCAGCGGCGGGTGACATTTAAACCGGTACAGGGCCTGCGACTTCACCAACCAGCAACAGACCAGCGTGGTGACCAACCCGCACGACCGACACGGCGACGGGTGACCTTCATCCAGCAGTGGATTGACATAGAATGTGTGTGTGTGCGTGCGATACAGTGGTTTGTGTTAATGGTGGCATGACACTGCGGGCCATACCGGTTGAAGGCGGCCCAGTCTAGGCTCTGGGTCTCAGCGGATTTTCCTCGCCACTGAGCAGAGTTCTTGAGCACGGGAAAAAGACGCACGCGCGCCACGCGTGTACAAAAGACGCACGCGCGCCCCCACACACACACAGGTGAGCACACACACACAGGCGAGTACACACGCGCGCGCACGTGTACTCACAACCACGTGTCTCTCACATACATACACACATGAACTGCTTTACGGCACATTTTACGACGTCTCCGATGACAGCTTCACGACAGCGACCGACCGACGTGAGAAGTGGTACGGTAATTTTACGACAGCCGTACGACTCCAGTGGCTTTGGGGTACCCCGTTGACGAGAGATTTACGGCAGCGAATGTCGCAAAACTTCACGCCGTGCCGAAGCAATCCCGCGGGGCTCTCAGCTGATTGTCATTTTATATTTTGTTTTTTTTTATAATACTGTAATTATTATCGATTATCCACAGAAGATTTATTTTTTTATAAAAAAAAACCACACGCACACTCGACGCTCGTAGGTTTCAATTGGTTAACGTGGACGTCGGCTTTGCTATTAACTGAAGGGGTTGTTGCGTCCTGGCGTTTTGGACCGAACCTCGGGCTAGGCACGAACCCCGCCTGCTGTGAGTGGGGGACCCCGGGTGAGGTGAGGGGCAGTGGCAGGGGGTTAGGGGGCAGGGGTAAGGGCAGTGGCAGGGATTAGGGGCAGGGGTAAGGGCAGTGTCAGGGATTAGGGGCAGGGGTAAGGGCAGTGTCAGGGATTAGGGGCAGGGGTAAGGGCAGTGTCAAGGGGTTAGGGGCAGGGGTAAGGGCAGTGGCAGGGGATTAGGGGCAGGGGTAAGGGCGGTGGCAGGGATTAGGGGCAGGGGTAAGGGCAGTGTCAGGGGGTTAGGGGCAGGGGTAAGGGCAGTGGCAGGGGATTAGGGGCAGGGGTAAGGGCAGTGTCAGGGGATTAGGGGGCAGGGGTAAGGGCAGTGTCAGGAGATTACGGGCAGGGGTAAGGGCAGTGTCAAGGGATTAGGGGCAGGGGTAAGGGCAGTGGCAGGGGATTAGGGGCAGGGGTAAGGGCAGTGTCAAGGGATTAGGGGCAGGGGTAAGGGCAGTGGCAGGGGATTAGGGGTAGGGGTAAGGGCAGTGTCAGGGAATTAGGGGCAGGGGTAAGGGCAGTGGCAGGGGATTAGGGGCAGGGGTAAGGGCAGTGGCAGGGGATTAGGGGCAGGGGTAAGGGCAGTGGCAGGGGATTAGGGGCAGGGGTAAGGGCAGTGTCAGGGGATTAGGGGGCAGGGGTAAGGGCAGTGTCAGGGATTAGGGGCAGGAGTAAGGGCAGGGGCAGGGGATTAGGGGCAGGGGTAAGGGCAGTGTCAAGGGATTAGGGGCAGGGGTAAGGGCAGTGTCAGGGATTAGGGGCAGGGGTAAGGCCAGTGTCAGGGATTAGGGGCAGGGGTAAGGGCAGTGTCATGGATTAGGGGCAGGGGTAAGGGCAGTGTCAGGGGATTAGGGGCAGGGGTAAGGGCAGTGTCAGGGATTAGGGGCAGGGGTAAGGGCAGTGTCAGGGGGTTAGGGGCAGGGGTAAGGGCAGTGTCAGGGATTAGGGGCAGGGGTAAGGGCAATGTCAGGGATTAGGGGCAGGGGTAAGGGCAGTGTCAGGGATTAGGGGACAGGGGTAAGGGCAGTGTCAGGGATTAGGGGCAGGGGTAAGGGCAGTGTCAGGGGATTAGGGACAGGGGTAAGGGCAGTGTCAGGTATTAGGGGACAGGGGTAAGGGCAGTGTCAGGGATTAGGGGCAGGGGTAAGGGCAGTGTCAGGGGATTAGGGGTAGGGGTAAGGGCAGTGGCAGGGATTAGGGGCAGGGGTAAGGGCAGTGTCAGGGATTAGGGGACAGGGGTAAGGGCAGGGATTAGGGGCAGGGGTAAGGGCAGTGTCAGGGGATTAGGGGCAGGGGTAAGGGCAGTGTAAGGGATTAGGGGCAGGGGTAAGGGCAGTGGCAGTGGATTAGGGGGCAGGGGTAAGGGCAGTGTCAGGGGATTAGGGGCAGGGGTAAGGGCAGTGTTAGGGATAAGGGGGCAGGGGTAAGGGCAGTGTCAGGGATTAGGGGCAGGGCTAAGGGCAGTGTCAGGGGATTAGGGGCAGGGGTAAGAGCAGTGTAAGGGATTAGGGGCAGGGGTAAGGGCAGTGTCAGGGATTAGGGGGCAGGGATAAGAGCAGTGTCAGGGATTAGGGGGCAGGGATAGGATTTGGAGCAGTTAGCGAGTATGGGGCAGGGGTAGAATTGGAACAGGGGTCAGAATTAATAGTAAGTAGTAAGGTCAGTGTTATGGTCACAGGGGTAGTAAGGGTTAGAGGTGAGAGAGGGAGGGACAGGGGTAGAGTTGGGATAGAGATACGGTCAGGCATTGGAGACGGGTAGGTGTAGTGTTAGGGGCAGTGTCAGGGGTTTGTTAGGGATTCATGGAAGGGATAGGATTATGGATTGGGATAGGTTTGGGGGTTCGATTAGAGTCGGTAGTTGGGTCAGAGGCTAGGAACAAGAGTAGGATTCGAGTCAGCGGTAGTAAGGTTTTGCATAATAACTGGGGTCGATTTAAGGTTGTGCTGGGGTCAGAGTCTCCTTTATTTAACCCCGCAGGTTGATCCCTCTGGGATGTGAGGTGGTGACCGCAAACCCCGAGCCGGGGGAGCCAAGGCCTTGAGAGAAAAAGCAGGGGATGTCACTGTTGGCTGGCCGCAGGTCTGTCCCGACATCAGAGGAGAAAACGGGTGAAGCGAGAGCAGGCGATGGAACGGGACGAGGTGGAAACAAGGAAGCAGGGTTCGGAAGCGATGACGGAGAGAGAATAGGAGTGGATGAAGAGAAAGGAGAGGGAAGGCGAGAAGAACCACGGCAAGGAGAGAGAAGACGAGGAGGACCATGTGGTGAAGATGACGGTGGAAGAGGACGAGACTGCGAGAGACTGGGCGAGCGCTTCCTGTGCCGTCACTTCGCCCGCGGCGAGGGCTGTGTGATGGGAGACGCGGGGCCAGAGAGCGAAGATCAGGTCCTCGTCAGGGTCAGGGGTCAAACACTGGCACGAGTCTGTGTGATAAATGTCCGTGATGAATCATTGTTTCTATTACCAAGTAGCCCCGTGTTCAAAGGCGCGATCAACTCTGCTGGTGGTCTTGAGCCAGTGGTAGAAATTCAACATTCCTATAGCGGAGGCTAGAATATCCATGTAAGGACCAATGTTGAGCTTCAATATTGTGGTACTTGATTGAACTCGGAGGCATGATGGACTGAGCTGTCTCCTGCTTGGCTCAATGACGGAACCCATTACAATGTGTTATTCATTCATGAAAATGTCACAAATTTGGCTGTTACTGGCGCCAACATGGGCCATGGTCAGCATTCCGTTATGAATATCATCGTTGACCGTTTACGACTGGAATCCTGTGCAGAAAGTGTCATTTTCTAATAGAGTATTTGCAAGATCCAAAGGGCTGAACAGATGAAAGTTGTGAGGCTGTCAGATGTGGACTGTGTGGTGGATGGGGGTAGCACGGTCTACCCAAACTGTGCAATCGCCTCTGATGTTATCCTGTTATCAGGTTCGTCTGTGTGGTCTGGGGAAGGACTTCTGCTATCTTCGAAATGTTCATGACATGACATTCTCATGAATGAATCTCATTTTTCTCAGTTAAAAATAAATTGACAAAAAAGAGGTATTACTATTTTTGGCTGTCAGAATTGACGTAATAAACAAAGCCATAATGCCACCATTTATCAAGTGTGGGTCTGCAATTGAGATTTTTTGTTACAGAAATTGGATAGTGAACTAAGCGCTCATGCAGTATTCCAAATTTTACCATTAGATGGCAAACATGACAACTAAGATGGTGCTCTTGCACACCTGCACATCAGAAGTTGTTACTAAGTCCATTGAATTTCACTTTGTTTACCAGTTTTATCTTGGCCCACTGCTGTGTGAAACAATTCAGATTTTTTTTTTATTGGCCGCCACCATACAAAATTTGGCTCGTGTCCCAAGGACATTGTAACTGGTAGGATTAATGTAAAGGAAAGGCCCATTGTTAGGGGATAGGGCTTGGATTAGGGTTAAAGATAGGTCAAGGTTAGGAATATGGTTGGATTTAGGGTTGGGGTTGGAGTTAGGGCTAGAGTGGGGTGTTTTAGGGATAGGGTAAAGATTAGGATTAGGTTAAGATTGAAATGATGTTTAGGAGATAGTGTTGGGTTTATGGTTGGGTCTAGGGATAGGTATTGGGTTGGGTTTACGGACAGGGCTATGATTACTGATTGGTTGCAGAACTCTTCTTCATGCCTTCAGTATTTCGCACGATAGCACTGCTCATTTTTCCACTCTCTTTGTGCAGGTGGTGATGTTCTTGGCAGGTGTGCTGGGCAGAATTGGCCACGGACCGCACCAACTCTTGCAGACCGAGCTCCGGGAGATAGCATTCACCTCGACCAATTCTCAAGATGTGAAGGTACCACCTCATTTCCCCTTTTTCCGACAGCGGGCAGGGATAGCGGTCACAGGGGTGTGGACATGGGCAAGTAAACAGTTTACTGCTGTGTTACCACCAGCCTTCTGGTAGCTTGCCGGTGAAACTGTCGACACCAGAAATGGCAAATGGCAAACAGGATGTGAAAGTCCAACACCTGGTCATGAGAGGGAGGGGCACTTTGCTCGGGGGTGCAGTACATCCTGCCAAATGCTTGCCTTACCACGACCAGTAGTAGGTATGTTAGGTGCACCAATTACAAATAAATTATCATGCGCACGATACATACATTGAACTGTGCATACATGAATCGATTACGTTGAATTCACGAGCATTATATGCAGATGGTATGCTAATATTATATATAGACAAATGGTGTGAGCCTAACTATACAAACAAAACAGAAAAAAATGAGAAAATACATGAGATAGTAAAAACCAGATAAAATTTAGTTCAGCCTTGCATTGAATCGTAATCCCGTATCATGAACAATCCCTCAAACCACAAAGGTTGGTGAATTCCAACTAGCCAATACCACTTACGCCAGCCCCTACCCTTGACCCTAGCGCTACCCCTGGCGCTCAACCGAGCCCGCTTTTTAATTTGTATTTGCTATTCACTTCCGGTGTGTATAGCACAGCAACATGAATCGCACAACAAAGGGGGTCCATTTGTTCTCCGCATACTTAACAGGAACGGTTGTGCGTGGGGAACAGTGGCTGTCAATAAGGCTTGACAAAACGTGAAAATGAGAATCGTGAAGGAAAAAAATCCAACGAATTAAGAGGTTGTAAAGAATACATTATACATTATTCCCAAGGTTTTTTTTTTAACTAAATACTGAATCAGTACATCGGGGAGAAAATGTACCCGCAGCAGAGTATTATTCAGGGCGATACAAACCGACGCCTTTTCCCGCCTTTGGAGAGGGGAATAATCCCCTCTTGTTTGGACTTGGCCCGCTTTTACAGAATAACCCCTTTTAGGGGAGCCACGGGGAGTGACCCCCCCAGCCCCTGCCGCCCTCTGCCCCCCCCCCCACCCGCCTGCCGGGCTCCTGTCACTTCTAGGGTGACTGCTGCACCCTGGTGTTTTGTCAGCATCACTGACACTGGCGACGCCCGTCGGCGAAGTCGTGCTGGGCGTCGCTGGGGCCAGGGTCTGGCGCTCGCAGCCACAGCGCTGGCTCCCAAGTTGCGATCGCCAGCGAGGACATGTGTTTTAATTTTTACAGGCCCGGCTTGCTGGTCGACAGTTTAAGTTATAGCCACAAACAAACGCGATTGGCGCTTTGGTGATTGAGCGCGATTCAGAGTAATTCAATGGGGATAACATCATAAAACCGTGACAGCTGTGAGAATGCTCAGCGAGAGGTTCTTTTTACAACGCGAGTCTGCTCGTCTTATTACGTAGCAGCAGGGGTGTATATACCCGAGTGCAGGACGAACGTGGCTACTGCTGCCGTGAGGTTGTGTTTTACCCATTCCCGTTGCCGCTCGCGCTCCCAGCGCCCCTGATTGAATCCCACATGACGCGAGGTGCAAGCGCTCCCAGTGTGAGATACCCGCCTTCCAGAAATTACAGCCTCGGCCTGGTATACAATTTACTTAGAACAGAAAACACATCCCCGCAGCAGTGAGGACCCGCATAGAGGTGAAATTTAGCTGCCGTACCATTAAAATCTAATCGTGGAACATTAAAGAAACAATGTGGGTCTTTTGCCAATTCAGTGATTTTTACTGCGACTGCCGGTGCTTTACCGCAGGCATGGATAAGAGTTTACCATTATTGCACACGCTCGTTTGTGCTCAATCTGACCTGTGGCATGGTTGGGCAGAGTGCTCGATTTATAATCGGAAGGGTTGTGAGATTGAATTTCAGTTTATGGTCAAGTCGGTCCTTCATCTCTTCTGGGTCGAAAAGTTGATTTGCTGCTTTGTGAAGAGTAAACAGTCATCATCCGATGGAGAGACAGGGCCTTTGCCGTGACAATGTCAATTTCCAATGGTGACTTAGAGCCACCGATGGAGATGAACACTGCCCCAACACTTGTTCGGGCTGGGAGAAACTTGATCTGAGGATACAGAATTTTTCCTCTTTTTTCGGGAATTTTAACAACTAAAGTACACATTCTGCTGTCTTTCCAGTCGTGTCCCTCTGACATATATATTACATTATTTAGCGAACTTGCTGTATTTGCTATTTATCTTTCAATCCAAATTTACAATCTTAACCCATGCAGAATTTGGCACAGATGTGGCTATCCACCTGTCCATGGTCTTGCTGGTACCAGTGGTGCATCGCTGCTTACTTGTGCGTAAGCCAGAAGAATATTTGCATCGTAGTTTCATTTTATTGCTAATTGGGAATTTGCAGCGGGGGAAACCTTATGGAGTGTAATCCCAGCGATGAAGTAGATTTAGGAAGTATACTTTTAATTGGTTTCAGACTACCGCGAGAGGCTGTAACCTCCTCAGAGTGGCAACTTCAGTGCGAGCTGTTCTCGACCAACGCACATATGACAACAATCAGCTGATTTATGCACGTGGACTAAATGCATGGTTAGCTCTTAATTATACGTGCAGCCCTCAGAGCCATGAGTGGAAAAATGCTGGAATGCGCCCGGCTGGAGGGGTTTTATTTTCTCTGCCGACCCGCTTTTGGCAATTCGCTAAAACGCAGCCTATCGCTTTGGAGGTGGCTGGGTAGCTCGGGGGGGATAATACCGTGTCGGAGCACTGAGCCGGCACCGCCTGAAAGCCTGGGTTCAATTCCGGGTTTCATCCACCCGTGATTAAACCGGGTTTCCAAGTTGATGGTCTCAGCTCGGTCACCAATGACTGCACAACAAAAATACGATCATTAAATGTGGTTTTTAATTTAGTTTTCCATATTCCAGCTATAAAAACTGAATATATCTGTTTGATGCCCATGTGATGAATGCCCTATGTGTAGCATTAAAAACGTGCCAACTGGTTGTGTATGAGAGGCCTTTTTCAAGGGACTTAAGAAGTAGATGATGTTATCTTCTTGGGTCAAATGAGAGTTCCAAATGGAAATGTCTTGTGTCTGACACAAATAGGACAATTCGAATGTTATTTAGAGAAGAAAAAACACAAAATACACCTAATGAGCATCTTTTATTTTAAGGTTCCATTGAACCTCGACTATTTGAGGTGTGTTCCTCTTACAGTGAGTGAAAAAAGTATTTGATCCCCTGCTGATTTTGTACGTTTGCCCACTGACAAAGAAATGATCAGTCTATAATTTTAATGGAAGGTTTATTTAAACAGTGAGAGACAGAATAACAACAAAATCCAGAAAAACGCATGTCAAAAATGTTATAAATTGATTTGCATTTTAATGAGGGAAATAAGTATTTGACCCCCTCAATCAGAACGATTTCTGGCTCCCAGGTGTCTTTTATACAGGTAACGAGCTGAGATTAGGAGCACACTCTTAAAGGGAGTGCTCCTAATCTCGGATTGTTACCTCTATAAAAGACACCTGTCCACAGAAGCAATCAATCAATCAGATTCCAAACTCTCCACAATGGCCAAGACCAAAGAGCTCTCCAAGGATGTCAGGGACAAGATTGTAGACCTACATAAGGCTAGAATGGGCTACAAGACCATTGCCAAGCAGCTTGGTGAGAAGGTGACAACAGTTGGTGCGATTATTCGCAAATGGAAGAAACACAAAATAACTGTCAATCTCCCTCGGCCTGGGGCTCCATGCAAGATCTCACCTCGTGGAGTTGCAAGGATCATGAGAACGGTGAGGAATCAGCCCAGAACTACACGGGAGGATCTTGTCAATGATCTCAAGGCAGCTGGGACCATAGTCACCAAGAAAACAATTGGTAACACACTGCGCCGTGAAGGACTGAAATCCTGCAGCGCCCACAAGGTCCCCCTGCTCAAGAAAGCACATATACATGCCCGTCGGAAGTTTGCCAATGAACATCTGAATGATTCAGAGGACAACTGGGTGAAAGTGTTGTGGTCAGATGAGACCAAAATTGAGCTCTTTGGCATCAACTCAACTCACCGTGTTTGGAGGAGGAGGAATTTTGCCTATGACCCCAAGAACACCATCCCCACCGTCAAACATGGAGGTGGAAACATTATGCTTTGGGGGTGTTTTTCTGCTAAGGGGACAGGACAACTTCACCGCGTCAAAGGGACGATGGAAGGGGCAATGTACCGTCAAATCTTGGGTGAGAACCTCCTTTCCTCAGCCAGGGCATTGAAAATGGGTCGTGGATGGGTTTTCCAGCATGACAATGACCCAAAACACACGGCCAAGGCAACAAAGGAGTGGCTCAAGAAGAAGCACATTAAGGTCCTGGAGTGGCCTAGCCAGTCTCCAGACCTTAATCCCATAGAAAATCTGTGGAGGGAGCTGAAGGTTCGAGTTTCCAAACGTCAGCCTCGAAACCTTAATGACTTGAAGAAGATCTGCAAAGAGGAGTGGGACAAAATCCCTCCTGAGATGTGTGCAAACCTGGTGGCCAACTACAAGAAACGTCTGACCTCTGTGATTGCCAACACGGGTTTTGCCACCAAGTACTAAGTCACGTTTTGCAGAGGGGTCAAATAATGATTTCCCTCATTAAAATGCAAATCAATTTATAACATTTTTGACATGCGTTTTTCCGGATTTTTGTTGTTGTTATTATGTCTCTCACTGTTCAAATAAACCTACCATTAAAATTATAGACTGATCATTTCTTTTTCAGTGGGCAAACGTACAAAATCAGCAGGGGATCAAATACTTTTTCCCTCGCTGTACACCCACTACAGATCACAAGCAACCACTTTGGCGACTTCCGAGTCGAGGCCGCTTGTAGCGACGTGTGTGGCTTACAAGAGGTTACAGTTACTGGGGGCGATCTCGTCGCGTAGCGCGAGTAATCGTCGCGGGAGCCGGCGAGGAAGAAGCGGGGGGTCATCTCGTGCACCCGCGGCCACGTAGTCTGGTACTGAACTCGCAAGCAGCGGCCCGGCGAGGATCCTATTACCCAAATGTAGAGTTGCCAGTGCGGCCCGACGGCGTCAGCGTGCGCACGCTGGCGCCCTTCCGAGCAGGTCCGAGGTGTCGCTGTTGGCCGTGCTGGATGGTTCCCGTGCAGCCTACTGAAATTCCGCAAACAGCTATTCCAGGCACGCGGCATTTTGTGACAGAGCCGGCGTGTGCTTTGTGGGGGGGCTGGTTAAGGACGGCCTACTGGTGTTTGTTCGATTTCACATCTTTGCGCCAGACGTTGTCCCCTGGAGGTCTGTTTTTCGGCACATGTAGCCTAAACAGTCTGGTGCAGGCTGAGGTATGAAGCAATGGAAACTGTAAATGTCTGAGAGACAGGGTAAACATCACGTGAAGTGATGCTTTGTTTAAGGCCGATCGCACGAACTCTCCTGCGCTGCGTGGGTCACATTCAAAAATATACAAGACATTCTTTTCCAAGGCCGGTACGCGCGTGGCGGGGCTGAATGTGCAAGCGGGGCCTTCGTTGCCGCTAAACTCCCCGCGCAGTTCTAAACACAGATCGAGAATTCTCATCCATCTTTATGACAAGACTTTCATATGTCCTCCCGTTCGGTGAACGTAAAACTCCAAAACGGAACATAATAAAACGAACCTCTTTAACGCGCACTCATTAACGCCCGCATTTTCCTGGCACTCGTCGCCCGCAACCCAGACACTCTCGCCACCCCCTGCGCACGCCCGCTGCTCTCTAAATCTCGCCGCCCTGTTGCTGTCCGTCGCTTGCAGCCGGCGCTGGTGCTATGCTCCCCGCCGCGGCTTCTCGCCTGGGCCGAAGCGCTGGAGAGGCGCGGCACCGGCTGCCGGGCGGTGGTCGTGGACGGTGCCGAGAGCGCAGGGGCCCTGGCCGGACTGCTTCACGGCGACCGCCACCACGAGGTCGCCGTCGCTACATACGCGACGGCACGACTCCACCTGCATGAGATGAACAGGTGCTGCGCGCGTTGGGGCTCGGGGGCGTGTGCCACCAGGCGCAAGGTGGTACCAGGCGCAGGTGGTACCAGGTGCAGGCATTCACTCTCCAATAATCTCTGCCTCATACTATTCGTGTCCTCTCTTGTTTTGTTACGTGACTTCAAAATTGGTGAACGTGAAAATACGAGGACATGTGCCCTTATCGTGTGCTTTTTAATTGGTGAATAGGACTTAAGCCTGGGCCCGATAATTTTTTTATTTTTTCCATTTCTGTGCATGGGCCTGTGCAAGCACAAACCCCTGTGTATAAACGTAATAGACTCGGGAGCCTCGATTTGAACTCTTCCTGCGCTGGGGAGGAAATTTGGCAATAAAAAGGGGGTCAGTGGCTTCTCGGACCCTAATGGGAGACTTAAACCGGTGGCGAAGAATGGCAGGCCACATTTTGAAATAGTCAGGGCTTTGTGCCTCATTGCTCCAATTGTCATTAAAGAGTGAAGGGAGACAGAAAGGGCTCTCTCTCTCTCTCTCTGCCTGCCAGTGTTGCATGACTGTTCGGCAAGGCCGTAAATGTTTTGCCAGGTGTGTGCAAAGCTGTTTGGCTTTCTGTTTGAGCTAGGAATTTTTATATATATTTATGTATATCTATACATATACACACACACACACATGCACAGTACACGAACCGCACGTGTGTGTGTGTGTGTGCATATATATATATTTTTTACAATGGGCGCATTCACCACTCCTTTACGCATCTGCACAGACCGTGGAGGCTGCGTTTACACGCGGCGCACATGTGTGCCAGAAAGCCACGACAAGAACCGTGGCCTCGTCCGCAGCTTCGGAGTCCCCTGGCCGGTGGCGCCGTAGCGCTTGTTTCGCATTGCCGATGCCACTGTCGGTTTCACTTGGTGGTGCCGACGTAGAAACGTCCTCAAGGGGTTTCTTGCAGAAGGAAGCGTGACGCCCGAAGGCACACACAGTCTCGTAGATGGGATATACACCTGCGTTCTATATCCTGGGCCGCGTGACCCAAGTTTTGACGCTTCATCAATAAGAAAAAAATACTTGACAATTACGGTAATGCATGCCCGACAAAGCGCGTTCAAGAAATGTGCAATAATAACGTGCTTGATTGTAGGAAAAATGTAATGACAGTTATTATCGTTAATATCATTTACAGTACTTTGTCAAACGAGTGCTGGCTGAAAGCCTCCCCACTTTACGCGTTTTAAGCTGAGTGTTGATTCAGCAGCTGAGACACCTCTGTAGGGGTTCCAAGTGCATCAGCTGACAAACTAAAACATGGCTAGGAAAGCTCTTCCTTATTGAGGGCTGAATAGGACTTTCAACCGTGCACACTCGTGTTATACCTACTATAATCACCCAGGAATGTCTGTCCTTAATGCTCGTGACGTCACTCCACATCGACCAGTCCCCCTCCTTAATATTCATGAGCAGGTGACGTCCTCCAAACGGACACCCCCCCCCACCCCCCTCACTAATAATCATGTGCAAGTGACGTCACTCCACATCGAACAGCCCCCCTCATTAATAATCACGAGCAGGTCACGTCCTTCAAATGGACACCGCCCCCCCCATTATTATTACCTACTATAATGAGCCAAGAATGTCTGTGTGCAACGTTCGTAACGTCACTCCACGTCGACCAGCCCCCCTCAATAATCATGAACAGGTTACGTCCTCCAAATGGACACCCCCACCCCCCCCATTCATAATAATTAGTGGCTGACGTCACTCCACATGGGGGGCCGAGGCGCCTCCTCCCCCCTCCTCGGTATCAACTTACAACCCTCACTACAAAGGCAGAACACTCACGTCACGCGATCTCCGTAACGCTATTGAGACATCAAAGTAAAAAGGACGTCATGATGAACAAGGGATTATAACCTTAAAATGAAATAGGTCTGTGTCACCGCGGCCTTACAAATTGCACACGCATTGATGCAATGAATATCACGTTGCGGTCTGCTTTTCGCTTGCAAGTTTCAGGTTTACTGCAATACACCCGTCCTTGGACGGGCAAAAGGCTAGTCCAATAATAACGTGGAAAATAACGAGGGGTTCACCTTGAAATATCGCGCTAAATTTAGAAACATATTGTCGCCAGGTGGAAAATATTTCCCCTCTTCGTACCCGATTCGTGACGCTGATTGCTTGCAGTGACGCGCGAATATCGTTTTGCACGCCATTTCAAAGCGGTGGGCCTCGTGTGGCTACGTGCCACACGAAGTGAAGCCGCGGGCTGTAGTTTCAGTTTTTTAGTTTTCATTTATTTGGTATAGCCCTGTGAGCCATTCGGCTCTTGAATCGGGTGCAACCGCAACAAACAAAAAACAAAAACATGAACAAGAAAACATCTTAAAGTGACTATGTGTGACTGTGCAAACAGAAAATCCAGAAAAAAACAGCCAAATATTACTGTTGCCCACCCCTGGGCTAAAAAGGACAGACATTATCGGGAGGCTTGAGAGGCGGCGGGAGTGGTGCTCCTTGGATGATACCACACGTATCTCTCAGCTCAAGGGTGGGTTGACCGTGCTTCTTGTTCTTCATGTGCAGCTTAACCAACAAAGCCTCGGCTGCCCCTCGCCCATCAATTCTGAGAGAAGCAAAAACAACCTCTCTTTTTTTTGTGCGTGCTTACATTTTTTTGCAAACGGCAGTTTGTGTTTATAGTTTTAGCGTGTTCCCTTTTGGATTCGTTTTATTTTTGTTTAATTGTGCCAGTCATTTTCATCCGTCCGCTTGTCATTTGCCATATGTTAGGCTATGCGTGAGAGACTGTGTGCGTGTGATTGTGTGTTTATATACCGTGTGTGTGTGTGCGCTGTGGGGTGAGTGGTGGTGCAGTGGTTATCGCACTGCTCTATAAACCCGGCAGTCCCAGCTTCGGATAACATCAACGGCAAGGGATTTTTGGACCAGCCCCTGGGACTACTCTAGGTCGACTAAGCATTAAATGAGCACTGCACCTGGTGCAGTGTGTAACTATCAGCACTGAGGAGACAAAGGCAGTCAGGTGTGGTGTTAGCCAAGTTACCCAATTGTACACCTTTCCAACCCAAATAGGTGTTCACAGCTCTTTTGTCAACAATGTATTTGGGTATATGGGGAATCTTTGTCTTTTGTGTGTTTCTATTGGAAGTACAGAGTGGTTTTAGTGGTTCACATGTTGCACAACAATTATGGTTCCCTGGGTTTAATTTCCGTTGCAATATACATCAATACTAGTGGCAAATTATTTCTGAATTTGGTCTCGGTTTCCCCTAAGTCAGCTGAGCATAAAATGAAAGCATGGAATAATGTGTCATCAGTACCAATGTATATCAAGGCAGCTCTGCTTGGTGCTTGCAGCTAGGGGTATAAAATTGTATTGTGTCGTTGATTAATATCAATTCGGAAGCCAAATGATACGAGCATTGAATCGCATATTTAAGAATCATTGTTTTTCCATTCGTATGTGATGCGCTCTCGTGGCGCCTGCAGCTGCTAAAGGTCACTAAATTCATGGTAATATTGTGCTCCTGAATTCGTGACAACTCATCGACTCGCCGGAGTTGCGGTTCACAGTGTTTTTCACTCATTTTAAGAGCGGGGCCACTTTCGCCGACAAGATAACATCAGTGTGAGGTTAGCCACACATTTCAAACCATTGGGTTTGACAGCAGCATGGAGCGTTTTCACATTTGCTTATTGTCGGAGGCCGCACGTCAGGGTTCGCACTAATGGCCACCAGGGGCTGCCCGTGGCCCACAGGCCTTGCAATGAAGAACATTGCAAGGCCCACGTGTGCTGCCCCAGCCTTAGTAGGCGCTTGGTAACAGTTGGTGGTGCTCGTGCAGCGTGCAGTGGTCGATGGTGATTGTGGAGGAACCTCAGCGGCCGAGGGACCAGGATGGGGAAGCCGAGCCGTGGCCCCCAAAGGGACAGGGGCAGCACTGCGACTCAGGGCCCCTTGCCCCACATGAGGGACCCTGGCCAGCGCAGTCCGGGCATCACGCCGTGCCCCCGTGCCCCGTCGGTGACAGCGCCACCTCCAACTTCCACAACCCCTGGATACGGGACTGGCACACGCTGCGTGCTATACGGTGCCCCGTCCGCATCGGACTAGCGGACACCGCCCTGAGGAGCAGTCTAGTGGATCTGTGGAGCATCGTGGACTGGTAATGGCGTGGGTGGCACGTGGCTGCCCGAACAAAGTGTTGATCGCTAGTGGTGGCACTTATCGTTGCGAGGCGACCGTCTTCCCAGCAGAGCATGTGAAAGGAATCCATCTCGGCTTTTTCAAAGCCTTCGGGCCAGGTGTGGCTAATAAAGTTAAAGGGAAAAATGTGACAATAAACCAGTGCGATTCACATAATCTGTATTAACCACACCTGGATTGATAACGTTGGAAAATTTTAAGTGGATTCCTTTGTTCCTAAATTCTTTAAGACGTGGCCTTGAGAGGCCACCGGCAAAGCAGCAATTACAACGGTGATATTTATTCGTTTAGCGTGGCGTTGGCGCAGCTGTAACGGTTGGCGTTGCCTTTCAGGGCGGTGCCCGGTAGCCTGGGCAGCATTGGAGAGTTCCACGAGGAGTTCGCATCGCCCATCGAGACGGCACGCTGGCATTCGGCCACCGGGCGCGAGCGGCGCCGTGCCCAAGTGGCCACGCGGGCTCTTGCTCGCCGTCTGTTCCCACACCTCTTCCTCCCCTACTGCCGCCGGTGGACTTCCGCCGAAGCCACCACCACCACGCGGCACCACAGCAACCAGGTGACCCGATTCCCACGCGTTTCACGGGCAATCTAAACTTGACATCCTCTTTACTCACAAACTCTGGCTTCGTATTAGGTGGTTTGTGCTACGCACGTAGTCTGGGGTGCGGTCAATCACAGGCACAGCCTCCAAGGCTGGGAACACGGCTCCAGAGTCATGTGGCACAGTTGAAAGAAAAACAAATTGCATCAGCGAATCTAATGTAAGATGCATCAAACGCGATATCCATCGAGTGAGAACAGAAAACTGACTTCGACGTAAGAGTAGTTCTTCCGAGTAGGTGAGCAGACAAGTCTAAAGCTACGAGGCCAGGTTCTTGATGAAGTCTGCACCCTCCAGGCCAGCTAGTGGAGGCAGTGTTTCCTGGTGCGTGTTTCTGTCTCGCTAATCCCGGTGCATCTCCTGTCCGCTCCGAGTAGTGGGATTCCCTGCCCCCACTACCAGTGTTAGCCATGAGTGGCGGCAGCACAAAGGCATCTCGCTCGCGGCGCTCTCGCACACGAATTTAAATCGGCGTGGTTCTCGGTGATTAATACAGAGCGGTCATTTCCGAGTGCAGTTAACCGTGGATTCTTCTCCACTTGGGGGGTAAATGGGCCACACGATGTGTAGGAGAAGCCAGCAAATTTACCCTTCCATAAAAAACAACTTGAATTGCTTGTTTTAATCAGCGAGGGCTTTAACAACGAGAAGTTTGTTTTGGCTGCTCGTCGCATTTAGGTGCACAAAAAGCGCCGTGGCCCAAAAGAGCGGCGGCGAACGGGAGAGTTTGCGACGCTCGCACCATAAACAAGGACGGTAACATAAACACAGTGCAGCCCCGCACGCACTGGGGCAGTCTCTCCCAGCTCGCTCGCACACGCACGTGTAGTGGGCACAGGCGGTGGTGGCTGTGCGTGTGCACGTGTGTGTGTGCGTGCGTGTGTTGTGTTGGGAAGAAAGGAGACCACCCAGGCACTCCCGCTGCCGAGCCACCCAGCCTGCCCCCACACTCTCCACCGACTCCCACCCTCCCCCCCCCCCCCACCCACCACATCCCCCACCAGCTCAGAGCCAGGTTTACCAAGTGCACTTCCTGAGCTAATAAATCCAGCAGCCGGTGGGACAGCCCGGCAGCGATGGTGGGGCAAAAGGTGGGGCATCTGGTGGGGCAAACGGTTGGGAGATGGGAAGAAGATGCCGGGCGCAGACCCACGTCGTCGGGCCCAGGTGTCGCTTGGAGGACGACTGGGGGTGGACGAGCTGAGGAGCGGTGCGGGCTGTGTGATTAAATGCCCGCTGTGCCGAGGCTGGGGATCCACGCTGGACTCCGTTTATTTCTCTCCTTCTCCCACAAGTGCTTTTAATCACAGTCGAGCAAAGGCTGCCTGCACCATTAATTAGAAAACACAACAATGAAATGTCAGACTCATACTTTTCAACGAGCATATTTTTTTTTCTCTCTTCACTTGAACAGCATTTCCTTTTGTTGTCATGGCTTGGAGCGACTTCACTTTGTAACGAAAGGTTTGGTTTTCCCTCTTTCCCCCCCCCCCATCGCTCACTGCTGTCATTTAATCCAACATTGCTCCTGGTAAAGGGCAGTCGGATTCACTGAGATTTTTTTTTCTACCCACGATGACGTCCTGGACAGCGCGCGTGGCGGTCACGCTCCGTGTGACCGCTCAACGTGCCCTGGGGAGTTGCGCTGTTGTTACAAGGACATTGCGGTCCCCCAGGGTGGTCGCGCCCAGCAGTGGAGCATTGACTCTATAACAGGAATCAAAAGTCAACGTGTCTTCCTGCTCAAATAAGTAAAGGGGCAGCACTGGCAGCCCTGAGCCAGTTTTGAAATGTTTTTCTTTGATGCAGCAGTGGCCAGTATTTCTAAGGGTCTTTGCGCACAAGAGCAAAGACCCTGAGCCAGTGTTGAAAATGTCATGTTCTCGTGGCAGTAGCCAGTGTCGCTTCCCACAATGTGGTACTCATTTTATGAACTTAAGTCCACCGCTCACTCGACTCGGCTGTACGGTTCAATTATGTTTATATCAGTGTGCTCTGGCCAGAAAAAAACTTTACCGAGTCTCAAGACACATTTTCAGGAGGGTCCTGTTTGGCATTCTTTCCCGGAGGGAACCAGAATTTCTCAAATTTGTGCACGCAATACAAGAATGCGAAAGGCATGGCGGCTCGTGCAAGCCGTATCGTTAGGTATTTTTATTTGGCCGAAAGCTGTTTTTTACACGCACACAACAGGTGCCAATTTTCCCAGTTTGTAAAGTTCACATTACAGCTTTCAGGGTGCGGCATTGGCCCTGCGCCAGGTGTGGTCTAATTCTAACCCACGTGCGTGCCCCAATTTACATCTGCTCATTTTTTAGTTTCCATTGTAAAATGTAAAGCATGTGGTTGCATTGTTTCCTCGGGCGACAGCCTTACTCATGGCCACAATTGCTCGTGTTTTATTCTGCCGAACAGGACGAAGCACGAGATGGGGACGCTGGGGAGACGGTGGCGTGCGGCAGGGCTATCAGCGGGGAACAGTGGACGCGACGGGCGCCGGTGGCGGCGGCGCTTGCGGCAGTGGGAGACCCTTGCCGTGACAGCACCAGCAGTGACAAAGGGGTCACCCACTCAATCGTAACCGCGCAGGTTCAACCCTCGGATCGACTGCAGCAGCCCAGCCTGCTGGGCTCAGGCCGATTCACATGCTTCCTTGAAGAGTTTGCCGAGTTTTTCGAAATGGGTGGCGAAATAGCGGAGAGCGCATCCTCCGATAATTCGTGCAGCGATTCTGAAAAGGAAACGGGTGCCCGCCAGGGTGACGCGGACGAGCCACGTGGAGAAGCTTGGCCGCAACGTTTGAGCCGGCGTGTTGACGGAATCTGCGTTATTTCCGCCTCGGAGCTCACAGAGAACGTAGTCCCCGAGAGTCCGGTTTCACGTGTCGCTGAAACGGAAAGCAGCCATGAAGGTGGCAGCAGCAGTTTAGAACAGCAGAGCAAAGACAGGGATATTATTTCTGCTGTACCAGACACGGGCAATACATCCAGTAACAGCGAGAGGGACCGTGCGTCACCGGTAAAGGAAAGTTGTGCATTTCAACGTAACCCTGCGCACAATGCCGCAGCGCTAAAACAGAGTATCGACAGACCAAGATGTCAACGCAAAACTTCAGAAGGAAGTTCATCCAAACTGAAGATCGCGAGGCACAGGCAGAGGAGCTCTGTGGCTGGGGAGGTCAGCGAGGAGTCGGACGACATCAGCATCTCCTCGTCAGACGAGCTTGTTATGCCGGCAGCTGTGAGGAGGACAGGAGGAGTTTCCGTTCAAGCCGAGGCATTGGTTGCACCCAGACAAGCAAAGAGGATTGTGTTTGAAGGGGAAACCCCGGAGATCAAAGCCTTCAGTTTGTCATCTGATGAAGGTGGCGTCACCACTGGGGTTCGGGCGGATGTCCGAAGTGACAACCCGCTCGGCACAGACACCACCCCGGACGACGTGCGGCGACGCACTGAGCCTCTACTTCCGCACAGCTACCGCCGGCCACAGCAGGAGGCGGTGGCTGCCGCAGGGGGAGCCCCCATTCCAGGCTCTGAGTCAAGAACCCTCAAATGGAAGGGCGTTCCTGTGACGATCGGACAAACACCAGACACCATGCGTAGGTGAGACTCCAGCTACATTGACGATACATTGACAAAGAATGTCACGATGCAAGCTTGTCCATTTCAGCATCGTTATGGATGAATGTAAGGGGCTTGCTGTGCTTTATTGATTTTCCTTGTTGCAGGGAGCATTTCGAGGAAATGGCCAGACACCGTGGCCTGGGTTCAGTGCAAGATCTGGCCACGCTGATTCTGCACAGCGACAGGGAGGGACGTCTGAAAATCATGCAGGACTTCTACACCTCTCGCCAACCCGAGCTGTGCGGCGTCCTGACCGAGCTGTACGCCACAGGCGTGGATCCTCGTGGCGAGAAGCCTCCGAGGGCCAAACCCCCTCGAGCACGCAAACCAAGGCACGGCGCTCCGCTGACCTACGACAGCAGCTCGGGCTCGGACGATGTGCAAGAAGCAAGTTGTCAAACTCGTCACAGGGTGGCAGTTGCCCAGGGTTTTGAGGACGAGGTCCAAGGAACCCGAGAAGCGTACACCTGTGTTCTTGGTGATAACAAGCCCAAATTTGTTCCGAGTTCTGTGACAACAAAGGATGCCCCTGAGCAGGAACGAGGTCTGATTTGCTCATCAGCTGACCTGACCGGGTCAAAACAACAGCTTTGCAACAGCCGTGTTTTCTGCAGCAGCGGCAGGCAAGGTTTGACTTCGTTAGCGAGTGACGCTACTGTTGGGACAGGAACAGCAGCCAGAAGTTCCACGGACGACCTCTCCGAATTGCTCGGGGACACGTCAATCCTGGCTGATTTTTTCGGGCACAGGCGGGACAAGGGGGACGGCAGAGGTGGGGGTTGTGGGAGAAGCAGAGAGCGGCCCGGCGGGGGTGAGGGGAAGCGGGCATCCACAGCTGCACTGGAGCCGGGCCCTATAGTGAAGGTGCGTGCAAAGCGGAGGGACTTCCTGGATGAGATCCTGAGTGGCGATGGTGGCGCTGAAAGTGTGGAGCAGTTGATGGACCCATCCAGGGTGGAGGCCATGACTCGCCCCGGCCTCCTCCACCGAAACAAAGCCACCGCCGGGGGACGGGAGGAGTGCTATGACCCCTGGGACACGGCGCTGTGGAAGAAGAATGAGAGTTTTTTCCTGAAGCGTGGAGATTCCTGAAAGCCACACGTGTCGATTTCATGATGGCCACAGAGGAAAAAAAAACCTGCAGTTGTGACTTGACTTGGCAACAGGGAGCCAAGGTTTAGGTCGCGGCTTAAGCACGGCATTGAGGTTTGTGGCTCAGGTCCAGCAAATATGAAATGAGTGCTTTTGTAATGAACTTGCCTCTGGCTTATGGTGAGTAATATATCATGGGATTTAAAGTGTAATAATTAAGCATGGCATGTTAAACATTCTTTGCCACCCAGCAGCATGCATTTTTCGAATAGCTAATGAAATGCACATCGCTCGGTGAAGTTACTGGGCGTTTAACTCGTACGCTCCATGACCAATGTTATGACTCAGAATTTATTTTTGGGTTTGATCGTATGAGTCCATTTCTAATGTGTGTTGTGCACCCTCCTCCAACCGACAACCAAGTAAATACAATTGTCAAGTGAACAAACACACCGTGATTTAATACTTCAGCTCACCGGTATGTTGAGGTGCAATCCAAATTGTTGAATGTTGTTGTTTGCTCACCAACATACCGCTGTGCTCAAGCAATGAAATGTGGCCCGTTTGTTTCACGTTACCGCTTTATTTGGCGGGTAGAGACGAGCCTACATTACACATTGGCATTTTACTCGCACGACGATCTGACCCAAGAATCAACGATGGGATTGCGCATTTATCACTTCGTTTGCCAAGGCAGGTGGCAATGCCAGGAAAAATCCAAGCTTAGTTCGGGCCTAAATCTCAGCATGCTGTAGCCAGGTACCGTGGGTGCTGGTGGTGCAAAAGCACCGGAACGCGCCTCCAAGCTTGCACACAAGATACACCACGTGACTTCAGTAGTATTCTTAATTTTAATTACCCTCTTAGAATATAAATTTTAAATGTAAAACAAATAATCTGGGAATATAACAGTGTAGCTTAATTACTGCATTGAACACCATACATGCTACGTTTTAAAATGTTTCTATAAATAATGTGGTGTACACCTAAATGACGTCTTAGAGGTAATAATTTTTACGTAATCAGTAAATAAGTAATATTTTTAAAAACGCTTTTATGAAATATACTTGTAATGGAAGAACTCCACGACTCCAGGATGTGGCCCCGAAGCTTGCCACAACGTAACGGACCGTGACTAATTACAGCCAACGTCAGTCGACCGTGGACAATTACACCCAAGCCGAAACATAACATATAAAAAATAAAGTTTAAAATATATAATTTTTATGATAGAATATAGTATTGTCATCAGTATAACATAAGTATACCAAGTTTACAGCCGATACACACATCGGGAAGTGGGTTAAAATTGAGTTACAAGATTTGAGGATACAAGCGTGTTAAAAAAATGCACTTTAAAAATAAAACTTTTTTATTATTTTATGTACTGTGCTCATTATTTTGTGTGTCTGAGCAGCATTCCTCATCTGTTAATAAAGCTTTATTTAAACAATTTCATCATAAACAATTACCTTATTTTTTATCGATGTCATTACAACCCGCATCAAAGTGCTCAATTTCTCTCTTTGGAAAGAAAAAAAAACGTGATTCTGTTTGATTTTGAGAGACAAGATATCACTCTCCATTAAACAGTGGCAAAATTTATTCTTCCACAATCGAGTAAAATAACTCCACCTCCCGCATCGACGCTCGACCACGATACGAACTCACGACTTTCCGACCGCGAGTCGAGTCTCCCGCCTCTCCGCCACGACGCGCGGCAGGGGACGGAGCACCGCTCTCCTGGGCAGTCCGCGGGGCGTGACCCGGCCTCCGTTCGGCCGAGCGAAGGGATCGCAGGCCCCCCTCCAGCCACTGGTTGGCCACCTGCACGGACGCCGATCTCGCGCCGCAATCGGCACTCCGAGCCTCTGGCAGCAGGCGGCTCCAGATCGGCGCGGGAGCACCTGTGGTGACCGGCAGCAGGGGGTTATTTGACCACACTTCAGCACGAATATTAAGCCTAGAGTAGAGCGGTACTAAGAGTAAATGTGTTATTTTCTGCTGTGCTATAGAACGATAATATTGTACTCTGGCATAGGGGCCGTCCATAAATTACGTCACGCGATTTTGGACGATTTTTACCCCCCCCCCCCCCCCCCCCCCACAAAACCATATTTTTTTCCATTTTGAAAATAAACCATGCTTCAAATCGCTTTAAACTATTGTCATTGTAGTGCGTATTTAATGTGGCGCTGCACTCTGATGTTGTAGGATAAAACATTTATTCAAAAGTCTATTTAAATAAGTAGAACGTGTTGTCTGTATTTAAAGTTGCGCATTTTGATGTGACGTCACATTTCTCAAGCCCCCCCCCTCGTCACACATCGCCACAAATGTCTGACCCCCCCCCCCCTCCCCCTAGTTGCGTGACATCATTTATGGACGGCCCCATAGTAGTACTGCGCAGTAATGGACTTTGCTGCGCTTCCCTGTGTTGCCCCACCACGTTGCCCCACAGCCGAGAACAACATGCTATGCATGGTGGTCACCTATCCAAGCACTATTCAGACTCGAACCTACTTAGCCTCTGAAATCTGTCACATTCAGGGCAATTTGGCAAGAGGCATGACGTCACCCGAGTTGTAATGTCACGACGCCCCCCCGCATGCCGTTGATGTCACGGTGACAGATGCAAACCTATTGGTATAAGATATTCGCTGGTCGAACCCCATGCTTGCCTCTGCGAGTGAGTGCGCGTTGTTGAGCCGAAAGCCGTTCGCTGTCGGGCGGCGTGCAGTCGCTGTGCCTCCAGATCGCGACACGGCGGGCTTGGTACGATGAGGCACTATCTGATCGCCCTGGGGCCCTCTCTTTGGTGGTGTTGTGGTTTGGCCGGTCACCCCCATCGCTGTAATTGGAACTGCCTCCTGGATACCCATGCGCGAGCTGGTCTGCCTCTGTCCTGTCGGGGCTACGTGGCTGTGACTCACTTTCTCTTGGCCCAAGGGGTGGTTTTCCACTTTCATTCGTCTCGTGCTGTACTGATCCACTTTCTGCTTGAACAGGGTGTCCTGAAAAACGGTCCACTGGACCAATGGTGCCTGAACCACTCTCCACCAGTCCAGGGTTCCGTAAACCGCTCTCCACCAGTATGGTATCTCTTGAATGACTCTCCATTTGCTGAGGGTCTCCTGAACCACTCCCCACTAAAACACTATCTACTGGACTGTTCTCTCCTGGACTTGCATCTCCTGAAACGCTGTGTAATTGCCCTTGGTCTCCTGGCCCAGTCCCCACCTGCTCAAGGTCTCCTAAACAGCTTTTCACTGGATCAATATCTCCCGAACCACCGCTATTCACTGATCTGGGGCCTCCAGAAGCATTCTTCACTGGCGCCGTTACACGTTGTTCCTCTCGTCCGCCAGGTTCGCGGTTCGTTTGGCCCGACTCGTCTTCTTCCACTTCGGGCAGGGTGACGACGCTGTCAGGCGGACGGAGAGAGTAAACGACATTGAGCGCGAGGCCCTCGGCAGCATCGCAAAATTCCACAACAACCGAACAGCGCAACGATCCAACTCCCTCTTGATTTGATTCATTAGTCACGATTTAGGATCGCAGTTCGATTGATTCAAGAATCACATTTTTTGTTGTTGTTTGCCGGGTGGCTCAGAGGTCGGAGCGGTGAGCTGGCGCCTCTCAATTCATGGAATTAAATCCGAGCAGCCACCTGTGATTTAACCACATTCTCAGGTGTGGCGAGTTAATGGTCTCAGTCTGGTCACCGATGACTGCATAATAACCATCAAATTAGATTTGGTTTTTCACTTACTTTGACAACATTTCAGCCCTAAGAATTAAGCTATCAGTTTCACCGTCATGTGACAAACGTCTCTTTTTGTCGCAGTGGGGTATGAAAGCGCTGCCCCCTAGTGTTGATAGGTCACTTGAGATGTCAGAAGTAGTTCTGAAGTATCTGCTTCCACAGGTCGTTCTCTGACAAGGGGGTGGTGCACTGCACTGAGACTTCAGAATTGTCTTTGACTCGTGGCGTAGTAAAAGCACAATTTGTAGAAAATTGCGGGGGGGGGGGACAATATAGTTTACCAGCTATTTACGCAAGAAAGCCTCACCGACTCTCAAGTCTTTTCAAGAGCGGACTGTAGATGGATGTTTGGCCTATTCCATGAATAAGTGCAGCATTTGGAAGGAAATCGGAGAAGTCAGAGAAAAGCCACGCTTCTTAGAGCATATCAGCACTGCCACTTCCTGGCAACCTTGCAGTCCCTCTCGTGGCTGCAGGGGTCAAATGAACTCATGACAAGCAACATACAGTATAGGATTTAAAAATATATACATTTTAACAAAAAACTCTTAAATGCACTATTCGGTTCCCGTGTCATGAGCATCAGAATCGATTTGAATTGATGAATGAATGCATCTTTGCATGCCTAGAGAACACAAGGCTGCCCATTACTCTGTCTCCCAAATCCTATTTTAAACACGGACTTAACCATCGCCTCGTTTCTGTTGTAATATATTCCTCCAATAAATAACAATCAGTCGTGTCACTTGCGGCTGTTGTTTGTTTTTGTTTATGAATTTCGTCCAAGCTCGGCACTGTTTGATTTGGCCATTGTTCTCAGCGCGAGTTAAGCCCGTTGTTTTTAGCGGTTGAACTAATTTCCCCCTATCCATCTTTTCCTCGGTGTACCTCTTGGCCCCTTTAGTAGCGTGCACGAATCCTAGCGTACCCATGGGAGGGCTCATATTTCAGTCAAATCTATTATTCCATTAACCTCTGTTCCTAAACGGTGTTCCCGTACCCAGGAATAGTGCGTTCCGACACACACACAAGAGGCTGGCCCCGCGCGTTACAGCTGCAAGCCGCCTTTTAAAATTCCACAGCGCCGCCGCCCCCTTAACAGGGGACACCTCGGTGTGACCCCCGACAAAACGAGAGCGCCGAGGCCTAGCCTCGGCTCCACGTGGAGCCTCCACAATGCGGTCCTCTTGGCCCACGTGCTCGGCAGCCTCGCGATGCCTCGACGGGGGAACGCAGCCCAAGAATCTCCACTATTTATGAGCGCGCGGCGGATGGAGCGCAGCCTCCCGTGGGTGGGCGGATTTCTTTTCGTGGCTCCGTTCAAGGAACCACCATGGCCTGGATACAGAAATCGCGCCAGCGTCGATGCAACGGCGTCTATGACCACACGGCCAAACCCATTGGATCTTGGAAGCTAGGCAGAGTTCAGCCTGATTAGTATTTGGATGAGAGACTGTAGGCTTGGGCTTGGGCCTCTTAAAAGCAGTCTTGCTACTCAGCGAGGTATTTCTGGGTAAACAACTAAAATTATTATTTGTTCCAATATTTCATCCCACGTCTCTCTCTCTCTTGCAGGAGTCACTGCCAAAAGTGACAGTGGATTCTGGCCTGGTGAAACAAATGTTCCAGTAATGTCCCGGCCAGCCTCTCGTGAAGCTGGTTGGGTGGGTGCAGTCCACGCCTGGCCCCTGTGAGGTGGCCAGAAGATCTCAGTTCAACAATAGCTTCTTGAATCCATCTGTGGCAGAGCCTTGAGCGTTACCCCCTTGCATGCGTGCATTTTCTTCAGGAATTTTCGATTTCCTTTTCCACTTGCCAATCACTCACGAATAGAATTGGCCAAACTTCCAAAAACAGCACCTTCCTGACAAAGAAGTATTTAGACGCAGTGAAAACTTCCTGGGTAAATAAAGGATGTTATTATTTTTACGTTGAGTGAGAGCTCATCATACCTGGGAGGCCCTCCTGGTGCACATGTCTCCGGATCAGATCGGTCAGGCAAGATGCTTGGGACCGAGGAGGAGTCAGCTGAGTCCTGGTAAAAAAAAAAAAAACTCAGATATTGAGCCAGTGGGCTTCATTGCCAGCAGAGGGATAGTGCAGCAATTTCCATCGTATTGCATGATGCTGCAACATCTATGCGGAGAAGTCAGAGAAAATCCACCCTACACTGACCAACGTGGCGACGTTGGTCAAATTACCCACCGCAATTTCGCACGCCGCAATGAGGCCCTCATCCAGCAGCAGATCGACAAAACGACTCTACATGTGCAATGAGTTGGTAAATACCGCGTTGGGCCTGACACACACGATAACTATTCGATCACGTAACTGCGAAAACAAAAAAAGCACCAGCTAGGCCTTTCCCACAGTTTAGGTTTCCCCCCTTGCATCTGTCCTGGTTTGTTGCCGTGTGCTGTGACTCAGCCAGGGCGACCGTACATGAGCCGGGAGTGTTGGTATTGGTTTGGAGGTCCCACGCCTCGCCGTGTTTGGCCGGGAAAAAGAGAGCAGTCGGGAGGTGGAAGGTCGCATGCCGCGGTGTCGCGGGGTCGTGTCTCCGCGCGAGTTTGAGGGCTGCTGCTGCTGCTGCTCCTGCTGTTGTTGTTGCTGCTGTTGCTGCTGTGGGTAGGGACCGGTACACGAGGCAGAAACGGAAGCACGCTTAAACAACGCGCCGGCATCTACGCGGCGGTCCGTGGCGGCGCAAATCGATTCACCAGCATCGCAGCAGATGTGAATTACTTCTGTAAATGAGGCCAAACCTTTTTTTTTTCACAGTTTAAATTTCAATAGTAATGAACAAAAACCTTCGAAAATAGCGAGCGAAAAAAAATCTGCCATTTTTTGTGGAAATACGATTCAATATTTTAATTAAGAGCCTTCAAAACCTTTTCAAAAAATACAAAAGGAATAACAGAGAGGAGCTGTGCGCTGTTGAGACATTGATAAGTTGCCTAAACAAGCGGCCGTCCCTGGTTCAGCGCCCCTCACACGGTGCGCCTCGCGAGCGCTGCGCCGCGCTGCAAGGAAGGCCCGCTAGCACGCGATATTAATACCACCTCGTCAGGCTCTCTGACAAGCAATAATAAAGTAGAGAAAGAAAACAAAGGCATCCGAGATGGGGGCTGCCTTTCTGCTTCCTCTGGAGTCGGGGTGGCTCCGTGGGGTTTTCGTTCCTGTGCCACAAGGCGGGGGGAACCCTTAAAGGTCACACGCTCGCGCGGCCCCAGACCGTCGCACGGTCACCAGACCGTCGCATCCCACCGCAGCGCATCTCGCACGGGAATGCCCCGGCCCGTCGCGCCGTATCGCGTTCCCAGCCACCGCACACTTGGCCGGGCCTGGCGCGGAAATATTGAGTTTCTCATATTCCATGTTCCTACGAAAATATATCTGTGCAAAAAAAAAGATTTTTTTTCATTCTGCATTAACTCTGTATGGAACTATTTAAATCTTTTTTTTATTTTTCATTATTATTTTTTATATGCCACGGCAATTTTACAATAAACCGTCTGGGCTGCAGCCATCTGCGGCAATGTCACTGCTCATTTTTACAATGGGGGGGGGGGAGGGCCAACACGTGCCGTACATTTAAATGCGTCCTCTCATCCTGACGGAAAGACATTAAAAACATTGGCTTTGCGAATAACTCTCTTGCGTAACGTGAGCCGCCGCCGCCGCCGTCGCCGCTGCCGCTCTGCCCCGGTGTGCAGTTTAAAGGCGGAGCCGAGCCCCCCGCAGTCATGGCGGGTGGCCTGTGTTCTCGCTGGGGGTGGCCTCAGGAACATCCATCTCACGCGAAGCCGGCAATTACGGGGCTCCCGAGTCACTTCAGACATTCGTGACAGACTGCGGCTACCGTCTCGGAGCAGAGCGAAGGGGAGAAAAAAAAGGAAGGAAGGAGAGGAAAAAAAAACCGCACGGGCTCTGCGGCCGAGTGATGGTGGAGGGTGGAAGACTGCGCACCGCTCGGAAGGCATTTTCTGGAGGATTTGAGAAACAAAAGGATGCATTTAAAAAGGCTTCCTGCTCGGAGACGATGTGCACCACCTGCAATTATGCTGTTTGAACCGGCTTCTTTCCCCTTCAAGCTCTCACTTTAATTTAGCTGTAACCACGCAGGAAACTGAAGCCCGGGTTTAATGATCCCTGGACGACGCGTGTGGATCAAAGACTCGCCCTGCCGATGCGGCAAGGCCCAAGCACAGACCCAGCCTCGTGCTTATGCAAGACCAGGCCCTCGCAAGGCCATTGCTGTTTTTTGGTTGCAGCTGTCGTCTTGAATGCACGGCACACGTTTGCGAGCGCACAAGAGCGCGGCATGGCTTGGCACTAACGGCACCGAGGAGCGCACCTCCGAGACGAGCGGCGCGTAATTTAGCTCCGTCGCTCCGGTCGCTGACCCCAACCTCACCGCTGACCCAGATCCAGTCTCTGACCCGGACTCAAGACCTCCGCTCCTTGCCGTTAGGCTGCTCCGCCTCACTCCATCATCTGCATGGAAACCACGAGCCGTCATTTATTAAATTGCGCATTAAAATTCCACTTTTACACAAACGGATTCATGCTCCATTCAACTAAGTGCTCAATTAGCTCACAATAGCCACCTGAGGCCCGGGGCAGAACCCACGAGCGTGCGTGCTTGGGCAGCGCTAATCAAACGCACGTATCCCCCGTCTGACGCGTATAAAAAACAAAAAGAGGGAGGTGGTCACTCGCGCTCCTTGAGTGACTTCAACGTTTAAAGGTGCTGCTTGTGGTGTGACTCCTTCAACAGTGGCGTAGCTTTCGGCTGTGCAGGCAGTGGCAACTGCATCAGGGCCCCATGAGCAAGAGGGGCCCAGGCGGTGGGCAATAAAGAGGGGGAAATTGAACAAGGTGAGGGGGGGGGGCCCATGTCATTCTTTGCACAAGGGCCCATGTCAGCCATGCTCCACCACTGTCCCTCAAGTTGCATATTGCAGGGTGTGCTTAGAAAGCAGAGGCTGCGCATAGTTGTTTCTGTATGACTCTCCGATGCATTTTCAGGTTGCAGCGCAAGTTGTTCAGAGCATTGCCTGGCATTTCGTTCCACGTGCTGGGAGATTCTTTAGGAGCATAGAGTAAAACGTCGGACATCATGCCAAACAAAACGCTGTAAAACCTGAAAATACACTGGAGAGTTAATTAACACATGGCTCAATGCTTGTGAACGTGTGGCCTGGCACGGTGAGTGTGCAGCCCCATCTGCTGACGGCCACCTGCCGGACTACGGGAGCCTCCTATGTAGTTGTTCGTCCTCCACGGTGTTGCTTATGATGTAGATGCTGAACATCTTTTAGTATTTTTCCGTTCCCTACGTTTTACTCCGATTTATTTTCTTTCTCCGGCGCTGTTTAGTTTAGACAGTTTTCTCCGAGTCACAATTATTGTGCCATGTGCATCGTCTTTTAAACACACGGCTTTTCTTTTTTTGTTTTCTTTTAGATTATTTTTTTTAAACGCCTTCACATTTTCATTGCGCCCAACTTTGAACAGGAAACCTAAAGCTGCAGAGACCCGGTTTGTTTAAGTGACCTTTTGACCTTCCAAGCTCAGCGATGGAAGGATGGGAGGGGGCTGAGAGGGGGCAACAGCGCTTGTGGGAGGCCGAGGGGGCGGTTTGGCAAAGCGGTGAGAGGACCTATGTGGTGCAGGCCCTCCCAAACTCTAACCATGGTGACATCTCCTCGGAGAGAGAGAGTGGGGTGGGGGGGGGGTGTGATTGTGGCTTCGTGAGGCCACCCTCGCCTGCAGACGCGAAGCTTCTGGGCGAGTTCGTTCCGGTCCGGGTGACGGAGCGGTCCTCCCAGGGTGCGGCGATGCTCAGAGTCACCCTGTCGAGGGACGCAACGTGCTCACTCAGCATCGCAACAACCTAAAAATAAAATGACGCTGAGGTTTCGAAAGTCAATGATGTCACATGGGATAGGGTACTTGGTGTATTTACAGATTGCTGAAGTACACTTTTAGAAGGTTGTGTGTTTTGGCCCCTTTATGCTCCAATTGTGCTCAGGGTCAAATGTCATACATAATATGAAGACATTTCCATTTGTGAACACTTACAGCTGTGTGTGCACCACCTTACAGTCGAGAAAATACCCAGAAAATGTCACACTTCAAAACATGTATATATTATATACTGTACACTCGGGGCAAATATGGTATATGCCCTCCAAAGTGTATTCATTGCATGGCAATATTAACAAAATGTTGAATTTCCAAAGTCCCGAGAAGCTGAATTAAGTGAACAAAAAACAACGTTTGTTTTTGTGCAGTTATCGGTAAACTGAGCAGAGACCATGAACTCAATACAAAAGAGAGCCGAATGTAATCACGGGTTTGCCTCATTGATTCGAGAATTCAAGGTCTGTGTTACTGGCTCAGTACTTTGACCATGTCTTCCGGACCCTGAGCCACCCAACCACCACGGTGCGTCGTGTACATGTTGTCAGTGGAAACAAACTACAAAGTGGTAGCACGTCTGAGCGCCTGCATCCGCCGTCGCGATTGGCTGCAGAATTGCAGCGTGGGCCCCGTTAGGTTTTTGCGTCGGACGTGCCAGGTCGTGGTGGTTGGAGCTCGAAAAACTGCATTTTTCCAAATGAAAAGCCCAACGGTGGCCAGGGTGACCTTCAAAAGGGGCCCAGAATAAACACGTCTGCTGTGGCCCGGGTGATTGATTGGCTGATAGAAAAATAAGCTGGAGGCGTGGTGCTGACTTTTTTACGGCCTTGTTTCATCTGGGAGCCGAAACATTTTGAAAGGGTTGAAAGAAACAGGTCACTAACAACCATTCCGCCCTCCACCCTGCTCCCACTGGCCCCAACCACATCCCCCCCTCCCCTTACACCCGCAGCAGAGCCGTCAGGGTGCTGGGCCCCACCGCCTGGGCAGGGCCACCCGTGCTCGCTTGCTTGTGCTCCTCCACACGGAGGAAGCGGAAAGGGGTCAGGGGTCAGAGTGGGCACATGAGTTAAACCACGCCGGCCGAAGCGGGGCGTTTGTTTGGCTTTCCCTGCCGCCAAGTGGTCTGTGATCGGAATGCCGCATCCATGCAGAGGGCCTCTGGGAAGCGTGGTGGTTGTGGCGCAAAGCGTAAACTTCCCACCAGGAAGAAAAGGAAAGCCATCACCGCTACTGATGCCACCACTGAGGGCCTGTGCGGTTTCCAGGTTTTTTTGTTGTTGTTGTTCGGCTTCAGGAAAAAAATGTTTCCTCTTGATCACAGGTTTGTCCCCGAGTGCCGCTCTGTGGCCGGCGGGCGTAAATGTCCTCGAGTGGATTTTACACTTCGGTTGATTCTTGCAATTGGCCACTGTTCTGCGTAGAGTCATGACGCACGCCAACTGAGGGTTTCACCGATGTGATAGAGCAATATGAAGGAGTGAAAAACGAGCAGTTCCGCAGGCTTTACGTCAGTTTTCACACTGTTGTTGATGTGTTCTTGCATTCAATCAAATCCTCCTGAATACACCCAGATTTCATCCTAACTCAGAAGTTAAGGTGATAATGCCTGGTTAGTACTTGGATTAGAGACTTCTTAGAAATACCAGATGTTGCAGGCTTGAGCTTGAAGTGGCTGAAAGCATTGGATTCTTGAATCTATAATTGTGGAGCTTTGAGTGTCACTCCCTTGTATGCATTGGTTTTCTCTGGGTACTCTGGTTTCATTCCACGTGCCAAACACTCCTGGATAGAAATGGCCAAACTTAAATGGCGTTGTTATTCGTGCCGACATTTAATCCCAGACCTTCCTTTTGCAAGACTCCACCGTCAAAAGAGGCAGCGGACTGCGGCCTGGTCGAACAAACGTTCCAGCGGAACCTCGTGACCTGAGTTCGATTCGTTTGAGTGAGCCACATGCCTGTCCCCAGTCGCGGCTGAGGGCCTCCACTGGCCAGCGTGAGCGTCCCAAGTTACGTCAGCCAGTCGCAGCCCACGATAGCAGCCGCCCACACGTGCTGCAACGGACAATCAGCTGAATTACGTTGTTATCTCATGGGGTGTTTGAGCAATCTATTCGCGTGTTCAGAATATTTCCGTAATGAGAGCATGTGTTTTTTGTTTGCAATCTTCTAAAGACTGCTTTAAAATATAAAAGAATAGAAGACATACGATGGCACTTTTTAGATACAATAAAATGTAATTGGTATGGTACAAACATTTGACGGAAAATGGTTTAAGAAAAACAAATCACCTACTTTATGTTAGGATTGTATCGTTTTACACCACATAATATTAAAACAGTTTCATAAAAAAAGAGTTTCTAATTCATTCGTGGGGAAATGGCTGACATTCCTAACAAGCTGTGCAAGGCGCGCCTAAACCCAATCACTTTACCCTCTCTGTAAATCTGTTCTCAACTCAATTCAGAATCAATAGTTACGTGGGTAAGGAGGTGGTGGAGGGGGGGCAGTAGTGATGGTTGTGGTGGTGGTGGTTGTGGCAGTTGTCGTAGTAGTAGTAGAGGTCGTTGTGGTGGCAACGGCAGTGATGTCGGTGGTGATTATCGCGGCAGTGACGGCGATGATAGTGGGAGCGGTGGTGGCAGCAGTCATGTCGTGGCAGTGGTGGTTGTAAAGTTGGTGATAGTTGGTGGTGACGCACTGTGCTATGAACCTGGCGACCGGAGTCTCTTCCTACTCACAACAAACATCGGTAATTAATATCTGAACTGGTCCTGGACCTCCCCTAGGTCCACTCAGCCTGAATGTTTGCCTGATGCGGTGTGTAAACATCAGCATTTGGGGTGACAAAGGTGGCCGGAAGCGGTGTTGGCCACCCAACCCGTTGTGGGCCGTGCCGGGCTTAATAGGTACCTCCTAACAGCACTTGCCCCGACAGTCTGTTAACGGATACAGGGGATCTCTGTCTTAGGTGGCATTAGCCGTGGTGGTGACATGCTCACCTGCAGGTGCCTGCAGAAGCACAAGTCCCACGCCAGGCCTGGGCAGTGCCACAATCCTCCCCAATAGCTGAGGGCCCATCAGCACGAGGTCGCCCAATGCTGCCGAAAGGAAGGAGAGGGTTGCGAGAGTGAGCCACGCTTGTTACGTTTACCACCGTCAGGTCACAAAAAAATTGTACGATTGTCATATCAGTGGCATAGATATTTCAGCGCGTAGGCGGTGCAACTGCGCCGAGGCCCACAGGCAAGAAGGGACCAGGCGTGGGCTAGAAATGGGGTGGAAATGGAAAGGGGGCCCTATTCAACCCTTGCACCAGGCCCAGGATCAATGATGCATCATTACGTGCTTAATGTTTGGCCATTTCTGTGTTAAGGGCTGTTTTTACATGCGAGAGAAAATTATAGTATCCAGAAAAAAAACTTATTTTACGGAGACAACTCTCAAAGACTAACACAGACGGGTATATGAACCCACGTGCTGTACTGCCATATCCTGGCCACCATGCCACCCAGTGGGGTTTATGATCTACCACGAATTAAATAACTATCAAGTACACAGGCGGTGCAACTCCACTGGGACTCACGGTCTGGCGGGGCCCATGTAAAGAGGGGGAGTGGGGGGGGGCAGGTCATATTGGGGCAAGGGGCCCCCGTGCCAAACACGCTACCAACGATGCCACTGAACGTGATTTCGAAAGTGTGCAGGCGCCGTGGGCCGTGCTCACTCACCGGGCCGCCTTCGCTCCCGGGACTGAGCGAGGGCCGGAATTGCGCTCCATGTGCGTGGCTTTCTGCGGAGGGGGCTCCGCAGGCTGAGGGAAGGGGAACGGAGGGGTCACCAGGGGCAGGGTTATTTGCTGGCCACGGCGTTGGGCCAAAAGAATGTGACTTCAAGATGTGCGCAATTCCTTACAGTGGACCGACTAACAGCACCCAACTCCAATTAATTTATATTTTTGTTAAGTATCATTTGTTTTTCTAAAGGGGTTTGGCAATGTTGTGGGATTGGCGGTGGGGCCGGCGGCGGCGGCGGGGGGGTGCATTTCCAAAGCATCTGCGTCAAATGCACCGTGGCATATTTTTAAAGAGGAGGCCCACTGCCTGCCAGTTGTTTGACCCCAAAATTGTGACTTCAATTCGTGGGTAAACATACGCCACCATTGTTGTTCTTCTTCAACCTCGAGACAATTATCCCGTCCGGTGCGAGGGACGGAAACGGAGGCAGGACGGCTCTCTCCCGCTCCGAGCCTGTGCGCGGGCTGGCCGGGCGGCAGCTGGGAAGGCAGCGTCTGCACGGGGATGATCCCGGAGGAAACCGGATCGGCGTGCGTTGAGCTCCCAACTAAAACAATGACTTCACCTCCTGCTCTGCGGCTCTCGGGCCCGGGGGTGACGGCACTCGCTGACGCCGATCAGCTGCTCGCCGAGCAGACCCCAGCGACCCACCCCCTCCCCCCCCCGGCCGTGCAGGGTGCCGCGTTTTATGGCTCCGTTACCCCAGCCGTCCGTGCTGCTGAATCCGTGCCCCTGTTGAAGTCCAGGCTCAAGACCTGTCACTTCTCTTCTGCCTATGGGCGACTCATATGTATCATATAGCGAACTTGGTGACCTGAGTTCGATTCGAAAGCATGGCAGACTGCAGTGGTGAGATCTGAATGGGTCCTGCTCCCTCTTCCAACTTCACCGACCTTCACTGATCAGCATGGTGACGTACGGTCAAACCAACTCATCTCGTAGTGGACTTACAAAAGGGGCAGTTTTATATACTTGAGAAGCGTCTATTTTAGTGTTTCACGAAGTGTCACCTACAATGTCATTGGAGGTCAGATCACCGGGGCCATGATTATGATGATAACAATGATGGCCATAATAATGGTGGCGACTGCGTTGGTCCCGAAGATGCTGATGAGATGACATGTTCTGTTGTACATCACCTCGTCTGCGCCGATGACTCGAGATAACGGGGGTCATGTCATGGGTGGGCGTGGGGGGATCGCACGGCACAAGTGGCTGCGAGCATGGTGAGTGATCATCACGCCGCTCAGCAAAGATCGATTCCCGCTGGACCAGGAGAACTGGGAGGTGCCGTATAACGATGCATCGATTCGTTGATTTTTTTCTTTTTTAAAACGCACATTCTTTACGCTGATGATACAGACATCGAATCGTGCTCTTGAGAATCTATTATTTACGATGTATGACATGTGAATGTTACATGTAGGCTAATGGAGTGAGCAAAAACTTGGCAGAAGAAAAAATTGCAAGGTGGAGAAAACTTAAGACAACAATGAATCCATTCTTGAATTGAATAACAGTGACATGCTTGGTCATTGGGTTGGAAAGTTAGTGGAGTGGTTAATGCACCGTGCTATAAACACGGCGACCTAAGTTAAATCCCTGGTCATGGCTAACATCAGTGGTGAGTAATATATCTGAATCACGCTGGGTACCCCCCCCCCCTTAACCAACCCGCACTGACCAACGTGGTGAAATATGATCAAACAACCTTCATGAGGCAGTTGGTGAATAAAGGGACTGTGCAGCGACTACGATTCCTGGCTGCCTGGCCATGGATGCTGGGACAGGGCGGCCAAGTAAGAGAGTTTGGACAAGGAATCTGGGAGGCCAGGTCACGTGACCTTGCAGAGGCAGATTAAGCCTCACCAGCTGTCAAGGTCATGCCCCAGAATGAGCTTATCATGGAATTAAAATAACAAAATAAATAAAAACAGAGAAGATTCATTATCGAGAATTCGTCCGCAGTGCTTGCAGCGGCATGCAGCGGCTTTTGCGGTCATGAACAAAAGTCACTTGAAAAGCATACTCGTCATATTAGAACGATAACAATCATTGGTAGTACTCTTTTAAAAAATAGACTGCATAAAAGTGGATAAAACCAAAGAAAATATAAAATTTCCATGTTTTGTTTTAATCATATTCAATCTTCATGATCTGCAAACTGCTCAAATACGCAATTGGCGGCATGCGGAGTGGGCAATTGCGTTTTAAAACGGCGCCATGAGTGGCCCAGTGGATTTGCTTACAGTAAAAAACAGCAACCTTTTTTTTGCCACGGTTGTCTTTCTTTTCCCTACGCCCTTTGCCAAACCCTGTTCTGAGAGGTCTGCGTCATGCGCCGGCGGATGAAAGGGATATGTTATGAGATTTGTTCGGAAATCCTGGACCCAGAGGCATAGCTGGACAGTCCCAGAAGGTTGACTGCCGGGCCCGTTTTCTCAGCGGTGCAGACGAGGCCGCCGTAGCGGCCTCGGCGCGGTACCACCGTCGCCTAAATGTGGTTCGTGGTCGGTGGTGGCCACGCCGAAAACTGGGCCTGAAGCTTGGGCCATGATTTAGATTTTTTTTTAGTTGGGTTTTGTATGCAGCTGTTGGTCCCCCGTGCTGGTGTGTGCGTGTTGACTTTAAGAATTGAGAGCATATGTCCTGCCATGCCTGGGGATCAGCCAGAGTAACCCGTTACATCAGAGAACACACATGGGCAAGGCTAGATTGCACGACCCGATTAACGCGGCCATTAGAAATCCGCGGAGGCACAAACTTGAGCCGTTTTTTTTATTTAGCCACTCACAAGAGGAGAGGAGAAATGGTCTACACTGAACCCCAACTCGCCATTCAGACAAACAGAAAACTGTTCCACAAGGGTCGGCCTGGCAATTCTGAAATGCACCTTGTTTATTGTGCCACAACGGGGCAGTTTGTTTTCCCTTCTCTTTCCCAGACATTAAACTCGGTGCCTTAGGCTGGCTCTGCAAGTTTGAGCCATGCCAGTCAATGGGTAGGAGTCATAACGCTGGAATCTTTTGTTTTCTTCATCGCTTAAGCACCATAGGTTTTGCATTTTTAGTTACGTAAGCTTTCACAGGCAGTAGTTTGTTTTTGTTTTGTTCATAATTTCAACAACAATTTATAACTAAATAAACAAATGAACAAACAGAATGATTTAAAAAAGGTGTTGTGGTTGGTGATTTATGAGACTTTAATACTGTTGATGACCAGTTTCTCACTATCCCCAGTGCCCATGTGGCATGTGCATGCGGTGGTGTATTTCCACAGTGGAACATGGGTGTTAGACGATGATGGGTGTGTGTGTGTGCGCAAATGCATGTCCGCCCTCTGCGACATTTTCTTTTAATCTTTTAATGACTCTAAGTGCGGTCTCGTTTTCTGGACAGGAGCAATCTTGATGCCATTTTCTGTCTTATTTGTCCAGTAGCCGGCATTTACTGGTCTTTGATTCGTCGTGAGATTCCGTGCCTAATCGCCGCCGCGGCTTTGTGTGGGTAAATATAAAAAATATATATCGGTGTCGCGCGCTTTCAGAGACGCGATCTCATGGCCTGGAATAAATACTTTGCTGCTTCTGCCCCGCAGCGTTATGCCTCAATAGATCAGGGAGGCATAGACCAGTCTAATAAGGGAACAGCAACGGTATCTTTAGAATGAGCGACCGAGGTAGGGGATAGGGGGTGGGGTTTAGCGAAGTTGAAACATTGGCATTGCGCCTGGGGATGAGAGGTTTAGTTGGGCGAGTAGACTGGCCTGCTCACCGCCCCCACCAACATAGCCAAGTTGTACGTGGTAATCCATGGCCGACGGTAAAGTAGGCCTGCTGCATCAGTGGAGCACTTAACAAAGGTGCTGGCTATGAAAACCAGAGACAAGAAGTAGCCAAAGACTGAGAGGGCAATGGAGAGCAGCAATTGTTTGGAGGCCAGCACTGACCAGACCCCTCACTCATCATCCAACGCTTATTTAAACTTTTTTATTGGATGTCAAAAAAAAATACATCTTTTTTGTACTGTTTTGTACACTCCGTTGTGTCATTTGAATATAATTTCCCTAAATATATATCGATTCTCTCATGCACTTTTCCATGCATGAAAGCGAGCGCAAAAAAACAATTTCTATCGCTTAATTGACGCGTCGCTACGTGACTACCCCTAACACGAATTAACTATCCAACGAGTATTAACCCTTTCACTGGACCAAATCCTAACCCTGGGGGCTTTGCCCTGGTGCCATTTGTTTTATTTCTGGTTCACGTTTCACTTTTGGTATACACAAGGGCTGTGAAGTTGCTCCCCAAACCCAGGAGGGCTTCCCTTTTGGGATCTGGTGTGCACTGCCACCTTGTGGCTCGGTTATGTGTGGTTGTGAGGGCAGAGTGTGCAGTGTACAGCCTTGGGGGCCATCCATTTAGTACGTACGTATGGAGGGAGGAGGGGGGGTTAACCCAAATGCGTAGCTTGCGTATGGGGGGGGTTTACTGACAATGTACACATAGGAAACGGGGGGGGGGAGGTGAAGGCTCGATAATAATTTGTCGACATTGGCCTTCAAATGAGTTCGATCGTCCGGCGGTGGACTATCTGTTTGCTTAAACACGTTAATATTATTAATCCTTGATCGTTTCTGAGTGGATTCGGGGGATTCTGGCCGGGGGTGTGCGTCTAGATGTACGTACGCAGCGGGAGGGGGGGTGGGTAAAAAGTCCGCGTGCGTACAGGGAGGGGGAGAGGGGTCAAGTTTTGGACATATTTTTGCGTACCTACTAAATGGATGGCCCCTTGCACTATTAAACCAATCCCGACAACTTTCTGTAACTGATGAGGAACTCATCCGACAAACAAGTGCGTGTGGCCTGGAAGACAAACGCGAGCAATAATATAATAAAGGTGGTATCTAGACTCGTGACCACTGACTCGGTCCTGCCATCATACTTTGCACGTCACATGGCCTTATCATACGACATGTATAGTGCACACAGCCTTGTTTGAGACGAAAAGTCAAAAATTGCGCCCGTATTATTTTAGGCAACAGCAGCAGCAAGACAGTGCCAGAACTGTACACCAGTTTCATCCTTGTGAGGTCTCATCGGTACAATCATCAACCCTCTGCAACGCGGTGCAGCATCAGCTACCGAGCTTAACTGGATACGGGGATGAGCAGCAGCAGCATCATCAGCAGCAGCAGTAGCTCACCCCTTGTGCAGCGTCTCGGTGGAGCGAAGGATGCCGGATACCGGCCTCCTGGGCAGAGCCTCCCCCGTCTGGAGACACAAAAAATGCAGCGGATGATGCGACGCAGGTGCCAGGGGCGAAAGCGACACACACACGCACACACATACAAAAGACAAAGATCCCGCGTATAGCCTTAACAGACTGTAGGGGCAAGTGCTGTTAGCGAGCACCTATGAAGGCCGGATCGGTACACGAGGGGGTGGGTGGCCAGCACCACGCCCGGCCGCCTTTGTCTCCCTAGTGGCAATGTTTACACACCGCACAGGTACTCATTTGAGGCTGAGTTGACCTAGGTGAGGCCCGGTTCAGATAATCGTCACTGGTGTTGGCCGTGAGCGGGAATCGAACCCGAGTCGTCAGGTTCATAGCGCAGCGTAGCGCTAACCGCTACATTATCGCTCCCCACACATACACACGCACACATACACACACATACACACACACATACACACGCACACACATACACACACGCGCATACACACACGCACATACACGCGCACACACACACGCGCACGCACACTGACACACACGCGCACGCGCGCGCACGCACACACTGACACACACGCGCGCGCACACGCGCACACACACGCACACACACACGCACATACACACAACAACCGCCATTCGCCACTAAGTGGCGGTGACGTCACTACGACGCTTGTGCCAGGCCATGTGCACCTTGAGGCCACGCGAAGTGTCGAACGCCAGCTGGCAGGAGGTCACGGGGCAGACCCAGGTGCCACGGGTCGACTGACTGAGATGACTGAGATGACTGGCTGAGGCACCACCTGTGCCCCCTAATGTGCCAACCTGCTGTGCTTTAGCCACCCGGCGCTCCGCTCACACACACACGCGCGCGTGCGTGTGGCATTTTTATCGTGTCACCTATCCAGGACTCTTTACAGATGCCAGACTTTGTCCGCGTATATGCCTATACCTGACATTTCAGTGAAAATACAATGAGTGAATAAAGTAGTGCGCGGTGGTACGAGTGCTGCGATTTGGGAAACGGATGGCGTCGTTATCAGCAATTGGTACCTGCACCTGCCTTGGGCCTCTCAGAGGTCAGCCGAGCCTGACATGAGGACCTGGATGTGTAAAGAGCGGCGCGAGGCAGGAAAAGGCATCGTGCTGTCCACACCACCTCCTCGTGCACCTTGACGACCGCTCACAACTCTTACCTCAACATTCTGCTTGTGGGCACGTGGCGATGTTTATAAGGGGGCTCTCTCTGTACACTCACTGCGCCGTCAACATGTGGTCACCATGGAGGCAAGGCTGTCTTATCGTAAGCGTTTCTACAAGATGATGTTTGGTCCAACTGCTAAGTATTCTTACGTAACATGCCGTGCATACACGTAACAACTGAGCATTCACTCTGCTGTGGGACGCACCACCAGCACGCAGTGCGGGTTGATGTGTCGAGCGCCCGGGTTGGAACAGCGTGGGAGGCAGCCACTCCACAGCTTTCCGAGGAGGAAGTTCGACACACGGACGTGAGGATCGGCAGAGTCGGCCTGTCGGGGAAGAAGGGTGAAATGACCGATTAGCGGCTGCGCAACGATGATCGGGGAGGGCGGAATGGTGGCACCGTGGTTTGGTACCCATGCCATATAAACCTGGCGACCTGAGTGGAATTCCCGGCCACGGCGAACATCAGTACCGAGCGATATTGAAACTGGACCCTGGGCACCCCCTTCACCAACCTTCACTGATTGGTGTGATGAAGTATGGTCAAACAAGCACCCTGACTGACTTAGCATCGGAAGGCCTTTGCCAAGAAGTGCTTTGACAAAGTGATGTGAATAAGTTTGAATAATGCTCGCTTGACCTTGCCAGGCAATGTAGTGTAAAACACTACTGATCTAACAGTGCTGCAGCCATCGACAGCCCTAACCCCAGCACCATCACTCACTTACTCTCATTCACCCCACCTTAATCCGTTCCATTTTTCCATGCGTGGTTATGGCTGTGCTCGTTGACACGGCCACCGCCATACTCCTGGCTCCTCCTGGGCCTTCTCTTATTTCTGGCTCAACGAACGACGATGGCCTCAAATAAAAGTGTCCCCATGGTCAAACGAGTGGCGTGCGGTGCTCACCTCCGTTGGTAGCGCAAGTTGGAAGTTGGAAAATCCGCATTCCTATGGGAATGGAGAGATAGCTTCCAGCCGAGCCACCCACCCAGTTGTGAAGCGTGGTTGGCATGGGCCCCGGTGCAACAAATGGAATGGGCCCCCCCCACCCCTACCGATCATTTTCTTCATAGTCCGGTGCCTGGGCCCTACTGGCCCGTGGTTCCAAAGTGTAGTTGCAACACCTTGCGTGATCGATAGCTATGCCACCGCACCCACCCACCCACCCGATCATGGTCAGCCCACGTTTGGCAGAGGAGCTTGGCCAGGTTGGTGAACACGGCCGGGTCTCCTGTGGCCACACGCAGCAGCCGCTCCAATCCCGCGTCGCCGCCGCTCCTCCCACCGGTGCCAAGCCCCAGCAGGGTGAAAAAGACGGGGGCCTTGCAGAGCAGGGGGCAGGCCTCCGCTGCCAGGATGGCCAGGTGTTGCGCCATCGCCATGCTGTCAAACAAGTACGTTGTACGAAACAAAATTATATTCCCCGTCGTTTGCTCCCCGCACGCGATTAGGGGGGCAACATGAAATCCATTAGACGGCACCAATAAAGGAGCAAATGTTGAAGTTGTTACTGGACGACAAAAAATGTTTACTATTTGTTTTGCTTCAATACATCTCCTCACAGGATTGCACAAGAGCAACTTGCAGCTGCTCGGGCAGGCTACGATCCTAAACCGCACAGCTTACGAAAGGACACTCTTTTGGCAGGGGCACGGAGTTCGGCAACAAGAATAAGACACCAGCTGGCGCGTGGGAGCGGCGCCGCGTACCGCGCATCAGAACGCCGTCCGTTCCTCGGGCCGACAGCTTTGGGCCACGCGATTCCAGCGAGCACGTAGTAGAGGGCGAGGTGCAGCATGTCGTCACGTGATCCCACCGTCGTCTGCCACACGCGAAAGGGGGCGAACGCAACAGGCAGTGGGGCGTGCGGCGCGCAAACCCATCGTCGTTCGCTGCTTTTAGCGCAGAACCTGCCGAGTCGCTCTACCTGGCCAGCGTCGCGGCCCAGGTGGACGGCGCTGAGCAGCAGACTGGCCACCCGCAACTGGACCTTGCGTGGGAGTCGCAGCAGGTCGCTCGTGTCAATTTCCCTGCGCCATCAGAAGCAAACGCGCGCAGGTGCGCCACGCTCGGGACAAATTATAGAGAGAGGAATACGTCACAAACACTTGCAGCGGGCAGAGCTGCAGGTAAATGTATCATTTGGAGTGGTGTATTGTTATTATTCAGCAATTGATAAAAAAATAAAACTGGGAATGTTATTGTCCCAGGAAGACTTACAGATTTCCCAAGAGAGCTGCTACTTCATGATGATTATAGAAAACCAGGACAGGTGACAACTGAACACCACACTTCCCCCCCCCCCCCCACCGCAGGAGTGGTGCCTGTGCAACAGGGCTGAGACATCTCACGCATTTGGTTTCAGAACAGGCGCCTCCTCGTACGCACGATGGGTTTTTCTATAGGCACTTCAGTTTCCTCCGCGTGCAAAGCATTTATTTAGGGGGTTGGCCAAACATCCCAGTTCAGGAACCCCCTGAAAAAATAATCTGGAGGCTCATTGAGGCTTTGCTGGATAAATAAAGAACTATTGTTATTATTATCCTCCTCGTGCGTGTGACTTATGATCGGTGTAAAACATGTGCCCGCTTATTTTTTTTTTACGACACTCGCAATGTTCTCGGTGTAAATTCCAGGAGCCCTTGGGTCTCATGGCGAGGTGCAAGTAACCCAGGCTCGCATCTTACAAAACCACAAGTTGCTGACCTGATGTGGCTGAGCCCCGTGGCCCGGAGGGCCTGCTGGACCAGAGTGCAGGGCAGATGGAACTCCAGGGCAGCCTGCACATTAAACACAGTGCACGGCGTGAATTGCATTATTGCCTCTTGGGGACACGTTCGTGGAACGGGGTGGGGGGTGGAGTGTGTGGGGGGGGGGGATAGAGATGAAATACAGCTGTACGTGTCCAGAGCTGACCGGGGAGGGAAGCTGTCACCCAGCAGTGGGTAAAGAATGGCTAATTGTAGTTAACTATTTGTCTTTTGCCAACGTGACACATTTTTTACTGATTGGCCGCGTCGGGTGGTGGAGGGTTGCGACAGATTTATAAATAACGTGATCTAACCCAAACACCTTTATTATGAATGGTATTGGTCGCGAAAGCCTGCTACGTGTTAAACCAGCTAATAGTGATGTTGATACTTTGTCACTCTGGGAGTAATGACAGTGGGTGGGGATTTTTCCTGCTTAGTGTGGCGTGCGACCTGAGTTTGTAATGCATGAATTACCCTCACACGCAGGCTTTTGTGCATTGTGTTTTTGTTTTCTCTACGACCGAAAGACACAGGCACGTTTAAACCCACAAGTGAAGACGTAATGTTTCTAGAGGCCCCTTTGTGCTGCCAAATGTGCATGCAGCTAAGATGCTCTCTGGTCCAGGTAATTTTTTTGACCATGTCCCACAGCAGGTGTGACCAGGCCAGGTAGCTTGTGGGAGGCGTCCCTGCTGGCGCATTCCTACACGAGGGTCAGCGAGCCTCACCGTGAGCAGCACCAGCAGCGTGCCGCGTCTCTCCTGCTCCTTGTGTCCCTCGTGGACCAGGCTTTCTAGCGCGCCGGTCACGTCGATGCCCAAGCGTTCCCTGCAACGAATACGGGAAGAGCAATTCGGAAAGTTGCCCTGCGCAGGCTGGCGCTCAGCGACGGGGCGGCGTTGGCACGGACGAGCCTGTCGCGTTCACCAAAGTGAACCCAAGACGCCCCGCTCCTCCCATAACGATGAGCGACAGCGTGCGAGTCCGTGGCCGGGGAATAATTAGAGGAAATCAAAGACAGAGCCAGGCAGCGCTTGCCCGCTCCCAGTTTTGCCGAGGGCACAGCGGACTGCACACGTCGGCTTCCGCGAGCTTTTTGTAATTTCGGAAAATGAAAAAAAAACTAATTCGTTATTTTATACGCTCGTACTACATTCTTGTGGCTTTTTTTTAACGAATGCAAAAGATTGACCTTTGAACTTTGCACTGCAACAGATTTGTGGCTAACAAAAGCCACTTTTGGGGGGGGGTGGATGGTGGTGGGGTGGGGGTGAGCGAAAGAGAGAGAGGGGAAAAAAAGAGAGCACTTTTACCAGCTGTGTCAGCAAACGGCCACAACAGCGCGTGCACGCTCTACTGCCCAGCGCAGCACGCATGATTAGCCAGGGTGGCCCTGAGACAAGTGGGGTTGTGGAAGGCGGCGGCGTCGGCGGCGGGGGGGGGGCGGCATTCACTCTGACTGTGGGGAAGAAGGGGGCACGTCAAGTGAGCCGGTGGGGAGCTGTGGGGAGGTGGTGGTGGGGGGGGGGGCGATGAGGGGCAGGAGGGACGGTCACTGTGGACCTTTGTTCTTACGACACAATCTCAGACTCCCGCTTTGTGATAAGTTCAAGCCGATTTAGAGCTTGTATACAATTACGGAGATCGTGCAAATGTTACAATGGGAAGGCCGATGGGCATGCTTCGGTGTGTGTAGGCACGTTGCCCGACATCGCTCACTGGGCCCTCCGTTTGCGAGCGCGCACGCACGTGTGTGTCCCGTGGATCTTCTCTGTGAGGACATCTGTACCTCTTATCGTGCTGTTTATTTTTCTACCGAGACTTGTCTGGCCACGGCTCTCCTCATCTGTCCAGCGGTATCGCTATTATTCCACAAATGCATTATTCCCATTACACATTTCCATCTTGCGTTGTAGATAATCATTACCGAGTGGTCCATCTTGCGGTCACCTATGACACAAGACAAAGATCCCCCATATAGCCTTAACAGACTGTAGGGGCAAGTGCTGTTAGCGAGCATCTATGAAGGTCGGAACGGTACACGAGGGGGTGGGTGGCCAGCACCACACCCGACCGCCTTTGTCTCCCCAGTGGCTATGTTTACACACTGCACCAGGTACTCATTTGAGGCTGAGTCTACCTAGGGGAGGCCCGGGATCAGTTCAGATAATCGTCACTGGCGGTGTTGGCCGTGAGCGTGAATCGAACCAGGATCACCGGGTTTGTAGCGCAGCGCGCTAACCGCTACACTACCGCTCCCCACCTATGACACGCGCACACACGCACGCTTTGTCCAACCGCGGATGGTTTTGCCATGCCGCAGCGGCTTTTACCCAGGGCCAGATTAAGGTTTTTGTTAAGCGAGCATCGATCACTGGGGCACTGCAGTTTGCAGGAAGGACACCTCCAGCACCGGGGATCTCGCTCCTTCAATGTCCAGGGCTCTCACCCCTTCGTGCTGCACCACTCGAGCTGCGCCTGCCCCTGCGCCGTGTAGGCCAGATAGGAGAGACGGCGTTGGTCCAGACCTTTGGGACATCAAAAGCCGGCACAGATGCACGCACACACACACACAGAAGATAAATATCCCACATACAGACTTTTCAGATAACTGCTGTCAGCATGCATATACTAAGGCCAGCATAGCATACGAGGATTGGTGTGGCCACCACCGTCCCTGGCCCCTGACTGGCGATATTTATTAGCTTTACCAAGTACTCATTTATGGCTAGGTTCACCTAGGGGAGGCCCAACACATGTTTTGATAGTACTTGCCAATGGGGCTTATTCATGTTTGGGAATCAAACCCGGGTCGTCAGGATGGTAGTGTACAGTGCCCGAACCACGATGGCACACCGCTCCTCACACACGCACTCACACACGGATGAACACACATTCGCACGCCTGCCACACTTACAATGTCCTTTTTCCACCCATTTAACGAATTAAAAATACCACCCATTCACGATGAATATTTCACAAAAACAGACGAATATACTTAAGGCAATTGTTTCAGATACTGTTCCTCTCTCGGGACACCTAATGCTACTGCTCAAAATATTGGCAGATTATATATTTCGGCCGACAGCATTGGCAATTTACATTTATTTCAATGATAGGGCAAGAACCTACGATGAAGTTGGTGAATTCTTGTTGTACTTATATTGGTTACACCATTGCCAGCAGAGTCACTTAACTTTCTATATTTATTATGTTAACAACCAACGTTAAAATTCTAAATCCGCGAGGATTTAACAGTGCCGTAAATGGAACTTACTGCACCGTCGGGTGCTCTTCCTCTTCTGGCCCTGGCTGTCACGGCCTCCGTGTTGAAGGCCCCATGACTCCCCCCCACCGCCCACCATTTCCCTTGAATTTGTTGCAATTATCGGTCAAAGCCTACTCCAAATATTTTCCAAACCCAAGCCTCTATTTCCCCTCCCCACCGCTTGTCTCAAAACATGAAACGTGTATTCCCAGTCAAGTTTTTTTTCCCTTCAAAATGAGCAACAAACCACTCACCGTAAATAGTTTTGTTTTGTTCTGAACTAAACGCTAAGTTGGTCGTCACATCACAGCGAAACACCTTGGCAGTGGTTTCGGTGGCATCCCGCGATGAGCCCGCAGCGGAAACTATTTTTGGGTGCGTCACGTGCCCACAAACATTATGCGATGAACAAACCCGCAATAACTTAATTACATTCACCGTTGCGCGAATGTAGCACTTAATTTAATAGACTCGTTACAATTACCTTTATATAAATAGCGTCAATGACGCTGATGCGCTCTTTTATATATTTGTTGTAATGAGCTGAGCTCAATATTTGTGGATGTATACCGAGGAAATGCAGCAATTTTAATAATTTCAGGGGCCCGGTGGATTCTATTATTACATCGTGGGAGGTGATGGCGGGTCGGGGAGGCCTTCATCCAGCAGTGGATTGTTGTGTGTGTTTAGTTTGTTGTCCTTCCCCCTGCATCTCCGATTAGCACGGCTGGCTACGTACGGTGCGAAAGAAGTTCAACATACAGTACGTACCCATAATTATATATATATGTTTTCTTATAAATTCACGGCTCCCTTGGGCCGTCAAGTGAATTTAGGGCTGTAATTTCGCGGCACAAACCAAGGGGTGGAGTCTCACCCACGTTGTGTGGCTCCTCCAAGGGAAATCTTCGCATGAAGTGAAGCGTCTGAAACAAAAAAATCTAGAGAACTTCAAAAAGGCAATAATCACCAGTATCCGCCGTACGGTGAAGGTGAAATCTTGGTATAAAAAAAACACATCGCACCAACGGTAAACGTGAAAGCCCAACTAAGAGCTGTGTGAAAGGGTGACAGGCTAAGACGAATTGGGGAGTGTGTGTGTGCTGAGCGAAGGACGTAGGTGGTGGTCTCTCTACAGGCGTGTTTGATCATGTGTGTCAATCATTTGCCTGGACAAACACGTGTTCGTCGAGTGACATGAGCTTGGCACTCTCGTCAATGGCCAAGCCTCGCACGTCCTCTTGCACAAACACCACGGCAGATTAAAACATTCCCCTCGGTGTGAAAGGCTACTACCTACGTAATGTACGTCATCAGCTTTTAAGACGGACGGACGCATAGTCCGTCACATTTGAAATAGCGTCATTTGTGAAATGTGCAATACTCTAGCAACAATTTTAACTTCTCTCCAAATCCCTCGCGTACCCGTTCGCCATAGCTGCATGTCTGCATGAGGTTGTGACGGGACGATGGCACAAAGATCTCCATCCTGGAAAACTTCCGTCTCTAGGGGGGCGGCATCACACATGACATGCAGTCTCTCCTCATTGTACAGATGGGGTTTTTTTTCAAACTCTTCAGTTTTAAAAGAATTACATATATTTAACGTTTTTTTTGTCTTGTCAAATCTGGAGGGTTTTGTTGTTGTAAATGTTCAGCTTTATATTCTTGGTTCTTTCGGTAAAGTCACGTTGAAGGGCAACAATAAAATAATAAAATTTACATGAAACAATACAATTCTCACGACGTTTCGACTACAACACAAGCAGTCATCATCAGGTGTGAAAACCAACGGCAAGAACATTTGAAAGAAGTGGCGGTTTGTATTTTTTCACGTTAGCACCACGGATAGCGATTTGACAGTTTGTTTAGATGGACAAGTCCATCTATGTTCGGAAAAGAGGAGGGGAGAGAAGACGAAAAATTAATGTATGCTGTCTGAAAGCCACCGTAAGCGTGAACACTCAATTAAGACCCGAAATGGTTTATCAAATCCTTCCAATGATTGCTAAGCCAGAATCCATCTTCTCGGAGTAACCATTAGCCTTAAGAGCTTGGTGTACGTGCTTGAGTTCACTGCCCATGTGTTCCTGGTCGGATATGCATTGGGCTCTATGGTGCAGAGTCTTGATGAGAGAATTCTTCTGTGATGGATGGTGGTGGGAATCCGGTTTCAGATAAGCATCCGTATGGGTAGCTTTCCTGTAGACTATACAATCCGCAAAGCTATCACTCAAACCATGAAGAAGGACCCTCTTGAGGAGCCTTTCAAAACCATCGCTTTACCCTACATTGCGGGGATCACAAAAAAGATCTCCAAAATCTTGAATAAACACAAGATCCAGGTCCGTTTCAACACATTACATAAAATCCGTGATCTGGTTCCGTCTGTAAAAGATGTGATTCCGGACATACAGTACCCTGGTGTCTACAAACTAAGTTGCCTCTGTGGTAGTAGTTACATTGGAGAAACCAAATGACATGTCTCGGACCGCATTCGTGAACACAAAGCAGACCTAAAAAAACGGTAGGACCAACACCTCGGCTGTGGCAAATCACTGTTATAATTCAGTAGGCTCACATGACATTGACTTCTCCAAGACAGAGGTTATTTGCAAGCCATCTGGCTACCATGAGAGATTCGATCATGAGGCTATCCACATATACAAACACAGAGACAATTTCAACCGAGAAGATGGATTCTGGCTTAGCAATCATTGGAAGGATTTGATAAACCATTTCGGGTCTTAATTGATTGATCACGCTTAAGGTGGCTTTCAGACCGCATCCATTATTTTTCATCTCCCCCCTCCTCTTTTCCGAACATAGATGGACTCGTCCATCTAAACAAACTGTCAAATCGCTATCCGTGGTGCTAACGTAAAAAAATACAAACCGCCACTTCTTTCAAATGTTCTTGCCGTTGGTTTTCACACCTGATGATGACTGCTTGTGTTGCAGTCGAAACGTCGTGAGAATTTTGTTTTATATATTTTATTATTTTATTGTTGACCTTCAACGATACTTTACCGAAAGAACCAAAAATATGAATCACTGCAGTCACGAAAGCTTTAAATCAAAATTTGTTCAGCTTTAGTTGATAAACACAGAGGCGTTTGCCCATAGAGTCTAGAGCAGTGGTTCTTAACCTGGGGTGCACGAACACCCTGGGTGTGCGAGATGCACTTTCTGGGGTGCGAGACATGGACATATTTTTTTAGAAGGTAAATCATCGAAACACAAATTAAGCACGGACATGTAAGTACACCGACTCTGTTTCATTAAACCCTATGTATTTATTAACAATATACTTTTTTATGATTGAGAACCAAAGGGGTGCTTGGCTGCAGTAAAGGTGAATAACCACTGGGCTAGAGGCTTTCATTCTCCACATCAGACAACACCACAGAGGCACGGCAAAGCCATCGTTCGGAACGTAGGGGCAGTGACGAATATCTTAACACGACATACGGCGTCACCTTACGCATGCGAGACGACCACCTCGCACTCGCTGCCAGGCTCTGTTTCAGTGTCTTGTCGCTAACAATTCATGGGCCAGTTTGTGAAGGATCCATGCAAACTAAGACGGAACTTTCCAAATCAAAGGCGGCTTGAGGCCATTGGCTACCGCAGCAGCAGCTGGCTGGCGTGTGGGAATGCCCCTGTGTGCGACGGCGACATCGTTTTGGGAAATTCGAGTCTCCGAGGGCACCTCGAGCCCGCGAGCGTTCGACCCCTGCGAGGGCGACTCGTCGACGATGGGTGGCAGCGGGACTCACGATGGGCCGCGGGCTCAGGGCTGCGTCCTGAACGTACTGCTCCACGCGCAGGCGCTCGGTCGACGTCGCGAGAAGACCGTCCAGAGACCAGACGCGTGGCAGGGAGTCTACGGCGTGGACGCGGTCTGCGGGGAACGCAACGCTGCACGCTCAACCTCACGGTTCTACATTTTGTTACGGATCTGCCTTTAATAATTGTCGTAGAGGCGTAAATGCATAACTGTACAAATACAATGTTGTGTTTTCAAGGGATGTCCATCCAGCACATATTTGATTTTGCGATATGATTGTACATGACTTCTGTTTCGTAAGTTGAGCCCAACTTTTCTAAGTTGCCTGTGGTTGCCTTACAATAACAATAAAAGTTTGCCCAAATCTGAAGCAATGGGTAACTCAGATGGCAACTTTCAATCACATCACAGAGATGACAAAGTACCCGAGATTGCGCGCAGCACTCTGTATCGATCAACCATCGTCCTCAAACACACCTTTCAACAGACTCTGTGGCTCTTTGGCATTGCCGTGCGAAATTACCACAGTTGCTCAAATTTTATTTATAGCTGGCGGCGATTGCTCTGAAATTGTCCGCGCGTGGGGCTGTCCGCCACCGCGTGAACCCACAGTGAGGGTCGCGCTGCAGAGCCGGGTTCCCGTGGAGCCTCAAGTTCAGGACGTGCAGAGGTCGCAGGCTATGCAGACTCTGCCACTGCAGAAGGTTTCCGGACAAGTCGAGGCTTCCCAGCGCCACGAACACGCCCAGGCCGGCCACGCACTCAAGCTGCACGTACACACACGTACACGCGTCGGTGGGATGAAAGCTGGGTGTGGTGGTTCACACTTATAATCCAGCGATGACATCCAGCGGGGAGAGTACGGGAGCTGAAAGGGTACGGACACCGTGCATTAAAATAACCACTATGACCCACACGGTGTATTGAGGCTCTCATCCATTCGTGCATTGACAAAAAGGTATTTACTTGTCCAAACCATTATTCAATTATATTATTACTAAAAACTGCAGCCATGTTCTAGAGGACGCACATTCATTTCCGGAAATTTCAATGAGACGCAGGTGGAAGGAATCATAATATTGAGCCGTGCAGCTCAGTGCGAGGCTTGGCTGTCACGTGCCTGGTTGTTTTGCAGGTCCAGGTGCCACAGCCGTGAGCAGCGACTCAGCGAGTCCAGGTCCCGCAGGGCATTGCCTCTCGCAAGCAGCGCTTGCACGTTGGGACAGTTACCCAGCTCCTCCAGCCAACCTGCACGCTCCCACCCCCACGCAAAGCGAGGTGGTAAGCTGCTGACCCGCCCCTCCTGGACATCTGTGATAAAGAGCTTCATAGCTCAGCAGATTCCTCCAGGATAAATATTCTAATTCTGATAAAGCCGGTCTCTGGTGGGTTTTTTAAAGCAATATCACCCCCCCCGCCCCCATGTTGACCTGTACCCCTTTCCGACATCAGTTCCATTCGAATAAATTATGTTAAGCGTTCTAATGTCCTGGTCCGTTTGATGTGTATGCCCCCCTCCCCTACCCCCGACTTCATATGTGACCACAATTATACGACTTATAAATGCAATTTGTTTTTGTACATTTGCATCATATGCATGAGTGGCGATGCCTATTTCTGCCTGTATATATATTGCACGATCAAATGTCTGCTAAATCTATATTTGACAGAAGAATTGGCAGAAGTCGGTAAAACAAAAATGCCGCTTCAGAAATTTGTGCCGTGAACTATGTCAATGAGTGGCCAAAATGCTGCCATTATAAATCAATGTCAGATTTTCCAGAACAGGATTCCTAAGGTCAAGGAATGCCTTATCTATTTTTTTTTGTAAAGTAAACATGCATTAGGTCATCCTCGTTTTGTGGTAGGAAGCGTAATCTTGCTGGTTAAAATTCCAAGACGATTGCTCAAGGGCACAGAGATATCAAAGACACTCCCGAACAGCATGTATACAATTATTTTCGGCAAGTGTCTGGTTCACATGCGTCTCTGTTATAAAACGCTCACGAGTGATGTCACCTGCGTGGGAGTTAACTATAAAGCCTTTGTTATATCTGGCACCACTGCTCTCACCTGAAACTGACCTGGGACTCATTAGTTAGGGGCCCCGGCCCCCAAGAATGGCCTGGAATTTGTTGGTGCTCTCCAAGGCTGTTGTTGGAGCTCGTCGTTGTTGTTGGCGTTGAGCCCCGGTTGCCACGGTGGCGAGATGTTAACTACCTCACCTGGTATACAGGAGGTTGTGGGTTCGATCCCTACCCTGACACCTGTATATTTGGAGTTTGCATGTTCTCACAGGGGTCATGTGGATTTTTCTCCGGCTCCTCCGGCTTTGCCCTCTATACTGTATTTAGAAACATGCATTTCTGGTATTTGACTGCTATACATTTCCACACGATATGACAATTGGTTGAGCTATCATTTGTGGCCAGATCGCTTTGAAAACGAGCTCTATAGCTCAGTGGGCCTTACCGGGTCAAATAAAAAAATAATTTAATAGGTTTTTTGGGGGGGGATGTAACACAGTGTTGCCCTCCCATATCCCATGTTTCCCTGCCTGGATCCCCTGTCTTATGCCCCTTATGTAATTATTTAATCTTTGAAAGTATCGAAAGACATCGTTGCATGTAGTCGCTATGAAACTGAAATCATAGTTGTAGGTTTTTGTATATAGTGCCCTTTATAGTACTCTTACATTGATAATATATTAGAATGCAACCTTCAAATATCCTCCCTGGAAGTCTAACGCTGTTTGAGGGCCCTGATATTGATGAGTGCACAGGTGACACGAAACCCCACACGATATTTCCGTCGATATTGTATGAATCCTTCTCAAACTACCATTTCACGATGCTTATATCCATTGCGGGCTCCAAAACCAGTGGTGAAAATTGCACATTCCCATGACGGGGGCTAAAATTATCCACAGGAAAGTTAAATCACTGCTGACATTCCCACTACGATGTACTGTGGTTATCGGGTACGACCGGCTGAATTGGCTCCAGCCACCCACCCCACCAGAATTTAACTCTCAACTTTCCAATGGCAAGTCAAAAGCTCTGCCAACGTCCTGAATACTTACCACAACGTTGCTGGTATTAGGTTCATGCTATGCTGCCAGTGTGCTCCGGCTCAATACTTGTCAACTGGAATCTGTCCAACTCACCATGAACTCCTCCCAGGAAATTTAAGCACGCTGCCAACGGTGGCTTCACGTAGCATCGAGCCTTGCTTTGATTGAGGTTTATTAAATGCAGGGAATTAACCTCAACTGGCACGTTAATTCTCAAAATATGCCATTGTATGATTGTTATTTTTTCATATTCTCATATTGCTTACATCAAATGTGGGTCAACAGACTTAATGTGAACCACACAAGAGGCTCTTTGTGGCATTCGCGGCAGTTATAAGCCGCACGCAACCTGTCTGAGGGCCTGTGGCGCGTGGATGGTTACGGTGGCTCGAGGCCGATCCTTGCGTCGTTGAGTTTGTGTCGGAGCTGTGTGATCGTGGCGAGTATGCAGTGCTGGAACTTGCCCACGTGTGCGTCAGATACGTCCAGGTACTCCAGCTCCTCCAGCGGGGCCTGCACCCTCGCCTGCAAAAGCTGCGGCGGTTACCGTGAAATGGGGCACCACAACCATCATCATCACACATTACCATTATCGTCATCATCATCATCACCGTTGTCAGTGGCGCACCCAGCTAAACGTTCAGAGGCAGAATTTTTTTTTCTACGAAGAGCACCAAATCATAAATACATTTCCCAAAGTTATTAAATGTTATAAAATGAGATATACACCGAGAATGATCATTTTAGTTGTTTATAATTTTACATTATTTAAACAATGGTTGTTTATAAATGTCAGGTGGGCGGAGGCAACTGTCGCTTTTTATCTCCCCCCCCCCCCGCCTCGGGTGCGCCTCTGATCTTGTCATGAAGCAAAATTAACTTTTATGCCCTTTGGCAGTTTGGCCTTTGGGATTCCATGCTAGTGCATTACATGGGCGTGCATGCGGCCCTGGAAAGAATTCTTCATTCGTAAACAGTTTCCAAAATGTAACATAACATGGTAATTAAAAGGCTAGAAATGCATGGCAGGACAGTTCAATGTTAATGGAAAATATCTCTCCTGTGTGTTTTCGGACTGTGTGGCGTGTTATTCCACGTGATGTTCGACGTTTCGCTCCAAGTGCTGAGACCTCCTTTAGTTCCTGAAAAAGCTCCCAAACTGAAAAAGCTCCCAGCACGTGGAGCGAAACATCGGCCACAATGCCGAGCAAGATGCGGCATAACCCGAAAAACACATCAGAGCTATACAGCGCAACGATGGAAAGCTAACGTGGCAATGCGATGGAAAATGTTTACCGGTTTCCAATCTAGAACTTTCAACAGCATTGTTATGCAGCTCTTGTGAATCTACTGGCAGTATTGATGCAGCAGCTACTTCCCTCCAGCAAAAGTAATGGATTCCAGGTTTTTTTAAAAAGTCTCTACATCAGTGTGTGAGTAAAAAAAACTCGCTGCTTTTAGGATAAACTGAGGTCACCATGGACGGATCAATGTGCTCTGCCTCACGTGCTGTGCATTGAGCGTGTAAGAAAGGGGGACCACTGCAAATTACCTTGTCCAAGAGACGCATCGTGGAAACGGGACTCCCTCAAAGCGTGCAATTTCCTGGAACAGTTAACACAATCAGTGTCTTTAAAAAAGAAAAGTATGTTTACAGTATAAGACAAACTAAGTCGTGCGAGTTGGCACGCTGCTAGGAAGGAGGACATGGGACTTGTAGAGGGCTAAATGAACGTGTGACAGAAACACGCGCACTCGTGTGACACAAGGGTTAGAATTGAAACAATACAATTCAAATAAACGATTCACTTCACGGAAGAGTAGTGTTTTGCACTTCGCTCATACGGCATTACCACTACAAACGATATATAAGACGAAATGAAAACGATGTAGCATAGTTTGAATGCTCTTTGCGGGAAGCCACAATTTCCTCTGGTCACGATGTGCATACTTTGTAGAAAAATATATTTCACCACTCTAATCACTCGCCGTTCCCGTCCAAAGATCTTTCGCAATCATAAAGAGAATACTGGTTTTATTAACATACACAAATTAGGTCAGAACATATATTTTTAAAGCACTCGACAGTACAACATTTGTACCCAAGCAAGACAAAACTTACATTTGCTCATGGACTTGCGTGTTGGGTGGTGTATGCTTTGTGTGGCCCAAGCTTGTTATATCTCCACACCGATCCTTCTGCCCAACACACCGTACAAACTTGCAGCGTTCTGTACACTTGTACCGGTGTCTGGGCAAGTGTGGGCTGTATGTAGTGTACCGGTAAATATTTGTACAACACCGTGCAGAGGGATACGGACGCGACTCAAGGTTCACAGCCAAGAGAGGGGGGGGGGGGCTTTTGTGTGGCCACAGTGATCTGTGTGTGTGTGAAGCCGTAGTTAAGTGAAAAGCCCTCGAATGTTTTGGAGTACAGTGAATGAAACTTAATATCGTGGATTTCCACCCCCCCCCCAACTTAATTTCTTAATTTGATTTTCATTGCGACATCATCAAAGGGGGAAAAGTTTCAACCATGAGTGGTCTGGGAATGGAATGAGGTCATCGGTCTCCATGGCTTCGGGGATGCGAGCGTAAAGCCCCAGTAAGCACAATGTGCACGAAGCAGCAATGTGAGAGTTTTTAGAATTCTCTGGCAAGGGCTGTGGCTCTGAGAGCGCAGTGGAATGAAGATTCCCTGATGGGACACATAGACTGTTTATTGTGGAGATGTGCTTTGTGTGTAAGCTGTTCACACCATGCAAATGCGAACCCACCCTAAAGCCCTTGCGTGAATTATATTACACTCTACACACACAATTGACTTTTCTCCCAGTTACTTTGTGCCGCGGTGGAATGGTGGTGCAGCGGTTAGCGTATTGATTGCGCAATGAATTCGGCCCCCTGAACTCAATTCTTGGCCACGGTTAATATCATTGGTGAAGGATCCTACGCTGACCACCGTGAATTATTGTCATACAACCCCCATAACCAACAGGCGTGAATAGGAAGGCCTTAATTACATGTCGATACTTTGTATTGTATATTACTATACTACATATGGGTTGTCACTTTCAGACAGAGATGTTCCTTGAAAGAGGCTTGAAGTCCCAATGGGGTTTCACCTGATAAAATAAGGTCTACCAACAGATACACTCAATCAACATATGGAACTTTGTTGGATGCTTGGCACTCTTAAAACTTTAACATCGCATCCATAATCTGAGGTGAAACTGTGAACATTCCCTGACGTTGCCTGCATCGAATGGCGTGAATGTCGATTGTTTGTTTTTTGTTTCGTGTATGAATAAAGTTTTTTTTTTACCCGTGGCACACCACTGGCAAGAGATTCAAGAATGTATTGTACGGAACAGGACAAAGGAACGGGAAAGGGATGCCAGGACAGAGGTCCACAGGACGGACAAAGAGGCCACGGCTCAAGCTGAGCAGCAGGAATAAAGGAGCCTCAGGCAGGAAAGAGGTGGGGGGGGGGGGTGAAGGAATGATCGGGCCAAAATGCTGTGGATGAGAGTGCGGTGATGGTGAGAGGGGAGGAACGAGATAGAGAAGGAAGGAGCAAGCAGAAGTGAGCTGGAGGGAGCGGCGGCTGTTTTCACAGTGGGCGGGGAGAGGGGCGGGGTTTAGAGTGGGGGTGGCCACACACAAGTCACGTGATCAATGGGAGGCTTGAGGTGATTGAGATATTCAGGAGATGCAATGTGTTCAAGTGACCCATGGGGCCACGAGAGGCAGCAAATCACCACAACACGAGTGACACACGATTGTTAACACTTGTAAATGACGAGAAACACCCATCTCAACAGAAATATAGTGCAGGAGGGGGGGGGGGAGAACCATAATTACACATCAATATTGTGGGATGGCCTTATAAAAAAGGACCACAATGCAGTTCTTCAGGAACTGCTGGTTTGTGCGTAATAGACAAAGGCTGAGTGCTTGTTTACATGTTTTTGTGCGATAGTTTGAAACTTGCATGCCTGATTATGAATACTGCGATATCTAAATGACGTGACATTTAAATCTGGAATTGCATTAAATTATGAATTGGTATATACATTACACACCTGAAAATAATTCATAACGTGTATTTACATCTCTAAGGGGGATGCTGGTGTTCATGAAGCCACTTCCTCTGCTGGGCTCGCTCACGAATAGATCGCGCACAGCTGTGTAGTCTATTGTTAAATACTGTAAATGAAAAACAATAGAAACGAGTTGGTAAAACGGAGGCAAGAGAATCGATTCTTGCAATCGAATTGCCAGGCGGGGTCGTTACACCCCGACCCATGCCAACCGCTCCCCTCTCACACAGCCCCGCCCCTATCCTCGCTCCGCCCCTCCTCTCCTCGCACCTCCCCACTTCGCCCCGCTCCACACCTCGCCTCGCCCCTCCCCTTTTTGCCCCGCCCCTCATCACCCCTCCTCGCCCCGCCCCTATCCTCCTCGCCCCGCCTCTATTCTCCTCGCCCTTCCCCGTCTCGCCCCGCCCTATACTCCTTACCCCGCCCCCCATGCCCCTCCCCCCCATCGCCACGCCCCTACCCTCCCCAATCCGCCCCTATTCTCCTCGCCCCGCCCCTCCTCGCTCCCCTCTCCGAACTGCACCGCGTGGAGGCGCAAGCGCGCACGCCACCTCCGGTTGCAGCTCGCTGCGCATGCGCAAGCGCCGCCTCGCACTCTCTCCCTTGACTTTCAAAACAACAATTGCCCTGAGGGTGGATCTCTGAGGACATCAACAACATCCCGCGCTCGGCTCGGGCGCCTCCAGAGCGTTTTGTTAATTTGCGACGATGGCGAGCGAAGGGTCCCGAATCTCGCGTCTCCCGCACCGGGGGTCGTGATGCTGGAGGCGCTCGGGGAGAAGGAGGCGACCCGCGCGTTCCGCACGCCTCTCCCGCGTTCTGCCGCCGCTCACCGCGCCGCTGTTCCCGAAACAAATTCTCTCCCGCTTTAGCTGAGCTCGCTCGCTCGCGGTGCTGCTGCTACTGCTGCTGCTGCTGGGAGCCCTGGGTCTCGACGATGCCATGACCGGCGAGAAGCCAGGGGGCCCTGCGGGCCACTGCGTCCTGCGGCGCTCGGCGCTTCCAAACGGGGCGCGGGCGCAAGCCGAGGCCGAGGGCCGCGCTCCGGCCCAGCTCCAGCTGCAGGTCCTGGCTGCCAAGCAGCAGCAGTTGCTGCAGCAGCAGCAGCACAACAATCACCAGCAACAACAACAGCTGCTGCTGCTGCAGCAGCAGCAACAGCACAACAATCAGCAGCAACAGCAACACAACAACCAGCAGCATCAGCACAACCACCACGAACACCTTGACCAGCAACAACAGAATCACCAGCAGCAATACAATCACCAGCAAGATCAGCATGCGGGCGTCGTCGTTGTTGGTGGTGGAGGAGTGGTGGGTCGCTGGGAGGCCCGCGTGCCGCCGGCTCACGGGGTGGCCCTGCCGGGGCCCTGCCCTGTCCACGAGAGCGTCTTCCGCGGGGACCTTCGTCGTCTCTCCATGCTCATCCGCACGCACAACATCGCGCAGAAGGACGCCCACGGTGAGCAGCGGGGCCTGTGCCCCCGGGTCGAGGCGGTCATGGTTTGGCATCAGCCCGTTAGGCTTCGGATTTAAGCACCGGGGGTCGTTGTGGTTATAAGGGCAGAGTTGAAATCAGTCCGTTACGGTAAGGACTTCGGGGCCAATGCCTTGTGGTTATGGTTATAGGGTCACGGTTGAGATCAGATCCCGTAAGGTTTAGGAGTTCATAACTTGAGTCTTCTGATTATGGTTACAGGACCAGGATTGAGATACGTGGGCTAAGGGTTCAGAGCTGAGGTTTACGGTTGTGGAATCGGCATTGAGAGCAGTCCGTACGAATTTGGGGTTCGGTACTTTGGGTTTTGTGGTTATAGTTATAGGGTCAGGGATGAGATCAGTGGGGTAAATTTATGGATGCAGCGGTGGGGTTTAGGGTTATGGGGTCAGAGTTGAGAATAGTGAGTTAGGATTAGGAGCTCGGGCTTTAGGGCCTTGTGATTATGGTTATAAGGTCAAGATTGCGGTACTTGAGTAAAGGGATTCAGGGCTGGGAAATGTGATTAGGGTTATGGAATCAGGCTTGAGAAGGCATGATAAGGGATAGGGCAAAGGTCAGAGAGTAGAGTTAGGGTCGGGGTATTACGTTTTAAATTAGAAGTTTGGGGTCATGGTATTACATTCAGGGAGTTTGGATGATAACAGACTCTCGAGTCACGAAAGCTTTAAATCAAAATTTAGACTCTCGAGAGTCAAGAAATTAGGGTTAGGATAACCTTTAACCCTAACACTGTGTCTGGCCTGTTGGCATGGGCGTAAATTAGCACCGCAACAGAGCAATGTGCATCACGATCGATGCTGTCATCCTTCCACAGTGACCGTGTTTAATTAACGCGGTGATGATGTATGTGCATTGTTAGTTATCAAATGGCTGTTCCTGTTATAGCAAAGCACACCACTTTCCTGTAGCTGCTGCCCTTCGCATGGTCAAGATTGCCCCTGGGAGGGGGGCTCACTCACAGCTCAGAAAGTCAGCACATGTTGAGACACATGTAATGTGGTTTAACACGTAGGCTTTCGCGACCAATATTATGTAATGCGCCCAGAAAATAAGCCCCACACACAATACTTAACTCGGCCACATTCAAGATGTTTTAATACAAGTTAATTTTCACGTGATTCAAAGGGCAGCCAGTCCCTGCCTAGCCATTACACCTCGCCAACAGCATGAGGTAATTGCAGCACGAAGAACAATCATTCCTCCGCTTGCAGATGAGTGGATCTTTCTGGTGCATGTAAATATAATTTTTTATTCTTGTTTTCTGCATGGTACTGTGGATTCCAGAGCTGGATAAAATTAACAAAGAGTGAAATGGGGTCTTCGTAATGCACAACAAGTTGGGTTTTGGGGTAGGCTAAGGGGCAGCACTAGGGCAAGTCATGACTCCTTGGCTAGTTAATTAGGGATAGCAGGGCTAGAATTTGGTTGGTTTGTGTACTTTACTCCCACTTGGGGTTGTGACATGGCCCAACAGTCACGTGTTCACCTCTTGCTGCAGATGTTTGCGATTCAAATGTGGCAGGGTCACCCTAGTTAGGATCGCATAAAATGCATTGTGTGCTTCAGTGTACATTAAAGATCCCCTGAAAATCCGAAACGAGTAGGCCATTGTGTTTTGGCTTCATGTCCAATTTTGGCCAGTTCGAAATTTCCCTACAAATTATGCAATTGGTATTACACTTAGCAAGTGTTGCTCCCCTTTTGGCAGACTAATGCCTGCACCAGGGACAGCTGCCACTGGTGATGCCCTTTGAAATGTATAAAGCACTAAGATGCCCAGGTCTAAAGGGCACTATACTCTATCAGAAACAATCATTATTAATGTTGTGATTCCTCCCCAATGCTGTGTTTTGGCTGTGCACGTTTTAATGTCTCTGGCCGTGTCAAACATCTTCGAAAAAACGGATGAAACACATCGCCTTGGCAATTTGCCGCATTGTTAGTGATGGAGACGTTGGAACATTATCACCAAAAGTCAGATGAATGGCTCCCCTGGTGCTTGCTGCGCTCGTGTAGGGTTAATGGATTGGGCGGCTGCGATGAGGTAATGCCAAATATGTACTCAGCGTGCGACACGCCGTACGTAACGCTGAGATGATGGGCAGAGGAAGAGGTGTATTCTCATTCCGGCCACGTGACGTCTTGGCGTTAATGCCAGCCGGTAACAGGACAATGCCCTTGAGATGGAATTTAAATCGATCACACAAGACGCTCTTGGTAAATATTAACAAACCGTGCATTTTTAATGGTGAAGTCGCATTTTAAAACCATTTCAGTGTGAGGTCACCGAAGAGTGACTACCCTTGGCCGTAAAGCTGCCGTGCTCAGGTGATGATGAGTTAATTGGAGCCATGTGACTCCACTAAAAATGACTCAACTTGTGAAATGGCTTCTTGTTGTGGCTGGCAGTAAGTGTTAGTCTGCGTGCAGCTTCAGAACATAGTTATTAAAACAGCCTTTGAGAAGTAATCCGATTTCCATTTTGTTTTAAGCACTTGTGACTAGTTCACTTAATGCAATATTTAATATTCTCTCGGTTAACGTCCTGTGCCAGGCATGCTTTAGCAGCAGTGTGCCAGAATTGTACCAACAAGAATAATAGGCTCCACATTACACACAATTGGTTGTTAGGGTACTCCAGGTATCGAATTGTGGAGGTAGACCGTAGAAAATTGAGATTTATTACTTTGGCCATGGTTTCATCATGACCAAGGAACACAAAACAATTCACGCCATGCTCCAGCAATGTGGTTTATAGTACTTTAAAGACGTTTCATGACATAATTGATCAGACGTATATTTCATAAAGCGCAGTGTTTTATTGCTAACTGCTTTGTGGTTTATTTATGTTACTCTGGAAATGTGAATTGTACTTCTATATAGTTAATTAGCAAGAACACAAAACAACATTCTCATAAGTACATATTATTTTGCCCTTTAAGTGCAACGCTGTGTGGAAGTCATTGCCAATCGTTGCATCACGTTTTTTCACGTGTGCTCATTGTTTGATGTGCTTTGAAATGTACGCATTTTTTCATTTCCACAGGTAACACTCCCCTGCATTTAGCTGTGATGCTTGGACATAAAGGTAAGTGCATAATGTCCTGTGACATTGTATTGTGTTAATTGCTGGTCTCTTGCCTGATTCACTTCAGTTTATGATGTGGGCCTCAATAAGTGCCCACAAACGTCCGTTTCTGTACACCCGTAAACCCTTGCAGTTATATTGATTTCTAAACTAATTAAATATGCAGTTGTATGGCAATGGTAATATTTTCAGTACTGCTTGTTTAATGAGTAAAACCACCTTTAAGAAGAACATTCACTTGCTTGATGGCATGTGCCCTTCAGTTAAACACCTTTACTAAGTGCATGAGGTAGTACTCATTTGCATTAATAATAATTCAAATTCATAATGTGCATTCCATCTTAGGATCCCAATGCACAGTCCTGGATTAGTGGTTAAAATTCCACATTCCTATGGCCCGCAAAGTGATACTTACCATTTAGGATTTTCTTTTTGTTATTTTGTTGTATTTTTTATTGCATCTATAACCGATAACGTGTGGCTCGTTCTGTATCTTCAGGTAAATCTATATTCAGATGCTCTATACATTTAAATCATTATATAATATGCATTGGTAAAAGATAACAATTGCCTTCCTAAACTATTATATTATTCTTCAGTAAATGAACAAAAATGGTCTGTCTACATTACATTGCAAACATTTATGCAATGATCGTATATATATATTTTTAAAAATATTTAGACTTTTTGGTGTATAAATTTGAATTGATTATACCTGCAATGCAAAGGTCATGCATGTAGTGCAACAGACACTTTACTCAACCCCTAATGGGCTGCGTACAAATGGATTTAAATATTAGAATAAAAAACTTTATTACATTTTTAATGTGAGGTGTGAATTTAAAATGAGGCCTAATCTTTTTTGCAGCCCATGTCCCAAATTCTTCTTTTCCATTACCGCCTTACCAGTTCCTCTCTCTCCTGAGATCAATACCCATCTCCCAAGGAATTCAATCGCGCCACTGGTGCAGTTTCAGACATGCTCTGGGAAACATGGTGAATGCTCAGAAATTGGCGTTAAAGCCACACAATTGAATTCGCCCCTGCTAACCTCGCATTTGAGAGTGGATTGATGAAAGCGTGCGTTACTGTAAACAATGATGCTATTGGTAACCAATCGCACTTTCTCGTTTACCATATACGGCGGTCCCGACTTTTTTGGACACAATTCGTTCCTGGAAACCCTGTCATACATCGTAAATCAGACCCTATTATCCCATAGACGGTAGAAACAGTCCAAACATTACTTGCCGATGTGTTTTTCTTTTTATCGGCCATATTTAACAGGGTTTAGTAGGTAAATATCCACAAAAACACTTGAGAATAACAAACACTCCACGCCAAGTCGCATCGGAAACCAGACTGACTCTTATTCTTGGTTCTTTCGGTAAAGTCACGTAGAAGGGAAACAAAATGATAAAAAAACAAAAAAAATTATCACAATGTTTCGACTGCAACACAAGCAATCATCATCAGGTGTGAAAACCACAACAAGAAAATTTGAAAAAAGTGGCGGTTTTTTAACGTTAGCACCACGGATAGCGATTTGACGGTTTGTTCAGATGGACGAGTCCATCTATGTTCGGAAAAGAGGAGGGGGGAGACGAAAAATAATGGATGCGGTCTGAAAGCCACCTTAAGCGTGATCAATCAATTAAGACTCGAAATGGTTTATCAAATCCTTCCAATGATTGCTAAGCCAGAATCCATCTTTTCGGTTGAAATTGTCTCTGTGTTTGTATTTGTAGATAGCCTCATGAACGAATCTCTCATGGTAGCCAGATGGCTTGCAAAGAACCTCTGTCTTGGAGAAGTCAATGTCATGCGAGCCTACTGAATTATAACAGTGATCTGCCACGGCCGAGGTGTTGGTCCTACCGTGTTTTAGGTCTGCTTTGTGTTCACGAATGCGGTCCGAGACATGTCGTTTGGTTTCTCCAATGTAACTACTACCACAGAGGCAACTTAGTTTGTAGACGCCAGGGTACTGTATGTCCGGAATCACATCTTTTACAGACGGAATCAGATCACGGATTTTATGTAATGTGTTGAATCGGACCTGGATCTTGTGTTTATTCAAGATTTTGGAGATCTTTTTTATGATCCCCGCAATGTAGGGTAAAGTGATGGTTTTGAAAGGCTCCTCAAGAGGATTCAAATTCATGGTTGGAGTGATAGCTTTGCGGATTGTGTGGTCGGAATAACCATTAGCCTTAAGAGCTTGGTGTGTACAAGTCTCGGACCGCATTCGTGAACACAAAGCAAACCTGAAACACGGTAGGACCAACACCTCGGCCGTGGCAGATCACTGTTATAATTCAGTAGGTTCACATGACATTGACTTCTCCAAGACAGAGGTTCTTTGCAAGCCATCTGGCTACCATGAGAGATTCGTTCATGAGGCTATCCACATATACAAACACAGAGACAATTTCAACGGAGAAGATGGATTCTGGCTTAGCAATCATTGGAAGGATTTGATAAACCATTTCGGGTCTTAATTGATTGATCACGCTTAAGGTGGCTTTCAGACCGCATCCATTATTTTTCATCTCCCCTCTCCTCTTTTCCGAACATAGATGGACTCATCCATCTGAACAAACTGTCAAATCGCTATCCGTGGTGCTAACGTTAACAAACCGCCACTTTTTTCAAATTTTCTTGTTGTGGTTTTCACACCTGATGATGATTGCTTGTGTTGCAGTCGAAACGTTGTGGGATTTATTTATTATTATATTGTTTCCCTTCTACGTGACTTTACCGAAAGAACCAAGAATATGAATCCCTGCAGTCACGAAAGCTTTAAATCAAAATTCAGACTGACTCTGTTCAAATGTGTTCGAGAGTCATGTCGGAAGATGCGTCATAAACCAAGTTTCTGTCAAAGCAATCGCATGGTGGCATTATATAGACATTGTAAATTAGGATCGTTGTTAATCGGACCGTAGTAAACTGGAAACCACCTGTATTTTATTTTGCCTGCTTTTATATATCTATCCTGACAAGATGACTCATGCTGATCTCTATTCACACACCTGCAGACAACTAAACGCATGCTCGTATAATTATAAGGCAGTGCTTAGACCACTCAGTGGTTAAATACCAGTGGAATGTGCATACCCTTGCAAGTGTATAATTCTCCATCGGCAGCAATTGAACTTTAATCTGTTTAAATATTTAACCATTAATTGCATCTTTAGGTTTTATCATTTGATATTAACTTTCTAATTGACAGGGTGGTTCATTAATACAACTTGGATATGTTATCGTGCACCAAGTAAGTGGTTGCCTTTTGCATGTGAAGGGCCAGGGCCTTGACAAGTGTCGTCAAGCCTTGTGGGCTCTGCTTAGATAACAGAGGAGGTGGCGTACACCTCTTATCTCTTAACTGCAGTCCAGCGTGCGTCATGTTTTGTTGATATCCTGAAAACGGCTTGATGCCTGCACCAGGATTCCCATCTGTTTCAAGTTCCGTGTAATTCAGCTGCAGGCAGTGTTATGTAGCGTCATTCACGCGTGCAGTGAAGTGTTAATGCATTTGTTTTGTTGCTATCAGGCTGCAAAATACGATGGAAATAAGTAATTTGGGGAGTGTAGATTTCCATTCTAATAAAATATTGTCATGATTTTAATAGATACAGTACTGCAGTAGATTTATGTTTTAAGGTTTCACGAAAAATACAAACATTTACAAATCCTAATTGTATTAAAGTGCATAAAAGAAATTGTAGTGCAGTAATACTCAAGTCCTCTTAAATTATTTCTGTGTTAAATGTTATGTTTAAGATGTTTTTTCTTACTCCAGTGTGCCAAGAGCAGTGAAAATGAGACGTGTTTTGGAAGTGTCTCCAGTTTCTCTAAATTAATTTTATGGAAGTGAACGTGCACTGCAATAGCCCTGTCTTGTTGGGGGCAGCTTGATGGCAGAATAAATTCTGTCACTAGAAGCTTGGCTTTGCCTTGCTGAGGAATAAAACATAAATAATAATAAACAGTTCTTCCGGGGGGTGTATAGCGTTAGGCCGCGCATGCAGTGAACAGCCAATTAATAACTTTCTACACTTCAATAGTGTACATTTAAGTATAGATTTGCCCTGAGATCTATTTTAAGTTGTCCTGCAGTTAGCACAAAATTATTTTTTACCTTCAAATTAGGTTGTTTAATCGAAGGAGAGTGATTTTGTTGAGCACATGTAATTGACCAATTTTTTACAGCTCCTTGTTCTCTTTATAATTAGATTCAATTAAAACAACTTCAAGGTTGTAATTAAGACGTGGAGAAGCTAGTATAGTGCACGGTGTTAAACCACAAATGTGTATTGTGTATAATAATGGTCTTTACCCAGGAAAGCCTCACCTAGACTTGAGACCGTTTTTTTTTCAGAAGGGCCCTGCATCGGAATGTTGGGCCGATTCTATAAGTTATTGTGTTATATATGAAAGGTGCCTGGAGAAAACATACATGTGACAGCATAACTTATAAAGCGCTGCACGATTCGATGGTCCATTCCTGGACTGCTAGCTCCTGGCCACCTCACAGCGCAGAGAGTTTTGGAGTTTCAGAAATATACATTATACCACCAATACTTGTCTGTAAAGTGCTGGAGCACAACCCTTTGCTTTATGTCCACACGATCATACACTGGAACACAGGCTACCATCACCGTAAAAGCTACGATACAAAATATATTTGATGGCAGTTGTCACTTACATTGATCATTGGATTACAGGTGTGAGCCACTATGTCTAGTGTTAATCTCCAATCCTTTTCCCATCAATCTACTAAACAGGATTGTACTTTGCTTAGCTTCTGGATACATTCAAGGTGTATTTAATTGTATTGAGGCATCTGAGGATGATTTTGTCGGATTGAAGAAACTCAAGCCCCTCCGTGCTGTGTGTAGCCAAGTGTCTGTGCTCTTAAGAGGGGGCAAGTAGTGTAGCGGTTAGCGCGCTGCGCTCGGAACCCGGGCACCTAAGTTCAATTCCTACTCACGGCCAACACCAGTGATAATTTTTTGAACCAGTCCTGAGCCTCCCCTAGGTCGACTCGGCCTCAAATGGGTACCTGGTGAGGTGTGTAAACATCGCCACCAGGGAGACAAAGGAGGTAGGTCGTGCTGCTGGCCACCAACCCCCTCGTTTGCTGTTCTGGCCTTCATAGGTGCTCGCTAACAACACTTGCCCCAACAGTATGTGAAAGCTATACGGGGGATATTTGGCTTTTGTGCCCATAACCTCGTGTACTTGATCCACAGAATGTGCTCACCTACTGCTGGCCCACAACGCCCCCGTGAAGGTGAAGAATGCCCAGGGATGGAGCCCCCTTGCCGAGGCAATCAGCTACGGAGACCGGCAGATGAGTAAGCGCCCCTCTTTGAACAGTCCCACGGTGCCAATGGTTATTGTGCGTGCTGTTATTTCACCATCATCTTCAACTGTTATTCTATCAACTGCTGTATGTAGGCCTCCCCATGTTATCGCCATCTCTCACAGTCCTGCGATGCAACAGTCCATCTTGCTGCTGCACGCGACCTAATCCTGTGGCCCCATCTCCGTTGTGGTCGATCTCTCTGGCGCTTTCCCACCTTTGCTGTCTATCATCAGTATTGTCCATTTGCTATCCTCCCTTTTAGCCACGTGTTCTGGCTAAGCTTTTCAATGTAACTTTACTTAACCATAAATTTGATGTATCTATGTTGTGTGTGTTATCTAATGCGTGTGTTCATCTTTCCGTGTCTCGGTGGAATGCCCATGTGTAGAACCAGTATGCATTTATACAAGCAGGGCACATGAAATCAAACATATTGCTAGTATTTACACAGTTTCAAGAAAAAGTGTTCGTATTTTATCATTCAAAAGGTCACGCAAAACGATTTCTTGCTAAAATGAATGTGGTTCTTTGCTTAACTGTGTTGTCATCCCTGAGCCATTGGTGAACATTTCACATTTCTACGACTGTAGACTTCTCATTAGGGTGACTTCTGTTTGTACCACAGTGATAGTCTTTTCATCATTCCCAGAGGTAAAATGAGCTGTAGTCAAAACCTCTGGCCTGGATTTGAACTCTGATTGTAAATCAGGTGTTTTTTCCACAGCACCACTTAGCCTGCTCTAAGTACGCCTTAATTACTGTGGTGTTAATAGGTCTAGTGATTCATGTAAATATAATTATTCATTTTTAAGTGTTTCTACTTTTTTCCTAACAATTTGCAATTTTTTCCGAAAAATTTGCTAACAGTTCCTTTTACACAGGTCTCCCTTTTAAAGAGAAAGTTTACATTTGAACAATCTCCTCACCTTGTTATGAATGTTAAGAAATCCTTCTGTTCGTTCTATGTCATTATTTGTTTGCGGTAGGTATAATTGACCTCTATTTTAGCGATCCATGTCTCAGGTTTAATTTTAGCCGGGTCTCTCTGAGATGGCAATCCAGAAAATATTTCCGCACCCGGCACACCACATTTAGTAGTCCTCTCAGTATGGCTGTGGCTACTACAATTGACACCCTTGCAAACGAGACGTTCCATGTCAACGGATTATTCAAGCAACAACAACAAAACTAGTCACGTGACATCTTCCGGTTTTTACCAGCGACCCGGAAAAATATTCAGCAAGAAATGAAGCCCTGACTGTCATGACACGTCGACATGGGTGGCTGAGGTTTTGTAGGCGAGGTGGCGGGCCGCTCACTTGCGAACTGATGCGCATGTTTCTGCGACGCCTCCTTGCGCCCGCAGTCACGACGTTGCTGAGGAAGTTGAAGCAGCAGTCACGTGAGCACGTGGAGGAGAAGCGGCCTCGCCTGCTGAAAGCGCTCCGGGAGGTGAGTGGTGCTTTGTCCTCGTCAAAGGTGGATGCGACGAGACGGAAGACACGATTGTCGTAGTCCTGGTCTTGCCAAGATGTTCACGTCCTACCGCTTGTGAACACGTGATTACTGTGGAGGGTAACGATTCACTCAATGCCTGTGACTTAATTGCCCACCAATGAACCTGATCTTCTTGGATATCGGAATTTAAGCGGCGTTGAGCGTGGCTGGTTCTTGGATGAGTGACCACTTTGCACAAACCAGGTCATCATAGGGCTGCGGAGTTAGCTAGTGGGCAGTAGAGGGCAGTGGAGCAAAATCTAGAATTTTACTGTAGTATGCTCTTCACCAACCCACATTGATCAGGGTGGTGAAGTATGGTCGTAAAATCTTCACTGCATGGAGAGGCGGTTATCAAGCAGTAAACTAACAAAAGGGCCATACATGGTGAGTGAGGCACCCCTCCGGCACAGTGAGATGAAGGGTCACAATTCGGGGTCACGCTTTAATCCAAGGTTTATTTTTTGTCCCATTGTTCCTGTTTAGTTTATTCCTTTTTATTAAATTATCTTTAGGGAACATTTGTTTTAAATTTGCATCAGATGTAAATAATTTATTGTTATATACTGACACTGGTATCTTGAGGTCGGGTAAACATTGTAACAAGTGATTCATTACATTCCTGCTGATTTATTTATTTTCCCTGAAATAAAATCTCCAAATTATTTTTTGTTTCCTTATTGCTTTTCACCCCACTCCATATATATTAAATTGATAAGTATTACGGGTGTAGTGATGCATTGGTTTATCGATGTAAATAAATTATTTATCATGCATCAAATTGTGTGGGTAAGAATCAATGTTGTTCATTTGTATATGTTGTATATAATGGGTTCATAATAGAGATCTTTTTGGGTTAGATCGTGTAAATATAAATGTGTCGTTAAACTCGCCACCACCCGACATAACCAATTAGTAAGGTTTGTCACGTAAACAAAATATGCCAATTCGTTAGTAGTACAGCACACCGGCCGGTGTGTTGGAGAGTAAACCCACAACATTTACAATTCGATTACGACGTTTCGCCAGTAATTACAACTAGCATCATCAGGCGGACAGCGAAGATTTGTGGAGAAATCCTCCTGCTGTTTCGTTCTTAAATAGAGGGAAAAATGTGATGTCGTCACTTGTGAGCCAATCAGGTGTGAAGGCCAGAGGAGGCTGGGGGGGGGCTTAATGTATGCATATACATTATGCATACATTAAAATTATGTAATGGTTTCACTTGACAGCTGCTGCCACTGGAAGTTCCTTCTGGGGAGGAAAGGTGGTGGGGGTGAATCGTCACAACGCTCATCTGTTATCGTTCAACGTTATTAGAATAAGGGATATATCTCTTGTTCTAGTTGTAATGATAAACACGCTTGAAAGTTCTAGTGAAAGGTTAAACATTTTTAATTATTCAACTTGCGTGGACGCGACGCAGTATTCATTGTTTCAAACACTGCGTGGCATGAAGTGCCGGCTCGGATCTTCGGGCACCAAACACCACCAACCAGTTTCGGGGAGAGATTTTACTCAACTCCCCTTTCTTCAGGGCGAGTCCACACTGCCATACGTTACAACTCCACTCTCAGAAGGGTTGGATTATACTATCAGCAGGTGAGACATCATGGATTGTTTTTTAAACTGAAGTACAAAAAGTGCCTTTGTGGCAAGAAAGAATGCTTGCCTTGGCAGTGATGAAAGAGCTGACCTCACCCATGGCATGTAACCTGCTCCTTGTATTTGCAGCTTGGAAATTTCTATCTGGAGCTGCACTGGGACTTCCAGAGCTGGGGTGAGTTCTGTCCACCGCATGGGTTTTGGGGGTTATAAGTCATCAGCAATGGGCAGCTTGGCAAAACGACCCGGCTATAAATAGAACAGACGGGCTATAAGTTTAAACAAGATATCACTTAATTCAAATTGCACTATCCAATGGGCAATGTAAAGTAGAATCCAATTAATGTAACATTAAAAAATATATTACTGTAATGTGAGCTGGTTTAATTTGTGCAGATGCTACGACATAATGTAGAGCTGTGGGAACGTTGGGTGGGTTTCTGTCATTTATGTCAAATCTGCAAAGCTCACTGCGCAACGTTGCATTGATTTTTCAACTAAAATCGATTCTTATGCTCACAATACATGCAACTTATCCTACATGCGAGAATTTAATACGTACAATGTGTGCAATTAGATGTTATATTTATGCGAATCTTGTAAACCTAATTATATAAACGAGACAGAAAAACGAGATTAAATTAAAAAAAATCTTGAATCAAATCAGAGCTCCCCCCTCCCACCAAATGATGAACATTCATAATATTATTACGGGGCATAGAGTTAATTGTTATATGCTTCGTAACGTATACTCTGTATAACGCCGTTCACTCTGGTGGATCCAGCAAGAGCTGGTAACTCGAGGCCTACCATTGCAAGTGTGGCCTTTGCTGAGTGGCCCTTGATTTAAGCAATAATGAGACTGACATAACCGTTTCCTCGAAGGTCGACCAAATGGAGATAAGGTGCTCGTTTGACCGAGGCTGCTGCGGTAATGAGGCTAACGACGCGACCTGAAAGCCATGCTTGCGTCCGCTGATGAATGGGCATTGAAAAGCTCCTGACTGGATAGCTATTACTACTTGCTATAAATCGTCATGTCCTACTATTAGTTAACAATTACTGTAAACCACTGCCTCACTCGGGTAATCAAGCGGAGTACTAATTTCCTTGTTGCCGCTTTACAAATTGCACTTACTGCTTAAAAAAAACGGAATGAGATCTTTTTCATTCAATCTTTAAAACGATATATTTTTTCAACAAACCTGAGATATGTCACATTTATGTTTAGTCAATATTGTATAATTGCCTTTAGAAATGTTATGAAACCAAATTAATTAAAGTCCATTGAGTTGATGTTCTCATCCTGGTCACCAATGATTGCGCACACGAAAAAAAACGCATTCATAATAAATTTGGTTCTCACATTCTAGATTTGAAGCTTTCGTGACTGCAAGGATTCATACTCTTTGTTTTTTTCGGTAAAGTCACGTAGGTAAAAAATCAATCAAATAAGACGGAAGCCTGTGTTGCCTCTGAAACGTCGTGATTTAATTTAGTTGTTTTTTTTTGGTTCTCACACTTAATTTGGTAAAATTCCAACCGTGAGAATTAAAAACATCGGTCCACTGTCATGCAGCAAACACAGTCCTCCATGGCAGAATGCATGGGAAAGTGCTGCCCCCTACTTTGTAGAACAGATGTCACTGGAAGGAGTGTCAGAATCAGATGTCAAAGGTGTGATAACCGCTTCTGTGGGGTGTTCTCTAATACCAAGGATTGCTCTGCTCTAGCAAAAGATCTGAATGGAATTTTTATCTGGTGAAATTCCGATCGCACAATCGGGATTCATTGGGCAAAACGATAAAAATGTGAATAAAGCTTTACCGTTGGGTCGGACTGGTGTGCTGTGTTTGTGTGAAAGAGCCACACACACAGAACTATTGTAAAACACAATCCTGAAATCGCGACACACGTGACCCACAAGCATTCTCACTGCTTAGCCTGTCCTTGCTGTGTTCTTTTCATAGTTCACAAGCATCTCAAAGCCTTATTTTCGAACGAGCCTTTTGTATTTCCTTCTGTTCAGTAACCCCATGCGCATGTTTCAATAATTAAATCTCATTATTCTCAAAAGATTGCTACACACTAGGCATAGGGTCGGAAGTGCCATGATTTGTTTGGAGTGCTTTTTGTGGCGGATCACGTGGTAGGCTGGATTGGTAATCCATAGGGATCTTTTGGAATGTCCTAATCTCTTTAACAATAGGGAATGGGAAAACTTGCAAATGTGGTAGCATTGGAGTGTGTTGGTTTTCACATGCCCGTTAGGGAGGAATGTTAAGTCTGGTCTTTTTTTTATTGTTTGTTGCACTTTTGTGTGCAGCGTGTTGGCAAACATCTGTAATCTTGAGTCTCACGCAATAAGCGCATATGCAACCAAGCACCGAGGGATTACAATGGAGACTTTTGCCATCAGGCTCTCCAGTGGGAGCCTGTATCTATCAGCCAAGTGCGGCGGCATGCGTGTTGCGTAGCTGGTGTGCGGTGATTGGATCGAGCCATTTTTCCCGTTTACGGTCAATGGCATTTCACCGAGTGGCTATGGCGTTTGCAATCCTAGAGGAGCAAGGTTCAAACCCATGACAAACCCAGCATTTGTACCACCTTGTCTTGATTCCATGACGGACGCTTGTGTTGCGACCGAAACGTCGTGTTCTTTTTTTTTCTATCGACGTGACTTTTCCCGAAAGAACCAGAGAGAGTAGGGGAGAGGTACTGAAATCTCCAATAACCCGGTGTTTAATGTTTTTGGGAATTACCCATAGCTAGGCATCGGACTCGGCTGTCTGGGTTTATAGTGCAGTTCATGAACCACTGCATCACCCCTGAATTTCATCACCCCTTTTAATGATGGAAACCAGACTGTAAATGATTACACGTTGTGCACAGCACGTGCACAAAAACGGTGACGCAATCCAGATATAAGGTGACGTGTGCGGCAGGTGTGTTGGCTGACAGCCCCAGATCGAGTGTGCCAAACCCTTGCTGTCATGGGTGCCGCACAGTTGTGGCCAACACTGGGCCGGTGACGGCCTGAAGTGAACTACCTCAGGGCGCCACAGTGGCGAGATGTTGACTACCTCGCCCGGTATACAGGAAGTCGTGGGTTCGAACCCGACCATGAAGCCTGTACTGTATATTTGGAGTTTGCATCTTCTCCCTGTGGTCATGTGGATGTTTCTCTGTGTCCTCTGGTTTTTTTCCCTCCAAATTCAGAATCGACATGTGTTTAGAGTATTTGGCTGATATACATTTCCACGTGATAACCAACTTCGTTGATCTATTATTTGTGGCCAGGTCGCTTCTGAAAAAGTGCTATATAGCTCAGTGGGCCTTACCTGGTAAAATAAAGAAAATATAGTAATAGTGGAGCTGGTTATGGGCCCGTTGAGTGTGCCGCGCTGATGTGCCGCTGTGGCGTGTGTTGTGCAGTCCCCCTGGTGTCACGGATGCTCCCCTCTGACACGTGCAAGATCTACAAGCACGGCACCAACATCAGGTGAGGTGGTCACGTGCAGCGTGGCAGTCGTTGAAGCGGCGGTGGGTGGGGACTGGGGACCCACACATGCCAGGAGGGCATGCGAGCGATTCAGAAGCGACTTAAATTACACTCCTCCGATTAGGGCCTCATTGGGGCTTTGGATGCACTCACGCATCTGTGGCCACTAGATGGCAGTGCGCCGTTAGACATGCGCCAAAGGGCCACGGTCAAGAACGCAGTGGCCAATCCGGATTGATCCAGAGGAGGTGAACTCTTCGCACCACGCGAGGCGGCCTCCGTTGAGAACTGTCGCCGGGCTCCCGCGCTTGCATTTAATGACGCTTCTGTTCGTAATAATTAAACCCTCCACGCTCGCAATATATGCATCAAATCAAACGTGTCAGTGTTGGTTATCATTTATGGAAATTGTATGCTAATTTTACACTGCAGGTCACGGATTCAGAAAAACTACAAATGTCATGGAAAAATAATGAAAGTGTTAGCCAAACCTTAATAATGAGATCAAAATATAACTGAATTCTAACAACGAATGAAATTGCTTCTGTTTACGTGACAACCCTTACTAGTCGGGTGTGTTGGGTGGTGGTGGGTTTTAACGACACATTTATATATTTACGCGATTTAATCCAAAAACCTCTATTATTAATGAAATTTCTGTGGGTGGGGTTGGGAGAGAGGAGGGGGGGAGTTGCTGAATCATCCATATTTAAATTTCGATTTAAAGCTTTCGTGACTGCAGGGATTAATCTTCTTGGTTCTTTCGGTAAAGTCACGTAGAATGGAAACAAAGTAATACAAATAAAACATAATAAAATTTTATTTTAAACGTAATAAAATTTTATTTTATTATGTTTTATTTTTATTACTTTGTTTCCATTCTACGTGACTTTACCGAAAGAACCAAGAACATCCATATTTAGTTTGCAGCCTTGAGTAGATGTTAATATGACGAGTCAGCTTTGGCAAGTACCTGACCAGGTGGTCTCACCCATGGAACTTGGGTCACTGAGACTAAAATTCACCCACTCATCCTCTTATTTTATGTTTCTACCTACGTAACTTTACCGAAAGAACCAAAGAGTATGTATAGTGTTCGTCAAGAAGCTGGAATTTCATTGTTTTTGTGATTCTAGTTGAGCATTAACAAGATTTAATCATAAGGGCTTATTGATGCGCTTTAGTGAGTTCTTATGACTTTAAGTGTCCTTCTGCTATGTAATAGTCGATGACATTTTTGGAATAAATAGATAATTATTTCGTTTTTATTTGTTTCCAGGCCACATTATTTAGTTGTTTTCTCAGTCTCTTGATTCTGGAATTAATCCTTGCCAGTGTGCATTATTTTTACATGGGGCTTTAAAATGATCAAGGCTGAGGCGACCTAGAAGAGGCCCATAAGGAGGGTTTAGGACACATTGTTTATATGACCTAACCCAAAAGGAACCAATTACGATCACGAAATTGGTCGTGAAAGCCTACATGTAAAATGTGTTATGTATATGCAGTTAAATTCGATCCAGAAACCCACCGCATTTTACATCAATTTGCAGATGACGTTTGTGGATTAGTAATTGTGAGACTTAGATGGGTATTAAGAGCAGCACCGGGGTGCAGCTTGAGAGTCGGAGTTGTTTTTTGCAAGCAACGTGTTGCGAGCGTCACACGAAACGTGTTGCGGGTTTCATACAACTCGCTGTCATGAATATTCGAGACAAAATGTACGCACAGTGCACGCCAATGTTTCGCACGCCCGTGTAACGTTATCGCGAGAACCTGCGTGGAAAGCGTGGGCCGCTTGAGCTTCACGGACGTTGCTAAAAGTGCGGCCCCCGCTGCGTCGCCAGGCTGGACACGACGCTCATTGACTTCAACGACATGAAGTGGCAACGCGGCGACATGAGCTTCATCTTCATTGGCGACTTGCCGCCATCGCACTCCCTCACCGTCCTCGACAATGAGCAGAAGGTCTACCAAAGGATATCCCACGAGGTGAGGGGCGGGGGTGAGACTGACTTGTATGCTTGGCAGCGACCAAGAAGGATGGCAAGTGTCGGTCGGATGTGGCTTTCTCCAGTCTACGTGTCCATGTGTCCATGTGCATATGTGGGGCGTCTTTGTCTTTGGGGCAGCGGTGTAGGGGATAGCGCAATACGCTCCAAAAAAACGGCGACCCGAGGTGGATTCCCACTCGCAGCCAACGCTGGTGATGAATATCTGAACTGGTCCTGAGCCTCCTCTAGGTCGACTCAGCCTTCTATGAGTACCTGGTGCAGTGTGTAAAATGTCAGCACTCGGGTAACAAAGGTAACCGTGCATGATGTGGGTCACACCATCTAGTGCCTGCTTTAATAGATGTGTAGTGGGTTCATTTGAGACACACACTTGACTTCGGAGGAAACACGTTTATTCTATGACCACAACGGGGTAACTATATAAACATAACTACGGGATAACTATATCGTGGTAACCACCATGGGGTAACTAGATAACCGGGTCAGGTCAGTTAACACACTGCCTGACCCACGATGCCGAGCGTGAAGAGCGAAGAGTGAAGAGACGTAGCACAGCAGGTTCCACTCCAGTCGACAGACCTGATCGGCTCTCGGGACCTCCCTTTTATGCCCCTGAGCATGGCCTGGCTCCGCCCTCGGCCACGCCCCCTTTTGGATCCTACTAGAAGGTTCTGGGCCATACACCAGGTGTCCCTCTCGCCATCTTTTGCCCACATTCTTACCCTGTCCTGGTCACGTGCCCTCTCGGGTTCAACCAGGCTGTCACGTCCTCAACTGCTCTCTCTCTGACAGTCACCAGAACCATGCCCCATGGGGCCCCCTTCCATGCCATAACCTACTCTGGTGTCAGAGAGAGGCTCTAACACTCACAGTTCCACTCTTCTATCAGTAGCTGGCCCTAAACGCTGTAGTGACCCAATATACATCACGACAGATGTACCATAATGGCTATATGGGTAATCTTTGGCTTTGTGTGCCACGCATCCCACAGGAGTCGGAGGCCGAGACAGAGGAGGAGGTGGACATACTGATGAGCAGCGACATCGTGTCGGCCACAATGTCCACCAAGTCCATCGGCTTCTCCCGCGCGCAAACCGGCTGGCTCTTCAAGGAGGACAAAACGGTACGGCCGGCACCCCGTCACACACCTGTCGTTGTGCTGTGTTGTTTCACACCAGGTCTTCGAAGTCACATCACACTCCCTACGAGACTCGCAACATCCTGCTGCAAGACCCCCAAGCCCACCGAAACCCACACATCACGCCGCTAAAATAATCCGTACATCCTATATGACCCACACACATTCCCTGCTGTGTGCGAGACCCACACTCCTCGCTACAAGAACCATTAGCCTGCTGAAACTCATGCTCCTAGCTACGAAATACATCTTCCTTGCTGTGTGACCCACCCTCATTGTCACGAGACCCACACGTCCTGCTATAAGACTCGCTCAAAAAATGCGAGACCCACGCTCTCTGCTATGTGACCCAAGCTCCTGCTACAAAATTCGCACTCCCTACTACAAGATCCATAAGTCCACAGAAGACCCACACGCCCCGCTATGAGATCCATACACCCTGCTGTGTGACCCACACTTGCTGTTATTTGACGCATATGCCCCCGCTGCTTCAAGGCGATGGCATATAGTGGTAGGGATAGTCTTAGCATTTTGTAATTCAATAACTGCTGCATGGAAACAAACGGTCGCCATGACGTCCGTTTGGTTGTATTGTTATCGTACAGTGTCAGCTATTTTCTAGCCTTGGACGAAGGCTGCAGAGTGTTTGCGAGATTGATCTTAAATCCGGCATTGTTGTTCTGGTAATGCATTGTGGGAGGGTGGTTGTGGGGTTGGTTAGTGGAAATTTTCGCTCGGATTTTAACCACAAATAGTTATGATTAATCGATGATTACAAAGAATTAAAAAGCCAGTAACTCGCTTTTGAAAATGCTGAAATATTCTCTAATGTATGACACTCAACAATTTGCATTTACAGTAATAAGCTTAAGACGCAAGATGTGTTCTTCATTAGCTCGTAAAAAGTCCTGGCTGTTGTTTCTCGGACCTAGTGACTGAATTTTTCGAGGCCAAGTCATCGCTGTTTGGTTCGGGGTATTCATCGATGCCGTGCGCACACGACATTTGGAAGAGTAACAGAATATTTTGGTAAATTTTTTTTTTTTTAATTCCTGTAAGTTAATATAGCAAGGGCTGTGAGTCACATAGTGAGTGTGCCAGTGGCTTTCTTTGGGTGCTGCAAGCACAGCTGCGTTCGTCTGCACTCGCCGCACGCTGCGTACACACGTGCACAGGAGCGTGTGGGCACATTTCTGGCGGACTTCTACACCATCGCGGGGCTGGTGTTGGAGTCGCGCAAGCGGCGCGAGCATCTGTCCGAGGAGGACATCCAGCGCAACAAGGCCCTGATGGAGAGCATCAGCAAGGGCGGCACCGTCATGGCAGACCCGGCTTTCGAGGTATGACGCCCGGCGGCGGCGGCGGCAAGAGTCCCACGGCGTTGGGTACAAATTGTCATCCCCCTTGCTAATCGCACCTCCGATTAGCACGGTTGGTTACGTACGGTGTGAAAGGAGTTCGACATACAGCAACAAGCAAGTTCGTTGGTAAATTGCAAATAGCCCGCAGAGAGCAAGATGGGACCAAAACGCGTGATAGGGACACAACCTTCAACCTAGAGGTATCCGGTGCAGATATTTATAGCACAAACAAATAGACCATGAAACAAAGAATTCTTCAAACGAGGAGGATTTTCCGCATGTTACACCTGAAGGTGACCAACCACTGCCCTTCGTGATATGAAAAAGGGAAAGCTCCCAGACCATATGTAATAGCTGGGAACATCATCAAAGAAGTGTGGTCAAAATTTACAAACCAATTTACAATATGTTTACACAGTAATTACATACTTTGCGGAATGACCATTCTATTGAAAAATGGGGAACATATCTGATTTGAATTTCGATTTAAAGCTTTCGTGACTGCAAGGATTCATCTTCTTTGGGTTTTTTCGGTAAAGTCACGTAGAATGAGAATAAAACAATAAAATAACACAAGGCCTTTACTTTAACATCTATTTCTGTGACCAGTCACAAGCTAATCCCTTAGCTATTTAAATGCTAAATTACTAGTTGCCTCTGTGGATGTGTAGGTTTTGACTTTAACATAGCCATTTCCGTGACCAGTCACAAGCTAATCCCTAAACTATTTGATATGTAAACCCCTTTGTCAAGGTGCCTCACTTCTCCCAACCAGCTTAAAGTTGCTACGAATCTTAACAGCGTTCATTGAAGCTCTGTGGATGTGTAGGCCTTTACTTTAACATCTATTTCTGTGACCAGTCACAAGCTAATCCCTTAGCTATTTCAATGCTAAATTACTAGTTGCCTCTGGATGTGTAGGTTTTGACTTTAACATAGCCATTTCTGTGACCAGTCACAAGCTAATCCCTCAGCTATTTGATATGTAAACCCCTTTGTCAAGGTGCCTCACTTCTCCCAACCAGCTTAAAAGTGGCTACGAATCTTAACATCGTTCATTGAAGCTCTGTCGTCCCGGCAGGTCTGTTCCTTTCACCTGAAGACGGCCGCTTGCGTTGTGGCTGAAACGTCGTGAGAATTTGATTGTGTTATTTTATTGTTTTATTCTCATTCTACGTGACTTTACCGAAAGAACCAAAGAAGATATCTGATTTGAAGAATGTCATCCTTGTTAACCTCATATCACATGTATATAAACTGCCCATAATGCTCAGAAAACCCAACAATGGCAACTGTATAGGCCATCTAACAAAGGTAGCAAACTGGTTTTAGAAGATTTTTTAAAATGTACTATTGACGATGTGTATACTATAAAACAAATTGAATGTAAAAAGTAAAGTTAATATCGCATACCTTTTTCGACTATAAAAAGGCATTTAATTCTGTAAAGACATTCAACCAATCGATGTTCTCACAAACCAAAGGCCTTGGCTTCATAATTTATTTATAAATAAATACATCGCCAAAAAAACTTTCGAAAATATGGTACAGCTCGACTGAAATGCAGAAAGAACAAGTTGTACAATTGTATACTTATAACTCTGGGTATCTACACGAAGCTTCCCTTCAATGCTCATTCTGCTTTGTGTTTTGGGTGGAATTTGTCCCAAGTGTTTACTAGCTGTACCAAAAGTGTCTGAAGATATCCACTTCATGATTAGCTTCATTCCACCTGGGCCCACCCACCCCACCCACCCCTTGCCAACAGCTCCCCATGACCAGCCGCCCTGTGTACTATTGTCCCATTCTGCTGAACGTTGCTCAGCAGCCTCATAGCTCCTCCTAGGAGCATTTTTACTGAGACACTTTCAACATTACCGCCTTAAGCCCTCAATATTAATGACAAGGGAGGCCTGGTGGAAGTCTGCATTAACATTGATTACAGTCGATGGAGCTGAACTGACATGTAGTGGTTTAAACATATGCAAATATTTCCATCATGTGCAACTGCTTTGGAACCAAGCCAAGTGGTCCTCCGAGAGCCTAGGCTACAAGTTGTTGATGGCAGACAAAGTGAGTTTTCTGCGTTAAACAAAATAAAAGCCCAGCTTCACACAGGGTGGACGTAGTGCACAACCAAACTGGACATCTGTGAAAACTACTGGACGTCTGTGAAAAAGAGCTTCACATCTTATCAGATGTAAAGATTTTGATTCCGATTGTGAAATAACATTGTTAACTCTAAATGTAGGCCATGACCAAATCACTCGGAGCGTCCCCCGGATCCCGTCAGGTCTCAAAAGCTAAGCAGGGAGGAAATTTTATTGTACCTGGAGGCGTGACCACCAAGCACAGCAGGCCGTGGGAGTTGCCTGGTGGACAACAAGTTGACAGTTTGACAAAATCCATTGATTTGCTTTAATCTAGATTTGAAGCTTTTGCTTTACTTCTGTGCTTTCGCATCTACACAGCTCACGCCGACCAGCGTGGTGAGGTGTGGTCCGATAACCCCCATGATCCAGCCTGCATCGAGCAGTGGATTCGCAAATGGCAGGACGTGGACATGCACATGTACAATACAGCACCCTACCTTGCTTGGAGAAAGTATCTACACATAGCCAAAGCAATATCTTACACACTTGTACAACAGGAAGTCTTTCTCACTTCAATGGCAATCATCAGCTGCCACCCCACTGCTGTATTGAACATATTTACATGCACAATATATTACACAGGCTGTGTGAAGTAGTGAGGGTTTATTATTATTCATAATTGGTTTATTTTGGGTCAGATCTCGAGATGTCGACATCTGAGCTCCTGTTAACAACCTGGTGATGTTGGATGTCAGAATCTGAATATTTATTCATACTGGAGGAATCCGATGAGCTATTAAGCCCTTTTGCACAGATGTTCATGTCATCTCCAGTGAAACGTCGCATCCATGTTAATGTTGTGAGATTAGTCTCCCACAACGACACCGATGGTGCTGCTGAAGCAGGAATAAAGTTGGCATGTTTGATTCACGTGACCATTTTACAAATTGGCTGTGTCGGGTAGATGAGGGTTTGGGACACACATTTTTACACGAGCTAATCCAAAATAAACAAATTATGAATCATAATATTGGTCAATGAGAGCCTTCGTATGGCATTACAATAATTATTTTTTTCTGTTGCACGCATCACAGCAAGCATGCATCACTCATGCCCAGGTAAGTCTAATTCAGGAGGAAGCTTAGGGAGGGTTGTGGGCAGCATCTGGCGGCTGTCTGCACTGAGCATTCGCTGCTTTGTAGCACAGCGTCTGCCACCACACGTACACCGAGCACCGCATCACACTTTCATGCTTCTGCAATTATTCCCCCTTCTTGATCACTTCCCTTAACTGTGGTTCCTGCCAACCGCCCCATTAAACAGGATTCCTTGAAAGTCGTTTGCATTTTAGGTATCTTGTGGGATGAGATTCCATTCACAGTGATCAACACAAATGCCGCACGAAGGCCTCATGCGGCATTTGTTTTGTCGCCATCTCTCGCGTCCCTGCGATGTAACAATCCAACTAATACCTGTGCACAAGCTGATTTAATCGCTCCATCTCTGCGGTTGACGTCCTCTCGGGTGTGCGTACCCTCCCTTGGCTTGCCACTTTGTCATTCTATTCGACCTCTGGCGACATGTGGTGCCCAAGCCCACTTACTTTTTGTAAGTGAGAATAGTGTCTTTAATCTGATATCTTTTGAAGTATTTGTTATACTTTCCATTGTAATTTAGTGGACGAAAGTGTTTATATTGTGATGGTGCCCTACTATGTTTACTGCTGTGTCACCGCGGGAGCAAGAAGCACTGTGGACGCCACACATGCTCATGTGGAATATTTTGTATTACTCTTCATGTGGCTTTGGCTCTGGTCTGCAATACAATGACTAAGCTGAGAAGAATGTTTTAAAGAGAGCCTCCCATTCCCGAGACCACAAAATGTTTGTCCCAAGTGTTTTCTAAAACTGGAATTGAAAAAAAATTGGCAAAAATTTTTCTTCGAGAAAATCTGCTTTCAATGTAAACGCCAATGTGTGATATATCTGCTGCAGTACGACTGGCTTCCAATCAACGTTGATGTAGAAACAGTGCAGTGCATCATGTGGAGGACATTAGGGTAATCTATCATGGCCCAAGACTTCACACCCAGGTGCTGCAGTGGAAGATGTTCCTGGTGGCCCTTGGAGGTCATTGAGGACAATCAGTTCCTCATGAAAGGAACACAGTAGTCACTGGACGCTCAGTGTTGCCTCTTTGAGCTTTATTTGACGCTGCGAACACACGGGTAGTTCCAATGGCTCGGCACTTTACAAACGTCTCCCGATCCTTTGCTTGTTCGTTCGTGCGTGTTCATCATCATGTCCCGGTAACGGTGAACACCCCTCTTTTCTCTCTCCCTTGGCCCCATGCAGCCCGTGAGGCGGGAGTCTCTGTCACCCCCGCCTCCCAACACCATCACGTGGGAGGAATACATCTCGTCAGAGCCGGGAAAGTAAGCCATTTTGGGTTTTTTGTTTCTCGCTGTGACGTTTTACACTTGTGTAGCTGAGAATGAAAACCGAAGCAACAATGATTTTGTTGACATTTTGAGATGAATTAAGGTTATTTTATGGCCTGCGGCAGGTTTTGCGACTGATTGGAATCATTATGTGCGAGGCCGTGCCATGCCATGCCTTTGTGTGTCGTAATGCCAGCTGTCGAGCACTCTTGAGCTCCGAACATCATTTTTATCGGTTTCTCCGAGTCCTTTCCAATTGGGATTTTCATAAGTCACTGGGTGCTGGCCGCTTCCGGCCCATAACCAAAATAAAAAAAGCCGTTTGGCATTGAATCCAATTTTACATATGCGCCGTACATGTGTGTGTCGGTGTGTATGTGGTGTGCGTGCCTTGCATGGTGTGTGCACAAGTGTGTGTATGTGTGGATGTACGGTATGTGTGTTTGTGTACGCGCGCATTTGTCCGTGAGGGATCCTTGGTTTTTTTGCTTGGGTATGGCAGCGAGCATGGTGGGAAGCGGGGTGTGATGTGCAACCGCCTTGGGCAGCTGTCCAACAGCAGCCGTGGGGTGGACGTGGGGGCTGGAGGGAAGGTGGGGGCATCGGGGGGGGGGGTCTAGCCACAATTTAAGCACCAAATACTCTATTTAATACCATTCGCCTGCCTTTTTTATTAATCTGTTCTTCCACAGAAGGATAGCCCACGTTCTGTCTTCCGTTCCCATATCCTCTTGCTGGTATATACACTTATACTGTACATACTTGAGGAAAGTGGCCGGCCAATCAAAGGGCGGATCTCCATTGTTGGAATATTATGACCAGTCTACTTATATTCACACACGCATGTGTGTGTGTATGTGCTCATGTTTCGTTACCACCCTGAAGCTATACAAGTAATCATGGGGATTTTTTTCACCAGTGATAGAAAGTAAAAATGACAATAGTGCAGAAAGCTACCGTTCTGGCACTGCAATATACGTATAATTATTCTTTTTTTATCTTTTATCCTAAACGTAATTTAGAAATGGGAAACGGGAGCATCACGCTCCCGAGTAATTGAACTCGTTGCAACCCGTCTCTGCCTGAAGTGTGCTCCGTCGACCATTCGCCCCGAGCTTTGAGCGGCCCGTAGGCGCGGCCGCAGAAACGGGCTCTCGCGTGAAAGCGCGGGAAACGCATCCCCCCCGACGGTGACAGCCTCTCGCCGCCGCCGACGTCGCCACCGCCGTCCCAAACGCCGCGGTTTTAGACCATGGGCGCGGTGCACAGGAGTGAGCCGTCCTTCAGTGGGGGGGGGCGGAGGGGGGGGCGCCTTGTGCCTGCCGATCTCTCCCGCCTGTGGACGCTCTCGACGTTGCTCAACGGCTGCATGATTGGGCTGTCGGCCATTTTGAGACGGCATGGGGGTTGCCGAGCATAATTCGCCGTTGGCAGTGCTTGTCGTGCCGTCGAGAGCGACATCCCGACCGCTACGAGCGCTGCTAATAAAGCAATAAAATCATAAAGAGAGGTCCCTTTGCATTCGTGTCTTTGCAAGTGGCCAGGCAGGTTACAGTTTTCGCGCGTTGGACTTTGCACTTCAGCGACTGCAAGAAAAAAAAATGACTTGCAACGTAAAAAAAAACCGTCGGTGATCTTGCAAATGTTGACTTGTGGTTTTGCATTTTCTGGAATCGTCCAAAACGGTTTCGGCTTGGACGGTTGGGTGAAATGGCGAGGAGCCGCAGTGACTTGGGTTGAGGCTGCTACTTGAGACGTTCACCATCGCCAAGTGTCTACCGTGTTTTATTTGCTCTCCGTAGCCGAGATAAGTTCCGCAAAAGACGTGATATTTAAGTCGCCAAGCAGACTTTCACAAAGGAACAGGATGGATTCGTTTTAATCGGGTTTGCACACGATATTTAAAACCGTTGCTGCTTATGTGAATAGATTAAACTGTATGTGTATTTCATATTGAATTAAATAATAAAATACAGCCCTTTGTCAATCCACTGCTGGATGACTGCCTCGTCATGCCGGGTCAGTTAATTTAAGCTATTTGACCATACTTCGCCGTAGAGCTCGTGGGTTGGTGAAGTGGATGGGGTGGATGAGCCAAGACCACTTCAGATATCGCCCATCGCTGATGTTGGTGGTGATACAGCTCGGAATCACACTCTGATTTCTGGATTCAAAGTGCAGTGCGCTAACTAACCACTGTTGCACAACCATCCATGCGATTAATATTCAACATAATTGTTGCAAGTAATAACAATTCTGAAATTAATCATTCGTACGTAGTCATTTTTGAGTAGCAGCTACAAGGACCGGCTTCCGTAGAGGTATCGGTACTGATCTATAACTGGGGTGTTCTTGCGCGGGATTTTTTTTTTTACATTCGGCGGTTTTTAAGCGTTCGTGGGGTTTTGCTGCGAGCAAGCGGCGGCGTTGAGAGAATCATGAGTCACGACGATGAGGAGGGGCGGGGACCAGACCGTGGGAGGTTTGGCGGGAGAAATCGGTGGTGCTTGCCAGCGCGGGAAAGCCGAGTGTGTGAGAGCGTGGATGAATGGAGGTGGTGGATGGGGGTTGGGTTGGCAGTTCGGATGGGGTGTTGGGGGCAGGGGTAGGGAGTGGTGGGGGGGGTAAAGGGAGAGGAGCTGTGGGGGTTGGGGTTGTGAGAGGCGGGTGGAAAGGAGGGCTCCTACTTGCTGGAAATGCCGTGGCCCGGGCTTCTTAAAGAGGCCATTAAACGGCAACAAAAATGTGCACATGGCCTTAGTGCGAATGGGACAAGCCGTCTTGGAGTTGTCCTCACGGTTTATTAAGTGTAAGAGATACTACCAAAAGGCAAATCTCCATGTATAACTTTTCAGAATGACTTCTTAATAAGTAACATTTAAAAATATTTGAACCAAACCCGTTGCTGGAACTCTTACCCGTCATCCTTCTTCGTGGTTGCATTTTAACACAGCTATTTTCCACTGCGCCGCATTTAAATTGGAAGCCATTGGGAGGAACAAACTCTAACGGTTGGAGGGCGGCAGCAACCCGAGACCGTTCCGGTGGTGCTGGCGACTTGTGTGATGCGATGGCGAGCTCCTCGACGGTGTATTCCCCGAGTGCAGCTGGCCCTCGTAGCCAGCTGCCTGGCCCCCTCTGGGGTGGCCGCACCGGTGAGGAAACCCCGCCCGGCCAGGGGAGCGGGGGGCGGGCGGGAGGCCGGTGGCCAGAGGAAAACAAGAAATTAAATTTCAAGTTGTCTGAAGTATTCGCCGCCACAGAAACGAGTAGAGTAGAGCCACTTTATTTTATTTCACTTAATTTTCATTACAGATATTTGCTAGGCTTGTTCAAATTGTTTATTTTGCTTGACTACTAGCCCCATTGAAAATTATGACGACCGCCTGTGTTGCGATCGAAACGTCTTTATTATTTTTTTCTGTCTACGTGACTTTACCGAAAAAAACAAAGAATATGGTAACAAAACAGTTACCGGTTTTTCGCACGTACAGAAATTTATAAAAATAAACTCTTAACATTTTTACCGTTTTATCTGAGAAACTAAGCTAGCTGCAATGGTGTAATCGTCATTCAATCTCCCGGTTAGACAGCCGAAAGAATGGGCAATAGCCTTAAATCCCCCCCTCCCCTTTGCTGTCCACCCAACAGTCAAAATGGGTATGTCAGTTAGTCCATGGAACAGCAGCTTGCGTGTGGTGGGGTGAAGTGGTGGTTAGCACACCTCTTCCAACACGTCTGGCCAGTGTTGGAAGAGTAGGCCAAATATCCTCTTAGAGCTCCGACTAGTGTGGGCCCTTCTGCCAATCAGTGGCTTGAGCAAGTAATTTCAGGGCTGCATGCACCTTACATTTTATTAATCCTTAGGTCTGTGGCTGTGCCGTTTGTACTACGTTCACGCGTGCCAATAAGCGCATTCGTGACTAAAACTCCACTGGAATTGATTACTCACCAGATCTTGACTTGTCAAATTTGTAATTGATACAGAAAACGTTACCCTAATTTACCACGCTTCTATTAAGACCCACTTTGCTGTTAAACATAACACCGACACGTAGCGTATTAAGCTTATAGGTACGGGGCACTGGCGGAGCCAGTGGGGGGGGGTGGCACGTGCCCCCACAATGATCCGATCGAAATCCCTAATTTCGATCGGATCATTGACAATAGTCTGAGTCCATAATTGGTAATAACGGCAAAGCAGTTATAAGTGACTCGCAGAATTGTGCGCAGTTGCGTATACAGTAGACGACTTCCCTGAAGGCATTCCTTCAGCGAGCGCGATGCCGATCACACAACGTGGTTCTAATTTGACCCTCGATCGATGGGCTGCGCCATCGCCGCACACGCGTCGAATAAAAAGCAAGGGGTAAGTTCTTACTTACTAACAACTCCTATCATATTTAATTGCTGGAGGGGTTGCCCCCCCCCTACCTGAAAATCCTGGCTCCGCCATTGGTCCGGGGGGAGGGTGGGGGAGGTGGCGGGGTGTGTCTGCGGCTTCACTTTATTTTTCATTTTTCGCTGCGGGGGAAGAATATTTTGGGAGGCAAACATCTTTCGGTTCACAAGTGCATTCAATGGGTCACTGTCCAAGGAACATATTAGTTTGTGGCCGTGGTGCTCGTTGGCGTGGTTGCATGGCGGCTGAGTCGGGCGTGCGTTTATGGTGGACAGCTCGCTCCCATGAGCAATCTGGGTCCCATGAGCAATCTGGGTCGCATTCATAGAGCAACTCAACATATTGAGCATCCAGTAAGAGCATTACAACATGACCACCAACATCTGTCGCTTTGACAAGTGCATGCCTCCTGGTTTTGTTTCCACCTTTTTACCTTATTATTAGATCCACAATTACTTAAAAGTTGATAATATACCCATCTGTTCTGGGAAGGTATTCAGGGTTGAGTCTGCATAATGCTTGGATGGGTGACCACCATGCACAAACAGGTTGTTATAGATGGTTGCAAGGCTGTGCTTCTAGGTGGTCAGCAGAGGGCCGTGCAGCAAAATCCATTGTTATACTGTACTTCTATGCCGCCCCCTACATTCACCAACCCACACTAACCAGCGTGGTGAAATATGGCCAAATAACCCCCATGACTCATGGGGTGGGATGTACTGACATACATATTTATTGATGCTCCTTTCATACACACCCCCACACCACTCTTCCCTATCATATAATTTTACTCTCCTCCCTCCTCTTCTACGTTGTGCTCTGGCTGGATCCCGGCAGGGCCCCTCACCTTGGCCGAGAGCTGGTGTGCAAGGAGAGCTCCAAGAGCTTCAAGGCCACCATCGCCATGAGCCAAGAGTTTCCGCTCAGCATGGACATGTGAGTGGAGGCGGAGGCAGCAGCAACTCGGTTCGTCCGTCGATGGAGCTGTGACTTCACGTGAAAAAACTATAATCATACGCAGCGTTCGTATTTCGAGTGCTGTTGGTCTATGAAAGATTAAACTCCTGTCCGAAACGAGCCACACAACGAGAGCTTTGTTTGCTTACTTAGGCATTGCCTTGGGTACATCCTTGTGCGAGACGTTTCACTTTTAATGGGGTTGTGAGCAGCTTGCACTGCAATAATGTCATTGACGGTCCAGTTTGTCCCTAAAATAATGTGGGCAGATTAATTATGTCCCCCATGGGCCCTCTAAAATGTATTTGAAAAAAGTTAATCGCACTCCCGAAGCCCAAAAATGTTACACCGAGCAAAGGAACGCTTGCCTTGTTGTTAGCTGCATCTCCACGCTGCACAGAAACATCAAGCGTGAGCCAGTCCCAGTTTAGTATTGCACCGGACAGTAACTACAGTAACAGTGGATTGTGCATTCCAGTATTGGTTTGTGATTTTCAGTAGTTTCAGTATCTGTTTTTTACCTTTGTTTTTTCTTTTAATTTTAATGAATACATTATTAGCTCTAAATGGGCAAATTTTTCTCTTCAACGAAATAACAAGGTTTAGTTTAGGAAAATTGATTTTCTGGGGCACCACACCCCTGTATTAACCTGGTGTTTCTCAGACACACTGTAGTACCTGTGTGGTGTAGACCAAACGTCCATAGCAGAATGTGCTGTTATCTGAAGAGTATTTCAACTGCGAGCCTCTTTGAGTGGTCTTTGCCAGAGGTTGCCCTTCCAATTGTCATCAGTGTGGATTTAAGAGAAGTGCGGGCTCTGTGCGTTCCCGTTCCCATCAAAGTCACCGTTCGTCCTGTCTGCAGGCTGCTCAACGTCCTGGAGATCATCGCTCCGTTCAAGCACTTTAACAAGCTGCGTGAGTTCGTTCAGATGAAGCTTCCTCCTGGGTTTCCTGTGAAGCTGGGTGAGTCTTGAACGCAGCCTTTTTCCTTTTTTTTTTGAAGCACACTGAATTCTGATTTTAAAAATAATCATTTGAAATGTCTTCTACATGTTTTTGTTCTAACTAAAGTGACCACAGTTGTTGTGGAGGTGGCAATTTGCATAAACTCCTCGAAGAAATATTAATACAAATATAATTGCGTAGTTTAAGTAAAAATAGCCTTGGCAGGGAAAAGTCTGTTGCAGGCTGTGTGTTTAGTTTGTCCATAAATCACGTGGGTAGCCGGAGCTTTCGAGTGCAGGTAGTAGCAGGGCGGCTGCGTGTGTGTGTGCGCGCTTGCGCGCACGCCTGAGTGCCAGAGCTGTTAGTCACAGTTCCTGTTTTCAGCCGGCCACCCGCAAGTCTGTACATCGCGTTCCTGCCATCATCAGGATTTTCTGACCGCGTGCCAAAGAGATTTATGAGAGAAAGCAGCCGTCGCCCGTCGTTCCCGTGCTCATTAAAACACCGCTGCCGATTGTGTTGATCTGCCCGTGCATGTGCACACGAGTCCCTGCTCTGATCCCCTCCGTTCACAAATGTCGATCTGCATCTCTGGTTTCAGTTGAAGCCTCGAGTAACAACCTTGGTGACAACGTCGTGTTTTGTAGGCGTTTGTTAAAACCCCATAATGCACGCTGCACAGTTAATATGTGTGCTAACCCAGTCTGCGTTAGAGAGTCAGGACAGTGCAAGGCACCATGCGTGCATCGTGAGGAAAATCTGACGAGCCATGCTTCTTCCATCACTGCTCGTGTCTTGTCATCCGGTCTCGTAAGCCAATGCCGAAGCAACTGTAGCATACCAAAAGGGACTCAGCTTGGCTCAACCAACCGCCCTGCGTTTGGTTAAACTGTTAGAAGGTGTTTTCCTGCCGAGCTGGCATCCTCAGTGGGAACAGCTTTCTCTGGCGCAAGCGGTCCTTTAGGGGAACTGAACTGGAGGGGAGGTAAAAAAAAAATCTCAGAAAAGTTTGTGGAAAAGGAATCTTTGTAGTGACTGGCAAAATAGAGGCAGTCACAGGAACAAGTGGCCCTTTGTGTTGTCTAAGCTCACAGGCCTTGTCACTTAGACTGGGATGGCTGTATATTATTACTTTGAATGAGATGCTTTGGAAATCAGTCATCCAATACGGTAAATTTTTAATAGTTCGCAAAATAAAGTAGCACATGCTGTGACACTTCAGTAATTGTACTAGTTGTCCTTTGTTCACATTTGTTCACTTCAAGGAACTGGCAATTGATATAATTGTATTGTTCTTCAAGGAAGCACGTAGGGTTTCTATTTGCAGTAGTCTCACATTTGAAAGAAATGTTTTATTTGTATATGGTCTTGCACCAGGCATTTCTCGGGGTCGTAAGATGAGACTCGCAGATGCGTGCACGTGTCATGTTGATTGCATCCCGGGTGGTTTGTTTCATGGCTCCATGTGTTCTTGTGGATGAGTCACTCATCCCTCCTCTCCGCTCATTTATTTTATCCCAGGATTTTAAGAAAGTTATATCTGCTTCATCCAGAGATTTTAGTTGCATTTGTTTATAATAGCGTTGAAGGTCATGCGCAATGATTATTTTGTTGAGGTTAGGAATAAGTTTAATTTCAGCGCTGTGATAGAGGTGGGTATCAAGGGCTAAAGTAATTATTCACTAAATACTAACTATTGGAAGCAGTCATCCATTCGTTAAATCCAGCCTTGCCGTTCAATGTGAAACCAAATTGTTTTTAAATCAAATTCACCACTGACATATGTGGATGGCTTTTTTTTGGTTGTTTAAAGCTGTATACAATTCCCTATTGGTGACTCAGCTGGCATGCAGTGTGTTCTGCCTGTACTGTGGAGGGTGTAGGCTACCGGCCGTCTCACAGTAAGCGTATGACGGCCGACAGGCAACGTTTTCTGCCTGTAGTCTGCCCGTACGCAGAACGAGGCTGTTGAAACGTGTTCGGGTCCACGGGGAGGAGCTTTGGGTTTGCATTGTATGTTTATTTCAACAATGTGGGCATCTGTCCACTTGTGTCAGCCGGAGGCTCTAAAACCAGTGGTGGGGTGGATGAGATGAACACGGCATATTGGGCTGTTCCGACGTCTACAGTAGTATTTTAGCGTTGGACACAAGTCTGCGTCAAACGCTGCGAGTTTATTCCCATATTATTTTCGTGTTTGACAGTGGGCATAGAATAAAAACTAGTTATGGAGACTTGTACAAAGAATCTGGCATTCAGAAACTGGAAGAGCTGGTTTCAACCTGTTGTTTGTGTATTGCTTAATGAGATGAAGCGGTGGCACAGGGGGCATTGTGTAGCACAGTTGTAGTGCGGCTGTAGTGTGCAAGTCGAGACAGTGCCCATGTAAAGGTGGCTAATTTAAATGTTAACACTTTCCAGTTATCTTGCAAGATTCCTTTGTAAAGCGCGCTCACACAACTCGGCCATTATTGATGGTGGACACGTACCTAATCCTAGTTTGTAATGCTGGATGCCTTGTGAAGTGAACCACGGTGCATACTGTAGTTTTGACGGTGCGATTCCTACTTCAACACATCAGCGTTGCACTAAAGGCTGAAAAGCAGCAGACAAAACATTCACCACTGAGAGGTTACTGCCGTAATGTCAAATATGTGAAGTTATGGCTCATGCACTCAACCTCAGGTGACACGTGTTTATATTGTCAAATATGTGTGTTTAGATGGCGTCTCGTTTTGCTCGTTTCGTGTGCAGATATCCCTGTGTTTCCGACCATCACGGCCACCGTCACCTTCCAGGAATTCCGCTCCATTGAGGATCTTCCAGAATCCATGTTCCGGATCCCAAGCGAATACCGAGAGGACCCCAACCGCTTTCCTGACCTCTGAACCCGACCACCCAATGGCTGTGCCCACTGGCCCTTGGCTCCAACAGAGCTGTGCCAGTCCCTCCCTTGTGCAGGCCTCTCTCCCCTCCCCCATGTTCTGCCTCCCTTCCATACTCACAGCCCCCCCTGCCTTCAGAATGTCAGAGCGCTGATCCTGCCCTAATGCGTGACCCTGCCACTGCTGCACGCTGGGTAAGGATGCCAGGGAAGGCCCAGAGCTTCTAGCTTTGACTTCTGAAGCTCGTGTGCGGCCCTCGCTGATGGAGCTGCGGGAAGCGCTTGTGCTGTCCCCCAACTGTGAGACCTCTTTCAGAATTTCTTAACCTGACCGTGTGAAACGTGATCAAACTTGGATTTAAAACATTTCCAGGAATATACACTTATTTTTCTGTTTTACATTATCAAGCCAGTGCGCATTATTTGCATCCTGTGTGACACAAAGTGGCATCTGAAGACGGGACTATAGTAAAGCTGTTGGATAATCTTTGCCTCCACTCGGAGTTATTATCACGTTTACCTGTTAATGTTTCACTTTGGGGTTTCTACCAATGGTTCACATGGGTTAGAACTGGACTAACTTCATTTTTTAAACATCTGCTTTCATATACAGATTATCAAACACCTCTTAGTTGTCTGCCACCCAGCCATGGTCAGTGACTGTGCTAAATAGTCGTTTGTGTCGTAATTATATTGGTTGAACTTAGTTTTAAAACAAATAAACGTTTGCGTCAATTACGTGCTGCAGGAGCAATTAGGACACTTGAAGGCCGATGTGATGATGCTAACCAATGCCAGCAAAGAAGCGCGTAGTTTCATAACTGCAGCTTAGTTGAGGCTTGTCTCAGCAGAGATCTTAAACGATGAAGGCCAGAACAGGGTTCAGCTATTTTCAGTGTGGTAAGTAAATTGAATTATGGTACAAAATGTTAACAAGACGTTATATATATATAAACAAGAAACAATGCCTTTGGAAATGCTGAAATATTAAAACAATGTAAAGAAAAGCTTTTGCCTTAAAGGGATCACCATATTGCATGTAAAGAAACACACACAAAAAGTTTAAACTTCACGAAGTTAGAATGTCTATCTCTTAGATGGTTGAATCACAGAGCAGCCCTTATGCATAGCATCCCTTCCATGTGTTGCCAGTTTTTAATGAACGTTAAGCTGTTCTGACTGTGAATTATTAGACGTAGCATCCTGTTACCTGCCTCCAGCAGCATCTGGTCTGATCTCTGTACTGCATCAGCTGGAATTGATCAGAGATCATGCTTTTGGAGACCATAAAACGGAGGCAGGTTATTGTGGAAATGTTTTACATTTCACTTGTTTCGTAAATAAGGTTTTATCCCACGTTTCGTGTGCACAAATCTGGTTTGTAAATTGTGGAAATTAAAGTAATGCAATCACTTTCACATCAACTAACAAACAGACAAATTTCAAAGCCATTTTTGTAAATATCACACGATCCTTTTTTGTCAACCTCTAGGGGTATTTTAACCTCTTGTACTACACAAAATCTAAATCGTATCCCAATTTACTTGAACATGCAGAACATGTCTCATTAGCAAGAAAAGCAGCAATATTGTATTTATTTACCTAGAACGTAGTATGCATCCAATTTTTAGATAGTGAAGTGCTTTACGCACTTATTGCAACACCGATTGCATTCTTACACAGGTTTTTGTATATACATTAAGAACTTTTATTAATTACATCCCTAGAAGTAATAGCAGGTGCGTCACTATTTTAAACAATGGCATGGGTGTAACTTTTCACAAGAAATCACTTTTGATAATGTACTGTACGATACAAACACAGGAGTATGGAGCTGTTGTCAAATGTGGTAATTGACATTTATTTCCTACATTTTGAAACTTTCATTTTTAAACTTGCATTGCCTCATCCCCAACTTGGACGTTCACATTTGTGCAATTGAACACCGATTACTGATACAATATGCCTGCTTGGGCTAACATTTGTACGGGGAATAAATGAACGTTCACAGGTTGGGTTTCGAATGGTCTATGGCCTGTTGACAATGATGTCAAAGGTTACATACAGGCCGTGTACAGACATGGACATGACAGTCTTGCACCAGTACATTGTAAAGTTAAATATGATAACTTATAATAATTGTAACAAATTTCCAGCGGTTTAAATTTATACTTTCGACATATCATGGGGTGAAGTATCAATTCGGATCTCTTGCAGAGCAGTGCAACCCTTTGTGTAGATGTCACAGAGGGACTTCTGAGATCCCCTTCAAGTGATCCACACAGAGTCAGAACTTTACAAACCCATCTGCCACTGACAATAAAGTTTGTCATATGACAGTCAAATCAATATTTTTTTATTCTCAGCTGGAATTAAGTGCAGAACCAAATTTTACGTGATGGTTTTTGTGCAGTCATTGGTTACTGGGCTGAGAGCATCTAAGTTTAATAACTTTAGTGCAACAGAAACCAACACAACCGTCTGCTTCATGCCGCTGAAACCTGGGCTGCTAGTCCTTTTAAAAAATGTTCCACGGCTGTTGTGGCCCTGTCTGCATATATAAAGATCCCCCGTATAGCCTTAATAGACTGTAGGAGCAAGTGCGGTTAGCAAGCACTTATGAAGGTCATCCCTGCGTCATGTCACAATCGGTTACGTCTCTACAGTTGGAATTAATCGATTTACATCAGGTTTCGGTTTTAGTGATAGAACAAAGTTGTCACAAACGTTCGGCACAATTCAAGCCCAAAGCAACTTGCCACCAACTTGCCCGCAGATCGAACAACTTGGAAAGCTACCCGAATGGGTTCCGTTTATTTACGGTAAAGCCCATTAAGCTAAGAAGATATTTTTCAAAGGCTACTCGCCCAAGAGCAATATCGCTGGGTGATGTTGATGGATAAAACTTTGCTTTTCACTGCCTGACAAAGTAAAGTTGAAACAGGCATAATTATTAAATTAGCGTTACACAAACAAAAAGGATCGGTCACAATAGAGGCAAGAGAAAGACATGCGATTAAGTTTCAGGATTGATTCGGATAGAAAGAAAAGTAGTTTTCAAAGAGGAGATCATTGACTGATTTTTTCCCCTAAAAATTTAAATAACATTCAGCTCCCACCCAATCCTATTGCTGGATGCCGTCCTTTCGACACTGCCGATCATGGGGGCGTATCTTTACATTTCCATAGTGATATTGTTCAGGGCAATCAAGCGATTGTAAAGTATAACTTCGCTTCTTATCTCACATTGCCAGTAACATACGGAGAAAAAAACATGCCCATTCTAAACCACGACGAACTATTAACTGTCGACAAAATCTTAATTGGGTAGTCTAGAGAGACACTGGATAATGCAGTAACACGTGTGTGATGACACTTCATTGAATCAGCTCCATACCACTGGTGGGATGTCAAGTGAAATAGAATGTCAAATCAATCTCTGGCCCTTCAAAAGGCCAATGTTGAGCCTTGCGCGCGCGTGCACACACAATGGTACATGTGCTGTTAAGCATGGCATTTTTGTTTTATTTTGTTACACTTGGAGGCCAGAACGATGAGTTTGAAGGTGCATGATATAACGTTTGCATCCTCTGTTGAGGAATTGTGTTTTGAGTGTCACTTTTTTGTTACTAAAACTATAAAAGGTTTTCACTTCAACCCCAGCGCCAACCTAGACCCTCACCACTTGTGAGCTGGCGATGGCAATTCCCAAAAAGTGAAAATTGTGACGCAGCTACAATGCCATACTTTGTCTGTTCCACTGACTTACCCCCCAACTGCACTGTACCCCCCCCCCCCCACAATAACAAAAATTATTAAATAAAAATAAACACTTTTGTACAAAAAAATCCGTTTTCTTTTCCTCGACTTTTGTAAAACAGCGATTTCATTGTCTTAATTTGTGTAATTTATGTACAGATACATGTGCAGAATTTTGCAGTCCACTACTGAATGAGCCCATCCCCATGCTGTTCGGGTCATGGGGATTATTTGGCCATATTCCAGAACACTTCGGTACGGTGAGGTGAGCATAGCTCGAGCGTGGAGGTACAGTACAACAATGGATTTTGTTGAACTGCCCATAATGTCGCCCTGCAGCCTATAACTCCTGTTGTGTATTGTAGTCGCCTGTGCAAGCACTACCCTGGCCAAAACCTGGTTAGATTCCCACATCTAACAGGATAAAATTCTACATTTAAGTACATTTGAATTGCACTTACTCTTTTAACAAATTAGGGTGGACATTTCACACGACAATAGAAGCAACTTGCCATCTATTGTTATGTGCTCGGTGGTGTATGTGTGGTTGTGTGATGAGCACGGCAAGATACTGTTTGCAGTGCTGTGATTGTGGAATCGTAGAGATCTGGGCCTGAGCCACCGTTGAAATGTTCTTGGAAGTGTTTTTCTCCACACGATTTCTAAGAATCTTGCAACAACTTGCACCGAGTGAATGCCACGTGCTTTTCTCTGCCAATGAAACCCAGAGAAAATATCACGTACAAAGCATTGCATATGAATGATTCGTGATTAATAATTAACCCCTGAAGACATCAATTCATTACACAATATAAAATACTGTTGAACAATATATTTTTTGTACATACTGCATTCACAGGTATCCACAGTAAAGCACCTACATGCCATCATAGCATGTGATTGATAGGGCCCTATTGTGTGTCGTTTTCTCTGTGGTTGTCCTGTGCTGGAATTGCATTGTTTCATCTTCATTAACATAAAAATGCAGTGCATAGAAGCGTACTATTATTGCTGATGACATGGCATTGTTCTGCGTTTGGGTGTGCCAAGAAAGAAGTGACCCATCTCCCCATTTGAACCTTGGTTGAGGCGGCCTCATGGTCAGGAAACGGATGGGTGGTGAGTTTGTTTTTAAATGTTATGAGCTTCCAGGAAGACCAGAAGGTAGTATGCATATCCCACATCCGACATGTGGCCCATTACAACCTGTCACTTAGGGGTAAACCAAGAGACTCCAGATAGAGTTACCACCTCAGGAATACAAAAAGCCAGGCCAATCATGGGAAGAATAATATCTCAATACTGAAAGAGAGGAGAACTACATGCGAATGCATTATTTTGAGTGGTGTATTATGACACTACAGACAAATAACGGGACTTTAAATGTCCCTGGAAGATGCAGCTTTCCTAGGACCACTATCTCAAAAATAAGAGACAATTGTGGGAAAATTGGGACAGGTGGCTCCCCTAGCTCTAGAGGAGGCATTCAACTTATTTTTTTAATCGACTTTCATGAATTAATTGCTGACAATAATAATTATATTCACGTCATTATTTCGTTACATTTTGATGGTATGAACACTGATGCAATTGTGTGCAGTTTCTTTGTACGCTTGCCTCATTCAGAAGTCCTATGTGGCACACACAACGAATTATTATCGTAGGCGTTGCGCACACGCTTACATCAGATCCCGGCGAGAGCAGGTTTGGGTTCAAGGGAGCACAGTTACGCAGTGGTCATGTTTAGTCCTGTGTTCCTCAGAATTTTATGCTGTTTTAAATTCGTCTGGCTTCCAATTGTGGCAGCTGTGTAGCTGTTTGAGATGTACAAAGCTCACCTATTATAATACTGTAATTGCTATTTTTACATTTTCATTATTTGTAGTGAACTGTCATACTTTTATGGATATGCCTTGGTGTAGAGTGACATTTGTGAAAAGGGGAATATCTTGGCATGGGAATTCGAGCGCGTGCTGGAAATGTAAAAAGTTTATTGAATTGTTGTACAAAGCATGTTATGCTTTCGGCCAGCATTATTCATATCTTGCTTATTTTGTACCTGTCGTGTTTAACAGTTTTACTAGTGGTCAACGCCTTCACAACCGGACACCCACACATTTTGCACTCTCGGCAAGAAACATATACGTTTTAAAGCAGAAACATGACTGACAGAGTGAAAGGGGATAAATAAGAGGTGGTGGCACTTGCTTTGGTGTCACTGCATTGGGCGCATGGATGGGCGGTGGGCCCTGCCTGCGTGAAAAAAACAGGATCGGATATGTCTGCTTATGTTTTGTGACCTTGCCCTGTTCGCTTTTGGAAATCCGTTTAAAACCATATGAGTGCGTGTAATTGTTGGGAATACTTACTCTGCCTGTTCAGCATTCGGCCGAATGCTGAACAGATGATTTGTGACATATAGGTCCTTCCATCGCACGCGGGTCGTCTCCTGTGTAAAATATTAGCGGTTTACTTTTCTCATGGAGTTTATAAATGTCATATCAACATTAAACATAGCTAGATGAAGCTTAACCCTTGATCGGGTGTCATAAAATGTTCAGTGGCCTTAACTGGATATTAAATAATGTTACAATTCTCACTTTTGTTAGCAACGATTTATGTTACGGTACTTTATTATTTCACGTTTAATACAATGTTATTGGCCTTTTAACACACGTTTGCGGTATTGCTTTGAGCCATATCTACCTTGAAAAAAGAGGCAAAATGAAGTTGGATTGTGGCATCGTTTGACTGTGAGGGATGGTGATGACGTGGGGAGGCCTTCATCCATGAGTGTATAAAACATGGATAATGGTGATTATAATGATTGAAGGTTATGATGCCAATGTATCCATCGCCGACCGCCTTTGTCACAAACTCGCAGCCGGATTTGTACAACTGACATTTTGACGGATCAAAGACTTCTTAAAGGCTAAACGCATCGCAGTGGTGCCAAAGTTAGGAAGTTAAGTCTTCGTAAACGGTACGGATCAATAGGGAGCAAACATCACCAATGCGTAGGATGGCCATAAACACGAATTGGGGCAGGGGGAAAAGAACCATGCCCCTTTGGTGTGTTAACCTGTAATCTACAGGTGCACACACGACGTGTGTTTGCACTTGTACTTTGTGTGTTGGGTTATGCACTCCGGTCGTTCTCACGCCGTGTAAAACGGACAGGACTGTGCATTGTTAAGTCCATGGAAGGGCCGTGCGGCGTTAGGCGTGTGGGCTGGACGGGGGATCAGCTCCCTGCACCACTAAATTGCCGCAGTGGATAGGAAATGTTATATATCTACCTCGCCTGGTATAAAAGAGGTCGTGGTTTCGATCCTGACCTTGACGCCTGTTGTATATTTGAAGTCTGCATGTCTCTCTTTCTCATCATCATCATCATAGTGGCTAGATGTTAACTACCTCGCCTGGTATACAAGAGGTCGTGGATTCGATCCTAACCCTGACGCCTGTATATTTGGAGTCTGCACGTCTCTCTTTCTCATCATCATCATCACAGTGGCTAGGAGATGTTAACTCTCGCCTGGTATACAGGTCGTGAATTTGATCCTGACCCTGACACCTGCTGTATATTTGGAGTTTGCATGTCTCTCGCCCTCCCTGAGTTCGCGTGGATTTGTCTCCGGGACATCCGTTGTTTTTTCCCCCTCCACATTTAGAAACAACGTGCGTTTAGAGTATTTGGCTATAATACATTTCCAAATGATAAGCCACTTCGTTGAGCTATTATTCATGGCCAGGTCGCTTCTGAAAAAGAGCTATATAGCTTAGTGGGGCCTGCCTGGTAAAATAAATAAAAAGTTTACAGTTGTTGTTTATTACATAGTCAAGTAAAACATAAAACTAAGCGGTGATCGGTGTCACAGCATTTCTTTTCTCTTATGTAATGGATAAGAGCTTAGAGCATTAATACACGATGGACAAAAGCAGATCGTATATCAGCGAGAGTAAACTTTTGGCTCTAGAGAACGTGTGGATTGTTAAAGACCTCGTCTGTTGTTGTCTGGTGGGTGTTTGCAAGCCAGGGTTAGATGGAGCGATGACATAATCTCGTCGCCAGATTGCTGGGTGTATTGTTGTTATTGTTCATAATAGAGGGTTTTTTTTAGGGTTAGATCACGTTCATATATAAATGTGTCGTTAAACCCGCCACCACCCGACATAGCCAACTAGTAAGGGTTGTCACGTAAACAGAACGTGGCCAATTCTTCACTAGTACAGCACTAACCGATGTGTTGGAGATTACTCATATTGTAAATGTTATGGCTTGGTTCTCCAATACACCGTGTGTTGGAGAGTAGTCAGATTTTAAATGTTGTGGCTCGGACCTCCAACACAACGTGTGTTTGAGAGTACTCAGATTGTAAATGTTGTGGCTTTGCTCTCCAATACACCGTGTGTTAGAGAGTACTCAGATTGTAAATGTTGTGGCTTGGCTCTCCAGCACACCGTGTGTTAGAGAGTACTCAGATTGTAAATATTGTGGCTTGGCTCTCCAACACACCGTGTGTTAGAGAGTACTCAGATTGTAAATGTTGTGGCTTGGCTCTCCAATACACCGTGTGTTAGAGAGTACTCAGATTTTAAATGTTGTGGCTTGGCCACGTTCTGTTAACGTGACAACCCTTACTAGTTGTCTGTGTCAGGTGGTGGCGGGTTTAACGACACATTTATATATTTACACCCCTCTATTATGGATGATATTGGTCGCGAAAGCCTCGTACGTGTTAAATTGTTATTGTTGTTGTTGTTGTTTGCGTCGCATCGACGTGAGAGGTGACGACAGCTTTGGGGAGGACTGTATGACGGTGATGATGATGATGATGTTTCCCCTGGCTATAGGTAGGGCGCAATGTGTTTGTTGTTACTATACATGTACAGCCCGACATCCATTGCTGGATGAGGGCCTCTCCAAGCCGCGTGGGTTCGTTTGACCATACTTCACCACGTTTGACCATACTTGACCACGTTTGACCATACTTCACCACGTTTGACCATACTTGACCACGTTTGACCATACTTAACCACGTTTGACCATACTTCACCACGTTTGACCATACTTGACCACGTTTGA